GTACCCAGCATCAGCAAAGTTCACCAATGATAACACTGCCATAATCCTCATATAGGAATTCGAGCAGACATCCACCTTAACAGTGTACACACGTATGCATGCATAACGATACGGCATTGTTTGTTCATGATGGTGACATGCAGAAACCTTTTGGAACCAGGAGGCTATGCCGGATGCTTGGGTTATGCTCACAGCCAGAGGCACAGTCATTCACTTACCACTTGAGGCAGCAGCGGAGGTGGAGGTGGTGGAGTTGGTCCTGGCAGCAGCAGCAGCAATCGCGGCTTGTGCATGGTTCATTCCAATATTCCAGGCTGCTGATAGAGATGTAGAATCCGAGTCAGTTGTAGCATCCGGAGTGGGCTCACCAACCGTACTAATACCAGCCACTGAAAACAACAACAAAACAGTAGTGAAAACAACAACAAGACAATAGTGACAACAACAACAAAACAATAGTGAAAACAACAATAGCATGGCAATCTATTGAAAAAAGAAGAAGACGATGATATACATTTACACAGAAAACTTACATCATCACCAAAGCACCTTATCAAGGAAAAGCAATGCAAAAGTGTTAAACCAACGTGGCAGACACAATCACTACTGGGTACTGGGTGCTCACTGTAAAAAAAACAAAAGAGACGTAGCAGGGGCACATACCTGGCTGGTTCTCGTTAGTGGTCTGCTTGCTACTGTCCACTGCACTGTCAAAACAAGCAATGACATCGTAAACCTGGCGGTTCAGCTCAGTGTGAAGCTTGAAGAGGATGTCGAGAAGACAGGAGAATGTTGTCTGCTTGGGAACCATATCTGATAATAGTTCGATAGCTTTTGCTTGCTGCTGGGAGTAGTTGTGCATTACAGGGAGCTTTGTGGAAGAAGTTCGTGCCACAACTTGACTCCGCATTGCTGCAGATAGCGACTGATCCACATAACCAGTTGTTGCTTTGTGCCCAGCAGCTGCAGCGGGTGCAGTTGCCAACGCTGCTACTACTGCTGCTGCTTTCTCCTGGTTGAGAACTGACGTGATGCGCTGAAGGTCAGCATTGAGCTCAGCAGCTACTTGCTCGATGGCATTAAAGACACATGTCATTGCCTGGAAGCCATGTGCCCGATCTACCTTGGACATAGAATCCACCAGACTGCTGCAGTGGGAACTGCTCTTGGCTGTTAGCGAGTCCTTCATAAGCTGTGACATTAGGAAGGAGAAGATTTCCGGACGAACCTGATGACATGTTCCCATGCGTTGCAGCTCAGCACTTGTAAACCTCTCCGCCTTGTCGCATACCATATCGGAAAGGCCCAGTCGGTCCTGTAGTGTTGCACCTTGAGGATGTCTACATCCTTGCATGACACGATTATCATGATTGAAGACGGCTTCCTCTTCAACTTCAAAACAGAGAGCAGGTGCATCACCATCGGTCTGGTCACCAGATGACGTGCTCTTCTTGCGCTTTCTCTTCTTCTTGGAGATGTCATCCCTGGAAGGAGGTGGGCCGGAGAAGCGCTTTGCCATATTGAATGCCAGCTTCAGGATCAGTTCTGTCAGCTCGGGGTTATCTGCCACATGCACACTATCTAACAGACCCAGGAATCGACCAATCAGAGATGAGCTGATATCTGACTGAGCAACTATGCCAAGCTCAGTACTGCTAGAGGGTCCTTCCGAACTAGAAGAAGCAGTAGCATCATCCGCAGAGCAACTCATCCAGGCAAGATAGCGGTTATTGATACCCTGCAGTCGTCTCCACAGGTCACATGGTTGAGTAGCGTGCATGCCTTGACCATCACACAGCTTTGCCTTGAGGGACTTGGGAATAGCTGCAGTTGATGCTGCACCTGCGTAGTCGATGGGGACCAGCAAAGCTGACGGGAAAAGAGAGGCAAAGCGATGTAGGTGATTCATTGCATTGCGCAGGATTGTCGGTACAAGGCTCTTTGCAAACCTTAGTTCATTCGACTGCAGAGACAGTAGCGGAACAGAGCCAGTGTGAGCAGATGTTGAGCATGGGATACTCAGCCAGCACAGCGATGACTTGCTGGCCAAGGTTCCGCCACGCGCCGCCTCCTCTGCTAGAAGAGGCTTCTCAGAAGATGAAGCCTGGCTGCTTGCCAGTGCACTGAGAGATAGCTCCTTTACTTCTGTCACTGCCATTGCTTGTTCTTCATCTTGGCCGGCAGCTTTGCTGCTTAGATCATAGCCAAGAGCACGATGAATGATAGCCAACATAGCACAAAGGAACCACTGTGGCACGCCCTCGCCGTGCAGTACAGCGTTCAGGATCTCACCGAGGAAAGTGACGTCCAGCGAAATCTCAGGATGAATCATGAGCAGTAGTATCGCTGCCAGGTTGTCGCGGCTCATCACTTCCACACAACTGCGGCGCCTGTCTGGTGCACCAGTCACCGGCACTCGTTGTCCGTACTGATGGCCATGTCGGGTTAGGAAGCGTGAATGACGTAGCGGCACAGCTCCAGGAGGATTACGCAAAACCTCGCGAGCAAAGCCACGACGTAGCCTTGCGGGGTCTAGCAGTTGTTGAAGGCCTGGGTTTTCTAGCAGTTGTTGGGCAGAGACAGCCACTGCCGCCTGAGGATGGAGTCTTTGTATGCGGCGGGCGACATCTAGCTGGCGGCTCTGACGCAGTCGGCGTGCCTCCTCGCGCAAGTCATCGGGCAAAGCTTGAGCGTGTTCATCATCCATGTCTGCCAAGACAGATGCGCGCATGGACGGGGCTAGTGCTCGAATGAAGTCGGCCGAACCGGCTTCCGGCTCAGCAGGAGGTGCTGGCTGGGCAGGTCTGTTGGCCTGTGTTGCTTGCTGCGCTAGTTGTCTCTGTTGTGCTTCAAGCTGTACATGATCAACGGAAGAAAAGCACAGAACAGGTAAGATAATATGAAGGTCTTGTTTATCTCAAGTTTCACATTTCCAACAATTATTTTTGTACTACTGTCAAATAAGACAGTATACAGCAGAATTCAAAAAGGCAGAGCACAACATAGTCATCCCAGATACCCAGTAGGTGCTAAGGCAGAGCACACCATAGTCATTCCCGATACCGTAATGTCGCGTATAGAAGCAGGCGGGGTTCAAGCTACGCTTCAGTGTACATTGTCACACATGTAGTGTGCAAGTACATGTTCTTCTATTCAAATCGTGCTTCTGTGTCCCGGCGCACTTTGGAAAATCGGCTTCTATTCGAGGCATGCTTCTATACAGGTCATGCTTTGATACGCGACACAACAGTAGGTGCTGAATTTAGGCATTTAGATACTTCCTCAGACTTATTAAAATGTGCGTTTCAATTCATCGATCTGTTCCGCTCGATCTACCTGTCGTCTCACAAAAATAAAACAGAGACACAACTCCTCACCTATTGCAGTTGGTCATAGGTTAGTTTGGAGAAAAATGGCAAGCCCTATGAGTGAGGAGAAGCGATCTCCGAGGCATTTGAAGCATGTCGCTGCGAAATTTTACGGCGTGAGTACACCATCTGCAACACAAGGCTTTTCGGAAGCGATCTGACTCACAGACGGGTACGGTAGCTGGCGAAACTGACAAGCCAGTGAGTATCGGCGTGTCATGCTCAGCAAAAAAGGCGTGTGTGACTCGATGCGTGAGGAGCGATGGTGGTTTCAAGCGGGGGCCCCACGCTGCAAGAGCAAACCTGAACTAGGCTGAAGCACCGGTCATTGCACGGGAAAAAGAAACGATCATCATCAACATCGTTGTTGTCACGCAGCCGCCTCAATCGACCGACCTAAATTGCATTGACCTGGCGTTCTTTGCCAGCTTGCAGTCCGACACTGAGCTCGTCGCGAAGGTGAATGTCGCCGATTTGATGGAGGCTGTGAAGAAATGTTGGTCTGAGTAGCCCGCGGAGTGGATGGAGAGTGGAGATGCTTCTAAGCATCTTTCAAAAGCATCATCGAGAGCCGCGGTGATAACACTTACTCACACCACATTGGAGCACGGGCGAGATCAAAGACGAAATCTGCTGCGAGTCGCCACGCCCTGAGCTTTCCAAAGCGACTTGTGACGAGCGCTGAGAAAGTCCGCGATGAAATGGCCGCCAGAATTGCAGCACCCAGCGAGGAAACCGCTGAATCCACAGACTCCTCGTCAAATGAGAGCGACTAATTTTCCTCTCAATGTGATGGCCATGTACATAGCTGTTGCTGTGCAAAATATTTTGAACACACAATCTGTCTTCGTGCTGTACTACAACTTGAAACTGAACCGCGCATTTTAATAAGTCGGAGGAAGTACATACAACTTCTAATTCCGATTGCGCAGGAGCTTCGAGCTTCGTCGTGCATCAATAGCCGATAGTGATACATGCAGTCAATAGCGAAGGCCTTCCTAAAAGACATGGAGCTGTCATTTGTCAAGATCCAACAATATTTGAGGGGGCTACAAGTTAGTAAAAATGGCATCAAACCATATGGATCAGTTTTTTGAAAGGTTGGCAGTCAGAGGATTAAACAATTTTACAAGTTAAATAAGGGGCATCCAGCATATCGATAGTTTTCACAAAACAAAAAAGTTAAGTTCTGACCCTCCTCCCCCCCCCCCCCCCCCTTTGAACGAAAAATATATTGACTTGATAGCTAGAATGGATAGCTGTTTCCAGATGGATAATTATGGACGACCCTAAGCCAATGCTACTAAAGCCACTCCTCCTTACCTCTTCAGCTATGTGAGCAGGTGCAGCGGCAAGAAACTCGGCAATGAAGTCCGGGTTGACAAGTGGGTTGCCTGACGCCGAGTCTGTACCAGATGCGGCAGCGACTGCAGCAGCGTTCTGGCTGATGTTTTGAGCACGCTGTCGTGCCTGGCGGCCCAATTCAAACTGAGCCAAAACCTCAGCTCTCATCTCCTCCGGAAGTGCATCCAGGAAAGCAGGGTCCACTTCATCCGGCACGCCATCCTCATGATTTTCGGTACTTGCTCCACCCTGTGCAGTGTCAATGCTACTACCACCACCGGCAGCGGTTGCAGCAGCAGCAGCACCAGCAGCAGTAGTAGCAGCAGCAGCTTGTGTAGATGCAGACCCAGCAGAAGCATTATTGCCAGTGGCATCAGACAGCGTTGAGCCCACACCAACAGCAGCTACAGGCTCGCTTGCAGTAGCAGGTGTAGCAGTGCCAGTTTCTGAGCTGGGCGCATCTAGCTGGGCGATATCTTCTCTACCGCTAGCCTGTTCCCCGCTTAGAGCGTTGGCAGAAGCTGAAGCACTGTTCGAAGCAACACTGCCAGCAGCAGTCTGCGGTGGAGTAGTTGTCAGAGAAAGCTCTGCCACAGAAACCAAAGGAGAACTAGAAGCTGAGCCTCCCGATGCATTGGAAACAGCAGAAGACACATCGGAGGATGCATTCACAGGATTCGACGATTGTTCACCATCTTCCATTGGTTGCTCAATGCCACCAGTACCTCCAGAACCAGCGCTTGCACTAGTGCTAGCAGCAGTTGCCTCATCTGACTGTGCAGACACAGAAACAGCAGCTGTGTTTTCTGCTTCTCCCTCGGCTGCTGTGGCATTCTTCTGGCTGTCCTTAGCCTTTGCTGCAGTGGCTTCTTCATCTTTCTGCTTAGCAGCAGCAGCCGCCTTTTGTGCGGCAGCAGCAGCTTCGGCCTCCTCCGCTGCCTTGCGTTTATGCTCCTCGGCTGCTTTAATGAGCAAAGCCTCATAATGTTGGCGCAAGTGGACCATCAGCGTGTTTCTGAAAAGAGCAGAGCAGAGGACAGGAGCATTACCATCCAGGAGGTGACTGGCTAGTGTCCATTTGCCTAGCACAGCCAGATCATCTGATTTGACAGGTCGTTGCCGATTGCAACTGATCGTGATGTTATACTGGCTATTGGCCTGGGAGAAATTGTATTCATTTCCACCGGGCGTAAAGCTGTCAGCACTTGACTGACTGTCATCGAAGAATGGATTCTGCTGACGTGCTTGTGGGTTGGCCTGCATGCTGACCAGGTCTGAGCGGCCGTACGATACCGACACTGGCCGTGTGATCCCGATCGGCTCGTTGGGTGACGGGAATGCTGACCAGTTGGTCTGAGCAAAGTTGTGCAGATTGGCCAGTGTGCGACCCTCAGGATTACGTGGAGGCTGTGTTGCATTGTGCATTGCACGCAGCATGGTGGTAGCATTGCGCATAGACAGGGGACGGTAGATCGGCTGGTGGTCAGCCAAGAAGAAGTCGCTGAAATTGCGAGCGTTGCTGTCACCATTGGAATTGCGAAGCAAGTACTCATCCACGACAGCTTGCAGCTGACCTAAATACAAAACAAGTCAGAAAGCAGCAGCACAGCAGCAGCAACAGCAGGAGGAGCAGCAGGAGCGCGGTTGCGTGACGGGGGCGGTAGCGGTAGCGGCAGCAGAACAAGAGAGGCAGCAATGTAAGTCAGTACAGACGGAAATATAATTCAAAGAGCCACCAGAAGGCACACTGGGCACACCGCTTCCTAGTTCTTTCCCCTCTGCCAAGGATAGTCCAATGTGAACAAATATTCACCATATCAGGGCTGCCTGATTGGACATGTTCCATATTCTGGAGCGAGATTGGGGAAATTCTCAAATGACAAGAGTGGATTGCAGCCATGCAAACAAACAGTGGTAAGTCATTGTGAATTTTGCAGTCTCGATCCAAAACATCATGGAGAGACAATGGAAGTATTAGCTGTGCTGCTGTCATTCCAACACAGAGCAACCCTTCCATTTAGATCGACCACAGAGAGACTGTAATGGTGTGACAAAATTAATCAGATCGTTGTCCCCTCACCGCCTATCATGGAAAGAGATCACATACGGTATGTGGCTCTTTAGTTATACACATGTAGCATACATACATGTATGTATGGTTGAGATAGATACAGCAAGTGAGTCAAGAAAGAGAGAGATAGAGACAGATAGATAGAGTTAGAGAGAGAGAGAGAGAGAGAGAGAGAGAGAGAGAGAGAGAGAGAGAGAGAGAGAGAGAGAGAGAGAGAGAGAGACGGATAGACAGATGAACAGCCAATCAGTAAGACTGGCACGCAGGCAAGTAGGCAGGCAGACCGGAAGCAGCGCCGGTGGCAGCAGAAGCAGTGACACTGCTGGCACAGTCACATCACAATATAATAGCTAACCTGAATTGAATCCTGCACGGAGCAACTGGTCAGGTCCACCCGCAAGCTCGGCTAGTTGCATCTCAGGATCCATTTCAAACGACCCATCACTACCAGCCATAGCCATGGGTGCATTGATACCTGGAGTTTGGTCATCCACTATTTCATAAGACTCCACATCAGCATCGCCTTCTAGGTCAGTATCTGGTTGATCACCATCACTACCCTCATCCAATTCCTCTTCTTCCATCTCACCCAGATGGCCCATAGCATCCAGCTCACCAAGGATATCCACACCACCAATATCACCATGGTGGTGATGGTGATGGTGATGATGGTGGTGGTGGAAATCATCTTCATCTTCCTCATCCTCATCCTCCTCATCCTCCTCATCCATGTCGTCATTGCGGTGATGGTGATGGTGGTGATGGTGATCGTGCGGATGATCATGCACGGCGTGCTGCACACGGTGGTCACTTAAACTACTTGAATCACTACTAACGTCACTGTCTTCACTGTCATCATCATCGTCATCATCATCGTCATCGTCATCATCGTCGTCATCATCATCATCTCCTTCACTGTCACTATCCATGGCACTCTCATTGTCCCCACGGCCATCACACTCATCGTCCTCAGGGTCAAGATCACCAGCAGCAGAAGCTGTAGATGTAGCAGTGGCAGGTGCACTGGAAGCCGAGGCTCTGCCCGCTATCGTGCCGCTCCGGCCATCTTCATCCAGCTCCACAACCTCCACATCCTGCTCCTCATCGTCATCGACATCGTCTTCATCATCGCTATAAGCAAAGTCAACAGAGTCGGCGCCCTGTTCGCCAAAGGGCATCAGCGAAGCACCCTCGCCAAGAACAGCATCGGCAAAGTGGCCACCAACATCCGCCAGTGCATGGCTAGAACTAAGCTGAGCTGCGTCGACAGCTGCTGCAGCAGCAGCAATCAAAGGCGTCATACTATTGTCACCTGCATTAGCTCCACTGCCGCCTGCAGCCAGTGATGCAGAACGTTGAAATTGTCCCAGGGTGGTGAGAATATGCTGCTGCAAGGAAAAAGAAAGGAACAAATCACACATTCGGCATGCAAGAACATGTACAGCTCCAACAATCCATACAAACAAAACCATGGAAAATACATTTGCACACGTACATGTACCGTAAAATACCGTTGATCCCCCCCCCCCCCCCCCCCCCCCAAGCCATGTCGCTTCCCAGCTGGGTTTTGGGCAGGGGGTGGGAATTAGATCAATGCTGTCAAGTGCAGTACGATGTACAACGTAAAAAATCAAACTCGATGTGCTGAATTGTGCACATTTTCATCCTGGATTGGCACGTATTGTGTACAGCAGTGCATGCGTCGGTTCAACATCGTATTTCGTTGTATACGCCGAAGTCGCTTCACAGGTAGAAAATCGACAGGGGGCGGGAATTAGAGAGGGGGTGGATCAACGGTACTTTACGGTACATAACAAACAGGCACAAGAATGCCAAGTGCCCAGCATCATTATCATAACAAAAGCAGTGCATATCTTCAAATATGCATCCGTGCACGTATGACGTTATCACGTTCGGTTAGAAGTGTCAATGCTAGTTAATAGTGGTGGTTGGCGGCAGTCTGTGTGTGTGTGTGTGTGTGTGTGTGTGTGTGTGTGTGTATGTGTGTGTGTGCGCGTGTGTGTGAGTGTGAGCACAAGCTGCTATGGCTTCTGCTGTAGCATCGCTATCATCGCCTCCAGCGATAGGCGTCAAATGCGTCAAATGGTGTGTGTGTGTGTGTGTGTGTGTGTGTGTGTGTGTGTGTGTGTGTGTGTGTGTGTGGTGCGTGCACGTGTGTGCGTATGCGCGGGTGGGCAAGTAGGGATCATGCATGTGGATCATGCATGTGCAGTGCTGCCAAATAATTTCCGCCTAAAATCGGACACCCTTCACCGCCCACATGGTGCGAATTTTTCTCCTCAGCAAATTTTTACAGAGAATTCAAAAATATCGCCTAAAACACCATGAAAATTCGCTTCGTTGCCATGGTAACCCCAGAGTTGTCATGAATTTTGTAATGATGAGTGTGGCAAGAGTACATGAAAACCGGGTTTTCATGTAATCTTGGTGTGGTCGCACACTGACTCCGTACAGACTGTCAGTGTACATGCCATCCAGCCTGATCCAGGCATGTTACTTTGCATTTCCACAGCCAAGCGCTAGCCTTTTTAGAAGGAAATGTACAGTGATTTGTGCCTTCAGTTGCGCTGAAAAGTGAAAGTACAGGACTTTTGCATAGGAAAGTAATGATCTCCGACATTTTGGCTGCTTTTCGGACCAGTTTTCGGAAGAGCCTTCAAAAATCGGACAATGTCCGAAAAATCGGACGGTTTGGCAGCACTGCATGTGTGATGTTGTGCTGGTGTGAATTTTTTGAAAATACTTCTTTGTCAATTTCAGACTTAGGTATACGTCTCAAAAGTAAAAACGAGGCCGGTCGAGGCAGCTCAATGCACGAACGTGTGAATGCCAAATGCTGCTGTCTGATGATCGCTGAAATGCGTGAAACTTGAAGTTAAAGCTGCACATCCTTTCGCCTCTGTTGCATGCGTCTCAAAAGTGTATACTTGGGGGTATCTGCAGACGGAATTTGATGGCAACACGACCGTCAGTGCATGAGATAGGAACATTAGTATTTGTTTTGAATGCTCTACTCCCAATTTCCAATTCAGACATTGATTAATTAGGAAGCCGCTATGTCTGCGGTGGCAGGCATACTCTCCGGTGCATATCAAGTGGAATCAGAGGGAGGAGGCAAAATTAGATTATATTGGCAGTGGGGTGCATGGTTGGTCCGGGTGGTCCATTCCCAGATGCAGGTCTGAAGAAAATCGACAGGCCGAGACTATATGACTGGTCAAGACAGGCAACTGACGACCAGAATAAGGCCAGGAAGCAACGCCATCGCAACACTTACTCTGTCTGATGCACCGTGACCAGCTGACGCAAGGTAGCGATGATAGCCAACACCACCAAGGCGAGAAGACTCAACGAACTGACCAATGGCCTCTTCAGCATTGGAAGCTGACTGCGCTATTTGCTGCAGCATGGAGCGCACAGCGAATGACTGCATGCCTGACGCACTTGCAGATGCTGTGTGACCTCCTGACCGTTCTCGGGCTTGGGCCGAAGCTGATGTGCTGTCTCCGCCAGTCCTCTTTGCAGTCAGAGCCTTCTCCAGGTCATAATAGGGAATGTTGAAGACATGGGCAACGGTGGTGAGGAAGGATAGTGGAGGCAGCAGCTCTGCAATGGTCTTGGAAAGCAGACGGCTCGATAAGTCTAATCTGGTTGGTATGCTTGCAAGAAGGTTGAGCATGCCGCTATGGAATATCATTGCCATGTTCGGGTCCAGCGCAGTGCCTGCTGCAAGGGCATTGATAGACTCCTTATGCGGATACGGCTGCTGCAGGATAGGCATCAAGTACTTGCAGAACGCCTGCAGGTGCAAGTGCTTCTCAACTGACTCACACTTGTCCAATGTTCGGCGCAAGCAGTCACAAAGCATCGTGATAAACTGCTGCCGACTTTTCTTGGAGGTGCAGGCAAGACTGCAGGCCAGTGCTGATGCAGCCGAGCTGACATTCACTTTATCGCCTTCTTCACTAGTCGTCAAAGCAATGTGGAGAAGAAAATGCATGATGTCCTGTGAACACAAACACACAGACAGACATACGCACACAGACAGACACACATATACACACAGTTGACACAAGCTTACTAAACACACTACATATGACCAACAAAAAGAGAGAATAGGGATGGCTACGTGAAATCACCCTCATAACATAGCGCGGTGATGCGGGCAAGTACCACTTTACATGCAATAAACTGTGCAGACACCCACGGTGAACTAGGTACTCGCTTGCTCGGAGTGAGGGTAACAAGGATGCGGTTTACGGGGTTATACGGCTTTTACACGCCCAATTAGCTGAGAGACTAACACCCACTCCCCTGACTCACTTGTGAGGTCTGCATTCGACACTAGGATATATGGGCGAAGTGGTGGCCCGCCGATGCGAACGTCTTTGCTTGATGTGTTCCTCAACACGTCAGGTGATGCGGCCGCGAATCCGGCTAACTTTACTTCTTTCTTTTTTTCGTACCAGGCTGGTCGCTAGTCACGGTGGTCTTTAGTTACAGGTTTTACTGTAGTACCAGGCTGGTCGCTAGTCACGGTGGTCTTTAGTTACAGGTTTTACTGTAGTACCAGGCTGGTCGCTAGTCACGGTGGTCTTTAGTTACAGGTTTTACTGTAGTCTTTTTTAGGGGGGGGGGGGGGGGGGTTGAGTGCCTGTTCGTTTCTCGAAAAATATCGATGTCTGCTATGCACCACTTGCATGTGTTCGTTTCTCACATGTATACACACACACATTGCAAACTCACCTTCTGTGCTAACTGATTGGCAATGCAATACTTCCAATTGAGAACAGTGACGGCACATGCTTCATATGTCAGAGATAACTCTGCCAAAACTTTCAATAAGAACTCTTGCGACTTCAGTTCCTTTGTTTTCGCTGCTGTGACATCTGTACATCAAAACAGTAGCAATTTTACAGGAAGATTGGCAATTAAAACAACACATGCAGCACACATGTGCACGCATGCCGCTGCACGCACACCAGATCCAGATGAGACAATACTGTCTGCCAATCTTCTAGCCCTTGGTTAATTTGTAGCCAAAGATCAGGCCGCTTAAACCTTTTCTACCTGTGCAGTTAGGCGGCTGTGTTATCACCCGCAGATGGGTCAGTTCCCTATGGGTTGTGGCATCACCCACAAAAGGGTAAGTTCCCCAAGGACTGTGTTAGCACCCAGGGAAGAGTCAGTTCTCCAGGGATTCTTGGGCAGGCGCGTAGCCGACATGGGGCACGTGCACCCCCCCCCCCCCCTCCCCTAAAAAATCAACCAAGGTTCAGCATGCACATAATGACCATGATTGGCATGCACCTGCCATCCTACACATATGCGGCGACTTCTGCTACCAGGCACCATTCTCTTTCCCACCTCTCAAGTGTCCTAGCCCATCATCCCCAACCACAAACATGAACACTATTATGGATGCGGTCAACTGCAACGCACTGCCCCTGATATAAGCCATGCAGCAAAAGCTGTTGTACGCTGTCGTACGCTGCTGTACCTAGCATGTGGCCAAGCTTGTCCAGTAGCTTGTGCGTGATGTTGGCTTGCACCTGGGAGTACTTGCGGGACACGGTCCGCTGACCAATCTGGCTGGCATTGCGCAGCTGCACATTGCTGGGATGGCTGCGCTTATGCACGGGCACAGTCTGATTGTTGACATGCCGCGACGGCTGCTTGTCCGGCGCCGCAAACTCAATGTGTTCGGACATGATGGCCTTGAACATTTCTGGGTTGCGCATCATGGCAGGCTGAAGTAGGCGTAGCAAATGATCGACGTTGCGCACACCGTGATCATTCTGTTTGCTCATGGCTTTCACCAGGACATTGCCCATCACCTACAAAGATAGCAGAACACCACCGCAGATACAAAGAACAACAAGAACAACAAGAACAACAACAACAACAACAACAACAACAACAACAACAACAACAACAACAACAACAACAACAACAACAACTCTTATTGGCCACAGGCCATCGTGAGAATAAGGGCATGTTCGATTGGTAAGGATCGGGATCGGGATCCAGATCTCAGATCCTTCGGATCCTTCAGATTCAACTGAACACTTTATTTTGGACCTTGACTGTTGCCATGTTGACAATGGCGCTCACAAGTCACCCAAAAGGGTGAATGTCGTACTCATCGCGTGCGTCATACCAAAAGTCAACAAGCTCTATCTCCATCCATGTGCGCGTACCACAATGTGTACAAAAATGATTTTTACCCGCCATATACGCACAAAGGTCACATTCGGATCCGTTGGATCCGGTCAACCCTGCTCCCCGAGGTGGGTTGACCGGATCCAAATCCGAAGGATCCGGATCCGGATTCGACCAATCGAAAGGGTGCGAATCCAGTGGATCCGGTGGATCGGGATCCCGATCCTACCAATCGAACATGCCCTAAAAGATTTCAAACAACAACTTATCGACCACAGGCCATCGTGAGAATACGAAAATTTCAAACAAACAACAACAATGTGTCAACAGCAGAATGAAGACCACACGAAGAAGACCACCATCTACAGAATCAGCAGTACGGCTAGATTGTAATGGCACTCAAGCGCGCCGCAATACAGACATACTGCTTACACTTTTCAGCGTGACTGGGTCCTCCATGACATGAGCCAGAATCACACTGATGTACAGGCGGATTTCGCCAATGCTTTCCTTCGACTCGAGCGCCAACAGATTGTCTATGCCGTTCTTGTCGGCAGCGAAAGTGGCAGCGAACTCTGGCTGGCGGGTGAAACGCATCAACATGAGCACAGATGCCATAACCAAGTTATCTGGGAGCTTCGGATTCAGAAGACTGATGAGCACACTGAAGCAAACAAAGGGAAACAGGCAAACAAGGAACAGTGGGAAAAAAGAGAAAAATAGAATTTCCAGTTTGCATGAGACTTGGACTGAATCTTGCACATTCTGAGGAACGCCATCACCCTCAAGAATCAAGGCGCAGATGCAGCTCTAAACAAGGATACGACTGAATGTTCTGCATCGCTAGGAATGCCATCACCCTCAAGGATACTGTAAATATACAAATTTTCGGCAGCTATTTAATTTCGGCTATATTCGGCACCGACCCAAAACGCCAAAATTAAAACGCCGATGAAATTTTTCACAGCATCTGTCGCACTATACCATGCCCTCTACCCCACGCCGAAAATAAATCGCCGCCGAAATGTCAAAAATCGTGAAGTGCCGAAACTTTGCAGCGCCGAAATTTTGTATATTTACAGTAAACGCACCTCTTCCGGGTTTACTCAACTCCCTAGTGAACACCACGACCATTGCCCCCCCCCCCCCCCCAAAGAAGAAGAAGAAGAAAAGGATAAAGTCACTCACGGTGTGATATCATTGCAAAATTTGGAATCCATGTAACATCCAGTTTTGATGGCTTGCTCTGCAACAGCACAGTAAGTTTAATACACACACACGTATGCACACACACACGTATGCACACACACGTATGCACACACACGCATACATACAAACACACACACACACACACACACACACACACACACACACACACACACACACACACACACACACACATATGTACGCACGCACGCACACACACATACACACACACACACATATGTATGCACGCACACACACACACACACACACACACACACACACACACACACACACACATACACATAATATGTACGCACACACACACACGTACACACACACACACATACACACACGTACGCATACACACACGCACGCATGCACACACACACACACACACACACACACACACACACACACACACACACACACACACACACACACACACACACAACACACACAACACACACAACACACACACACCACACATACACACACACACACACACACACACACACACACAATGACCATAAAATCAGATAAGCTTGCTTTCGCAACCAAACAGTCACTTCGCCCAACACCAACATGTTCTCAGAGAGAATTTACAGACCTCACAGCAACAGTACGAAATAGTGGTTGCGACTTCGGCAATGATTATTAGGAAAGGGTTTGCTTCCCACACTGGAGCTCACGCTATTCCGCCGACTTGACAGTCGTGAGTCAGTCAAGTGTCAAGTCAAGTCGGCGGAATAGCGCGAGCTCCAGTGTGGGGAGCAAACCCTTTCCCACAACAACAAACAAAAAAACAAGTAACTTTTCTGGATGACATTAGGCCACACGTTTTTATTTCTATGTTTCTCGTCACCTGCACGCATACGATTCAGGAGTCTGGAAGAAAAAAAACTGTGCTGCACTGACTGTGCATGTGGGGACCAGCACACTCATGCACATGTACATAATGTGGCCTGGCCTGCGCGACACATGATGCGAGGTCGGCATTTTTTGTGTGCAATCTAGCTGCGCATGCACAGATTGTGATAGAAGCTCCTATGGCCTACCACATACTAGTTCCTAACTATGGATGCTATTTTGCATGGTGTATTGGTGGATTTTAGTGTGAACAAAGGTCTAGTAACCCTTTTTTATTTTGTGGTCATTTTTTATTTTTTCCACCTCTCGCATACGTTTTTAGATTTTTCAGGGGACGAGAAACATAGAAATAAAAACGTGTGGCCTTACACGTGTGTTCACTTGTGCAGTGTCTCACTGTGCCTGGACTCATCAGAGAAGATGAGATACTGACACAAACTACCAGTATTGCAAGAATCGCATCATTGAACGTAAGATACTGATACAAACTACCAGTATTGCGAGAAACCAACAATTAAAGAATACAGATAACAAAAAGCATTCTTGGATAGATATCTACCATAGTTGCCAAGGTATCAGCTTCACGTATACTTCTAAAAGGTGGGGGGAAATGATATCTACACTGCAGTTTATATCCTGAAAATGCATGTTAGTTCGAAACAAACTGAAATGTGATACGTTTCCTCCAAGGCGCTGCTACCCGTACAAGCAGGAAGTTTAAGTTGGTCAATAATTTTGTCAACTCCAAAGAAAGGGAGTTCGTCCGGCTGAAAATTTAGTCCATGAACCATTAGAGTGTACTGAAAAGCTGGACAAATCGACACTTGCCGGGCATTTAATTTAGTCCAAAAGCTCCTTGGACGAAAAAGACTAAATTAAATTCACGGCGAATAGTTCTGTTTATACAGTTAGGGCCTGGTCAGACTGCGGCAAATTTTGGTTGCCTGACGAAAAAAGAACAGCGTCCAGAATTTGAATCGCGATCACACTACACATGTGGGGAGAGTGAAAATTCAAACTTCATTTCGAGCGTCAAGTGGTAATCTCCACGAACGACGTCAAATTCCTTCACCGTGGGGATCGCCAACACCTTCAGTGCAATCCTTGCAACCATCCTTATGAGTTTTGTTGTTGTCCGTGGCCAATTAGCTCCTCGATATCGAGATGAAAAAATCAGTGATTATCAGCGTCAATGGCGTATCAGCGTCAAATCCTGTTTGGAGCGGAAAAGCGTGGTCCGTTGTTGCTTTTTTTTGGAGCGTCAACTCTCGCTTTTGCCGCTCTGGCGGCAAGTTACTATGGAGATTCGGATTATAATCCTAGGATTATTTCGATTTTGCCGCAGTCTGACCAGGCCCTAACTAAGACTCACCGTAGCCAGATTCAGTTAGTTGCAGTGGTCCTTGGTCAGCCTTGCCAATGGCTTTCAGTGGGTCATCATCCAGGGTACCAAGAGACACATTACCAGGAGGGTTCACCATCAGCGCCATCTCTTCATGCCGACCGGTAATCGGCAGTGTGAACATGACGGGGCGAGTCGGAGATGAAGAACTCTGGTGACACTGCAGACATGCATGTGAAACATGAACACACATATAACATCAATACAATGAACGTTCCGAGATGGCTGGCATTAGTCCAGCTGGGAACTGAACTATTCCTGGAGCAGATGAAGAGCTAGAGAAATAGAGCGTGTGCAGACTCCACTGCAGCCAGTTCGCCCTAAAATACTCTCGCCAGCCTAATAATTCAGTCCGACAATCCAAACAATCCGCATGGATCAGGGTGCTGTGGCAGTCCTGACTAACCTGGACCATTCTCTTGAAAGATATCGTCTGCTTGTTGTCACCAGCGCCTTCAAATCTAGCAGAACGTGGAATGGCACGACAGGATAGAAGAGAGTAAGTTCTACAGTAACACAATATGCTCTTTTATATGTTATTACAATGTTGATGTTAGGAACTCTACTACATGGACCTACTAAACAGCAATGTTTAGAGGATTTATTAACTCCAAAAGTTCCCAAACCCTGTCCACTGGATAACCTGCGAATGCATTGCCAGCTGGTGTGTTAGCTTGGGCATCACGAACCCCGACAGGCAGATCAGGGGGAGCAACACACGCACGCACGCTCGCACGCACACACACGCGCGCGCGCACGCGCACACACACACACACACATCAATACAAGACTTTGCAAGCCATGACAACTTACACATATTCGGTGGCATAGCGCTCTTTGAAAGCCTTCGTGATCGGACCTTGCATGGCCTCCGGAATTTGACTCCAGGAATCCCTGAATGTATCTCCAATATACCAATCGAAGCAGTTGAACTGCACCCGACAATCACAAGCACCACCAACAATTCACAGACATGAGCAACGAAAAAGGTCAAAAATGACAGCACATCTACGACTTCACTTTTCCACAATATTGATCAGTGCATGTTACCGCCGGTCAACCACTGGCCGTTCATATCACAGTTGCAGGTGAGATTTCAACCGTGTGCAAGTTTCAACTGATTATGTTGTTGGTGTGTCTGTAGCGAAGCACGGATTTTTCAATCATGCACACATCTGTTTACAGATCCCTGTTCAAGAGAGGAGGATACGCAAGGCTCTACAGCGCATAGCAGATATAGGTGTTGCACTATCCACACTGGGGTGGATACTTCTGTCTACATATGCATAGTGAACACAAGTGCGTGCTTGTACTCAACTAACTCAACATATACAAGCTGAGCACTGCAGGGACGACTGTCAGAAGTAACAGTTATGTTTGCAACTTGCTAGTACAACCGGAGCACACTTCGGCCTCGGTTTGTATTTGGTGTATATTTTCCATATACACTCCAGCTCAGGGTATATTCTTATACATATCCAAGCTGAGCAGGGACGACTGTCCCAAGTAACAGTTATCTTTGTAACTTGCTAATACAGCCGGAGCACCCACCGTCCAACCTTCCCAGATGTAATATTGTGCACAAGCAGAAACGATGCACAGCTGCTTGCTTGCCGACACCTGTACCGCACAATCCGCACTACTGCCAATGGTAGATGGGCAAAGGCTGCAAGCACCTGCTCAGTGCTGCCACTCACCAGCTTCACCAGGAGCGGCATCTCTTTAAGGAAAAACACTGAAGCATTCAAAGTCTTCTGGATCCCTTTTAGCAACAATCGTGAGCAAGAATAACATGTGCAGTGAACTATGCAGAGAAGATCGTGAACAAACCTCCAACGCCTTGCGGTGTTGCAGCACAGTATAGAATTCCTGGCAGAGGTCGCAGAGAGTGATACATCCAGTAAACCAGCTGAGAAACACACACACACACACGCACACATGCACGCACACACACACATAGAAGCCAAGGGGAAAGCATTTAAAGCAGGCATGCAAACGAGCTGGTTCATCCGCACACAAAATTGCAGTAAGGGACCAGTTCCCTTCCACAATGTTACCCTTGCTAGCTGGTAGACCAATAACAAAATGCTAGCATGCAACAAAGTCTGACAGGATGATACCAATAGTCCATAACCAAGAGTATCCGACAGTGATCTCTTTTTTACGGGCCTGATGGGCGGCGCACTGCCTTCATTACATCATGCAGCAACATCAGTGTATCGCAGGTAAACAAACATGATATATTTCCCTGTGGCTTCAAAGTTGAAACCAACTTTCATACGGAACTGAAGCTCAAGCATCCAAATATAAGAAATTGCGGCGGTACTGGAATGAATCTAGCGAAAAGGATTGTGCTGAAACGAGAGATTCGTGAGTTTGAGTGCATTAGTAAAGGGCGTGATGCAGGTGTGTTACGTACTGACGACGAAGGGCAGAGCACCGCACATAGACGCACAATCAGAGTTGCATACTCATGGTGCTGAGCTCTTCATGATACAAGTAGATTATTTGCACAAGAAAAGTGCACATCATGCATACATGTTTTATAACAATGTGCTGTGGGAAAGTATGGTGAAGAGTCAGAAATATGCCACACTGGTAGGGTTCGATTACAAATCACAGGCTGAAACTTACGTTGGTACTTCGTTTGCTCCGGAAAAGAACGGAAAGACAACAGCAAGAAGAGCGGCAGCCTTGCTCATGAACTCCTTCTTCACCACACCAGAAAAGGAGAGCCAACAGATCTTCTCTCTCTGTAGGAGGTCATACGCACGCAGATTGACATGACAAATGTTAATACTTCATAGCGAGCATAGGAAAAAATGCAGGTGCACACACACACACACATACACACAAACATGCCTAAATATTAGGGGTCAAAGGGGTGTTCCGGGTACCCGGGTACCCGCCCGTTAATCCCAGGTACCGTTAGTAAAAGGGTACCCGTTTGGATTTCGGTGATCAGGTCAGTACGAAACAACACTGCTGGAATTGTGCATTCCAGGCGGGAGTCAATTATTTACAACTCCAAGCTGCATGCCTGCATTGTTGTTGCATTTTCGCACCTAGTAGATCTATCTCTGCAACTATCAGACTCAAATCAATTGGCGAATCACAATGTGATATCAAAATGCAACCTGAGAACAGATAAATTACTATCATGGTTTATATGGAAATTGCGCAAAAATTAAAACATGGCTGCTAAAGGGTACCCGTTAACCCGCCCGTTAAGAAAATTACCCGTTCGTTAGTTAAAGGTACACCCGTTTGACCCCTACTAAATATACACACATATACACACCTAAATACACACATATACACACCTAAGTACACACATAGATACATACACACAACCAACTCCATCATGCTTTCCACACAGCAGAACTATTCAAAGAGGCACTGCGAACGTCGAGTCCAGGTCTTTCTCCAAGAACGAACTCTCAACCGAGAATAACTCTCTACAAGTGGTAATTCAAAGTTCTAATTTTGATTACAGGCTGGTGGGAGTTCGCAAGGAGTCATCCACAGGCAGAGAACAATGATGTGTATTTTGTTGCTTCTGACGAGCTAACCGAACAGTACACATACTGTATGTATGCTAAACATGCCATATGCTGTAAATCGGTAAGCAACGATTTTCTTCCGGATGGCGAGGGATCTGGATAAAAGAGGACTGGATAAGCGAGGTCTGACTGTACTGTCATGCCTTTTACCTACTAGAAACGAAGTTCATCATTTAGGCAGGTTTAGGAATTCAGAAAGACGTTGGTGGTAAGAAGCTGATAAACCACACTATTCGGGGATTTTAGATATCTGCGCGGCACCGAGTGTGCACCCAATGCTGCATTGCACGGGATCCTTCGAAGTTAGGGAGGGTTCCTACATTCAAAATGCAAACCATGGTCTGGGAGTACACTAGACGACGTCCATGCAGAACTCTGCTGTATGTTTATGTATAACCTGGTCCCTGCTTAGGGGTCGTCGCAAAAGTTTTCTGTCGTCCCTGAAACGAACATCGTTCATTTCGTACTCGGACCCCCTCCCCTCCCTCTGAAACGAACACAGCTTGCTATGCTGGACGACGAAAATCGCATGCATGTACATGTCATATGTACAGTGTCGGTCGACTTGCGATTTTGGCTCGCACCCCCTCCCCCCCCCCCCCCCCCCCCCCCAAATGAATCATGTTCGTTTCAGGGACGACAAAAAACTTTTGCGACGACCCCTTACATTCCAAAGAATGGCGAGAAGATGCAAGCGGAAGGTGAGAATGTTGCCGATAGGCAGAGCAAGTACGACACCAGGAAGTGCATCTGGAGTGTTGCGCTTGGTCGCATTCCCAAACTCTATCAGCGTAGCCTACAGTAGACACACAAGAGAGGCAAACAGGAAAGGATACGAAGATGGTTAATACAGACTGGTTTAGAGACGGCCAAAGGATTACCGTACGCGCGCGAATACAAGGCCCCTTTCGAATAGAGCCCGTCCCTGAGTCACAGGCATTCGAAGTAATACAGCCCCGTCTCAAATAAAAGCCCGGGGCTCTAATCGAGCGCCCACAGTCCGTACGTTGTAGTGCAGTACATGAACCATGTACGGTATGCACGATCAACACAGTGTGCTTTGCGGATCACTAGATCCATATTGGAGGTACGGGATCGCTCTGGCCCTCTGGGGTCAAGGTAGAGACATGCAAAAATGGGAACACACTGCGCCAGAAACGGATGTGTGCAATCAAAGGGCAATCATCTTGAAAGGTGTGAAAAATTGATGTTTCTATTGAAAAAATAAAGCCCCCTCTGGGTGTCTTCTGGAAAAATAGAGCCCCGGGCTTCTATTCGCGCCTATACGGTACATACCCCAGCTCTGGGTAGATCTCACTGCACAAAGCTGACAAGCATCAAAGCTAGCCGCTATGCCGTCCAGCCAGCACCCGTGTACTTCTATCTTGTACTTATCACGGCTACCACACAATCAAACACAACCACTATATTCTACCAGGCAGCACTCAGAAAATGACTATGGCATAACTTACATCCATAGCTTCACCAACAAGCTGCACAAGGCGCTCCACAAAGGGCTCTAGAAGAGACAGGTCTCTGTCAAATATTGTTCGTAGTAATTTGGCAGTTCGGTGGACAGAGCCAGGAATCTGCTCCAGCACTGTGAAACAGCTTTGTGACAGCATTCCGAGAAACTCCTCCATTTCTTCCACACTGAAATAGCGTGGGGCAGCAGAGTCGTCGGCAGCGGGCTGCTGAACAGGCGTGACACTGGTCTCTTCCGGTTCCGCTCCATCTTCGGCTACTACTGAGTCAGCATGCTCTGTTGGTGCAGGTTCCTCTGCATCCATGTAAACCTGAGCAGCAGCAGCAGCAGCAGCAAAAGCAGCATCAGCAGCAGCAGCATCAGCAGCAGCAGCATCAGCATCAGCAGCAGCATCAGCATCAGCATCAGCAGCAGCAGCATCAGCAGCAGCATCAGCATCAGCAGCATCAGCAGCAGCAGCTTGCTGCTCAACAGGTTCTACTTGCTCTGAAGCAGTACCGGCATCCGCAGTGTCGATAGCATTGGCAACAGCGGGAGCATCAGGAGCATCAGCAGCTTGATTTGCCTCAGGATCAGCAGCAGCGGGAGCTGACTGGGGCTAGGTACACAACAGATTGCAAAAAAACGGCAAGAAAACATAGGTCAGGCACAGACAAGTCAAAAATGGGGCTCAGTTGCTTCAAAATTTGAAGTCACATGTACATGTACCAGCCCGACAGCACATACAAAATCAAAGCCCGACAGCACATACAAAATCAAGCTCAATGTAGCGTGTTGTACAGTAGAGAAGGAAACATCACCCTCTTTCGATATCCTGTACAAAGTGGCCATTACTGGCAAAACATGCATGGTCGAGTTCAAACAAAAGGCAAGGACCAGATCCCATAACTTCATAAGCATACGTCTTCAGCAGCTTGCAGACCTAACAACACAACTCCAGAGCCTTACCTCCTCGGCAGGCCCGCCCAGTGACAGTGCTATGGCCTGTGCGAGTTGGTCCTCTTCATTCATAGGCACGGCCTCATTGGTTGCCTGCCGTGACATATCCGTAGCACATAAAGCAACACCATAAATCGACAACCTGAGATGGTAGAACATCTGTCCTGTCTCCCCACATGGTGAGCACAAAATTCACTTAAGCAAACTTCAACAAATCTGGATAGTGAGATATATCAGTGCGGCAGCAGAGTTACTGGTCTAGGTCAGTTCTACACCGTGCCAGCAAGCTCAGTAAGATGGTACAATCAGACTGGCGGCGACGGCAGCAGAAAACAGTGCAGACTTGCAAGAAAGTCACAAGTGTGTATACTAGGGCAGTGTCATGCACATTATTCACTCGAGGTAGGTCAGATAATTACCTCATCGATTGCCATGGGGTGTGTGAGTATGTAGTCAGTTGCTCTTTGCAGGTTGTTGTTGAATTCACGCAGAGCATGTCGGCACGCGCCCTCTGGGAAGCCCATGGCGGTCAGCTGCACAGAGCGTGGCACAGAAGAAAACAGCAAACGGCGACATCGCAGGGCTTGCAATGGCCATACTCGTTCCACGCACACCACATCATAACTGCTGTACATGTTAGTGGACTGTGTACTTGGTTCTGCATCCAGAGGGGCCTATCGAGGGAGGGGAGAACACATTGCCTGTGCATAGAAATGAGGCCTTCGGGGCCTTTGGGGCTTTGTCAGGGTCTAAATTTAATTCGTTCAAGCCAAACTAAATCACCGACCAGACTCTACTCACACGAAGAGAGAAGTTCTGACGACAGCAGTAGCAAAACACACAAAGGCTGTTGTTCTGCAAAATCGACCTCACGCGTAATTACCATGCGACACATGACCACCAACCAGCATGTGCACGTGTGGGTTGACTGGGATTTGCTGCTCAAAGGTGCACATGTGGGCTGACTGGGATTTGCTGCTCAAAGGTGCACGTGTGGGATGACTTGGATTTGCTGATCAAAGCTTGTATTAAATCTAACGAGTCCTTGGCAAATACATATTTCTCCATTCGCCCCAGCCTCTGCACAAATGCATACCCACATTTGTCAATATAGATGCGTGCGTACTCTCACACACTCTTTCTCTCTTATCTCATACATACATAAATACCCCCCCCCCCCCCCCCCCCACACACACACACGCAATTATGATTATGGACCCTTACGAAGACACACTCACCTGGCCCAAGTGTTCCTCGTTCACTGGTGGGACTGGGACTCTAGCAGCAGCAGCGGCAACAGCAGCAGCAGCGGCTACAGCCGCCGCTTGAGCAGCAGCAGCCTCAGCTGAAGGAAATTCCACTTCAACTACCATCTCCTGATCTTGAGCTGGTGGTAGTGGGAAGGCAGGAGTAGCATTGCGTCGAGCGAGCCGCTCCAACTGCTTGCGAACAGGTTTCTCTGACACAATCAATGTCTCTAGAAGAGCCACAATCTGAGTAGCCATAGGAAAGGTCATGCCTTTGATGTTCCACAGTAATTTGATAGCCTTCATAGCCAGCTATACGAAGAAAGGGGGAAACACAAAAAAAAAACACTTGCAGCAGAACAAGATGCATGCACAACCAATGCAAACAGGTGCTTAGCAAAATCCAAAATTACAATTCATAGCATGCATATAACATTAACATTCGATTATGCATGCATGGAGTACAAATGAAGATCAGCAGCAGGCCTAAGAGCACAACTCTGATAAGAACTTGGCTGGGCAGCGCCAGGCAATGCTGCTACTTGGATGTGCATGATCAATGTATACTGTGTAGTAAAGAGCCAGCTATGTACTTCAGTACACCCAGCACAGGCCGGTACGCACATCCAGCACAGGCCGGTACGCACATCCAGCACAGGCTCTGTCTCACACCGCTTGCAGCCACACTGCCACTATAACTTACAAACTAAAACTGAGCGGCACTACACACTTCCACAGAACGCTTTATAAGTATTTAGTGGTACATACGTTGTGCACGATCACCGTGAACTCTACAACTTGCTGCGACGGAGTGTCTGCAGGAGCTCTTTGCTCAGAGAAGACTTTGTTGTTCTTGGACTTGAAAACCGAGTCTGCATTTGCCATACTTGTCAATGTTGAAAGGAAAGCAACAATAAACTCCTTGCTTCCGGCTGTGGCAAAGGAGGCATAGAAAGTACACATGCAATGTAATAACTAGATCATCAAGTACAGTGGTTACAGGTGAATGTGTGCAGCCCCCTTCAACCAAGGAGCAATACCGGCAAGCAGCACAAAAGCAATAACAGCACATGACTTCCGCAACTGGTCACGGATTTCACGCCCAACATATCTGGGCAGATGTACGGAAAAAAAGATGCATGGATGAGTGGGAACGGGTTGATAAGCAAAAGATGCATGGATGAGTGGAAACGGGTTGATAAGCAAAAGATGCATGGATGAGTGGAAACGGGTTGATAAGCAAAAGATGCATGGATGAGTGGAAACGGGTTGATAAGCAAAAGATGCATGGATGAGTGGAAACGGGTTGATAAGCAAAACCCATACATGTTCTTCACTACATGCACATCAACATTCCCAAAACACAACCTGATTAGTTGGACTCGCACACGGTCAACATCTCAACAGCAGTATAATCCACATCAGGCAGGAGACATTGTACATTACTCTAACAGACGTGCAGCTAAGCAAGCACACGTGGATCTTTCCCTGCTTCGATAGAGCACATGCTCAAGAGTGAACTGTGGATAACTGAAGCACGGATAACAACCTTACTTGGCAGAGCGCTGACATCCACCTGTGCATTGTCCAGATCCACGTCCTGGCCACCTCTCAACGTGCTCTTAAAACACCTACACAGGTTCAGCAGAAAACAAGGCAATTATGTAAAGGGACATACACGTATTAGGAATATCGCACATGGATGGGTAGATAAGATAAATGTCTTCAAAGTACTGTAGGACATAGTTGCGTTAACCTGCAGGGGAGTCATTGTGCGGACTGGTAGCGTAATCTCACGACTGGGAACTCAAACTCTCCAGCGCATCGCTCGCCTTGCAGCATGTGTAAAATGGTGACACTTTCAAAGGCGGGGTGGAAGGGAAAGGGCGCAGCGACACATAGAGCCTGTGCTCGGAGTGATGCCAGGCTGCAAACTAATACAGCCCCTAAGCTATGAAGGGCCGACCCGGTGTGCAACTATGGCACAATATGACAGTTAACCTTTTGAGAGTCACGGAAAATGTAAAAAAACCGGCATGCTGTAGAATTCTGTGCAGAAATGTTGACTTACTCGAAAAACTGCTCAAGAAGAGCAGCACTGCCTGCTGCTCCAACTACTGAGTGGTAGTACTGTAGATAGTGGAGGAATCGATCATCAGCCATCACTCCTCCCACCATAGTTGAGTACCAAAACCAAAGCGGAGGCCTGTGTAGAACAAGGACAGAATACACAGAAGCATACACGTGCACAGGTCCTCTAAAGGTCTGTCGGACATGTAATCAATACACAGATCGAGACATGGAATCAATGGCATGCATGCACACATGCACGCTTGCTCGCTCGCTCTAGCACACATGTGTATGTATGGGGATGTGTGAGGGAGTCGGTTGGAGACTTACAAGACACGCTGGATCAGAGGACTCTCCACAGGAGGTCGCCAGGTAAAGAAACTGTGCACGGTGTCCACAATCCTTGTACTGAGCGTGAGAGAGAAGCCACGCTGCACATCCAGCTCCTGGGCTGTCAGACGTGCACGAGATGATTCACGCGGTGGCGTGGAGCTGATCATGCGACTCAGGGAGATGAAAAACTCCGTAACCTGGTTAGCCAGCCTAGAGATATACGTGATGAGAGGTTCAACTTCTGTTGCTGCTTGCGCCTTGATCTCCTTCATGGGAACTAGACAGTGAGCAGCAAGCAAACGAACAAACACAGCGATATACAATGTAAGATAATGACAATGACAAAGAGAACATTGAGAACAGCAGCAACAACTACAACACAGGCGTACGGCTGGTGACGGTGACAAGGAGCAAAGCTGTGTTTACTTTGAAATGTCCAGTGCTTGTGTGCTGCTAGCAACGCAAACACAGTGGCTGTTCAACCCATGATACTCGATTTTCACTTGCCATAACTGTACAGTAGTGTCATAGTTGTATTGGGACAGTTATTACACATTGTGACTAGGGCCGAAACGATTGCCCATTTTGCCTTAACGATTAACCAATAACACTAACGATCGATTTATTGGTTTTACCGATTTTCCGAACAAGTTTTATACGTGTCATGTTGGACATCAGTATACAGCAAAAACAATTAAATTTGTTCAACTATATAAAGGTACGTATGGGTGAAAGATCCACACAGGCCCCAAAAAGACCAAAATGAAATTTGCAACGTGATATGAGCAGTGTTCCTCTGCCATTAAACATCAACGATCAGTCGTCTGTCTTCTACAATGGAGAAGGGTCGACTGGAATCGACAATCCAGTCGATGATCGACTCCGTCAACATGCCTGAGCGCCTGCTGTCGCACGTTCGCAAGTTATCTGTGCCGAAGAACGACGTGACGGGCTTCATTCCAGCACTGTTCGTCGCATTGTCACTGCGCTCAACATTGCTGGTAGTCGCCATTGCTGTCGACTGGGTTGCTGATCCTTTCCCTACCGCAGCGGCGTACTGGTCTTTATGAGCAGAAATCAGGTGCTGGAACAAGTTGGTTGTGCCGCTTTGACGGACGAACTCGCGGCTGCACGAATTGCATCTCGCTACGCTATCAGCTTCCTCGAAATATGCCCACGCTGGCGATCTCTTGGTCAGACCAACTTTCGCTTTTCCAGCCGGCAGCATTGTCACTGCTCTCCTCGCCAAAAAAATCAAAACTAACTAAGTTTTTGACAAGAACTGAACAAATTAGAAGGACGGCAGCCACACTCACAGTTTCGCTACAACCTAACAGTAATGAAGCTTTCCGGTTGTTACATTTTCCGGCTACGCTGACTAGTGCAGTGAATGTAGTGACTATGTACGACTACCCAAAAAGGATCAAGCGCGCAATGATTGTACGGACCTACGGCTTCATGCACGTCTACTTCGACGTTCATGTACTTGTGCGCATGACGCGCGTGCATGATGCCATGCATGGTCTGCATGCACTGACGTCATGACCGCTCTCGCACTGTACAGTCATAATCGTTATCGATCATAACGATTATCGATTTCATCCATAACGAGTGATATACGAGTAATCGGTATAATCGTTTCGGCCCTAATTGTGACATTGAACATTGGTATTAGTACAGAATTCGCTTACGATCATTGGCTACGTTCGGGTTCTCCAGGCGAGCGATGTCCAACAACAGGTCTTTCATGAATTCAGACTCTGCCGGAAGGACACATGATGTCGGGTTGATGGACAGCATCATGATGAACTCCCATACAAGGAACTTAGCCACGTCCTGCATTTTCCTCATGACCTTTGTACCAGGGTCACTACACCATTGCGCCATGAGCATTGAACGTCCTCTCGACTGTAAAGCACCACAAGCATGTCCACAGATTCGTGCATACACATACATGTACACACCGAGCTTTCATCAGTGTTGCTACTGAATACTAGAGTAGCAGTTCAATATGATAGAACACTCACGTCATCAGAGAAACTGCAGCAATGTCATTCCATTGACATGCATGGCCGCCATGTAGAAAGAGCAACACCCATGGCTTGCTGTGCATCTGCTTTCGGCACTAAAGCTACACAACGTGAGTTTCTGGTGCTAGAAAGTGGAAACAAAACTCACGGCGTGAGAGAGTGATATTCTTGAATAGAAACAATAACTTGAGGGGTGGGAGAGTAGTATTCTTGAGTGGAAACAGAACTGGAGGCGTGCAAGAGTGGTATTAGTCGGCTTTCGATTCACCATTTTTTATGCAAAAATAAGGTTTTCTGCCAAATTGCCTATAGCACAGGAAATGTGCAGATGATTTAAACTAAAATTAAACTAATTGTCAGTCTGCCTCTAGCAATATCACAGCCGGCAAGTTCTTCCCTTACCGCTAGATCGGTGCGCACAATGGCCGTACACATCAGGATCAGTGTCTGGAGATGTGACAAGTCAAACAAGCCAGGGCAGCTCTCCAAAGACGGAGTTCCGATGCGCATGGTCTCAGCATTCTGGTTCCGTACATATTCAGCCAGGGTGAGGCACTGGTGCACAGGCCTGTGAATCTGGAATGTTGCACTAAGGCGGGACAGGACTTCAGAAATGTTGGTCAACAGGCACCGAATTGGTTCGGCCTCGCTGGGCTGATTTAGCTAGATTAAAAAACAAAATAAGCACAGAGATGAAACAAAAGTGCGTTATAACTTGCGTGCACACGTGGATGCGTACATGTGCGACTGCATGCCTGTGCGTGTACTGTTCCTACCAGGCACCCTGCCTGGGTTTCATGTCAGGGAAAGGACCATGATTGAATCACTGCATGATCCTACAATGGCACACAGCAGTGCAGGAGTTACTTGCAAGTATACTGTGCATCACATCCTTTGACCGTTTGTCAGAGTTGAGAGTCAAGCCCTACAGTAGTATAGATACAGCATCCAAACTGCACGAGTATGAAAAGACCGACTGGCCATGAATTTGCACCGTACAGCAGTAAGGAGAGAAGTGCCCCATCCCATGATCACACCACGGAAGGCAACGTGATGGGGCGCTCTGCTGCTATATTACGATATGTGTAGAGCATAGGCGTGTGCAGTTGCTAACACTGGAAGACATACATGTCCTGAGCTGGCGCGTGCAGGCCACTCACCACAAGTCTGGACAGAACATTGAGCAGCAGGCGTGCAGCTGACGATTGTGAGAAATCCCATGGTAGGTTGCGCATGCGAGCAAGGGCTATAAACCGATGCAAGCCGCCTTCCTGGATGAAGACCTTCATGAAATTGTCCGTTCGAGTGTGCACGAAGGCATCAATAAATCGAACCTGAAGGATAAACAATAGCGAAGAAAGGAAAAGAGTGCATTTTTCTAACTGCAACATCAAAAAGTACATGGATGGGCACGCTAATGACAATACTAACACAACAATGACAACAAAGATATTTTACGTCAATTCTAGACGAGAAAAGAATCAAATGGCCAAAACAAACAGAAACTGCAGCAGCAGAAGCAGTGGTGCTAGCAACAGTAGCAGCAGCAGCAGCAGCACAGACTTTACAGTAAGTCAGTCAGGACAATCAAACATACCACATTGTACAACAGGTCCATTGTGGGTACAACATAGGACTTGCCAACAGCAGGAGCAGGCAGGGACGTTGCAGCGGGCATCTCCCTCCTGTCAAGTCAACAACACACGGATTACAGCACAGTTCCTCAACCTGGTCCACTACACACTCCAGTAAAAGTCAATGAAGGCCTGTCAAGTTGGAATAAGGCTGGGATGAACACAGGCCAGGCTTGTGTGGTAATTTATACCTAACGTCATATGAACTACGTAGCAGCCTGAAGAATAAACTAGTGTTCATGATGATGATGATGATGATGATGATGATGTCACCATGATCAATGCAATATGCACATTGTAGGTTGAACATGACTCCCTGTTTCAAGAGGAACGAGCCCCGTCACATCAGGAAAGTCTCTGCAGTACCAAGGCCGTACGATAATGACAAAGCATCACCATCTCCTACTAACTATACCTCACCTTGCACGTTTGGCCGGGGGCTCCGATGATACTGCCGAATCAACTGCAGAAGCACCAACTTCATGAGAAGCATCCGCGGGTATGTCCATACGCATGGTTTCAGCTGAGTTACCAGCATTGTCGGAGGACGCCAGCGTCTCTGAAGATGAGGCTCGGCCGGAGCTCAACAACGGTGCATTGCGTACAGACGATGTCTCTGAATCGGTGTCGTCATTCTCTACTTCCTCCTCCTCACCACCCTACAGCACAGGACAAAAGCAAGACACTGCTGCTTGATTGAAAGAAGTTGAAGCTAGATACAATTAGCATTTGAGCAGTGGATGGCCATGTGTATGTATAGGATATTACCTGCTCAACTTTGGTGCAAGAAATTGGGCACACGTCATTAGCCTCCCACCCTACTGGCAAGAACGGGTGCAAGCCATACTTTCTCATGGTTTGTACACATCTTCTTCACAAAATCCCACGCTGAAATTCATTCCCCTATCTGTATAGTAGGGATCACGTGTGTGAAGCTAGCATTCGCCAAAAAACGGTCTCATCTCTGGGTGGAAAGCATCAATAACATACTCAGACACCTGGAACACAGTTCACCATTGCACTACCAGGTGGTGACACGGACACTCACTCTCAGCAACGTGCTAGAGATTTTTGCTATTTCTAAACAATTGCAATGTCCTGGTTTACCCCTACGCTCCGTGATGGTTCAATGTGGAGAAAGGCAGTAGCTTCTCCTTCCTTCTCACCATCGCCTGGTCTTCGTAACGAAAGGGTCCACAGCATTTTCGAACGACAGATTGTGTCGGTATTAGTGAGCTGTTGTACCCGAGTTCATTTTTCAGGTTGACTTCAAGTTTCTATGTGATAGGACAAATTCTGATGGAGCTGAAACAAAACCAAGGGCAAATTCTGTGATCTCACAGTGCTTTTTTAATCCCATGGTTAAAATAGGTGTTCAATTATTTCCTACAAAGGTCAAAATTAATAGCGTCACAAAATGTTCATGGTACAGTCGACCTACCCTTATAACGATATTTGGGTCTGAGCAAGAAATATTGTTATAAGGGTAATATTGTTATAGGGGTAACATGGTCCAATACATACATATGTACGCCATTTTGCATATTTTTTTAAATATTATTCATTATTGCATATATCTCGTCCATCACATGTATAGTACTGCATAATATGTACAGTGTATGGTACATGTACATGTATATGAACATGGTTATTCAATGGCGTATGTACAAACTTATGTACACGGCGCAAGTGCAGTGACAACACACTGGCTATTGTCTGTAAAACAGAAACACAGGCCATAACAGAAAGGTTCGGTATCACATAGAGAGCCACTGATCCAGCGACGCCTGTTGGCTACGTGTTGTCATGTTGGTACAGTCAGACCTCGCTTATCCGGTCCTCTTTTATCCGGATCCCTCGCCATCCGGACGAAAATCGCTGGCTACCGATTTGCAGCATATGCCATGCATGCATGCAGTATGTGTGTTCGATTATCCGGTTCCCTCGCCTATCCGGATATTTTTGTCGAAAACGGATGTGTGCGGTTATGCGAGGTCTGACTGTACGCTGCAAAGCTGTGTCGATGTTGTCTGCAGCCTGGAGCAAACTCTGTGCATTGGGAAGCACAGCCATGTTTTGTGACACGAAGTCCAAGACATCTCGGATAGAGCGGCGTGCCTCGCTCAATGTCACACGCCGGGGTGGAAGGTTGTCAACGGGATCCTCACCATGATCCTCCACTGCTGTTTGTTCTGCCTCTGCTTCACCAGCATTACCAGTGCCGTCATCACTGCTGATTGGATCCGCCTCAATGTCGCGTTCCATTTCCATATCAAGCATCTCGCTGGCTGTCAGCAGTGCATCTGCCTCCTCATCATCGCGCAACCGTGCATGGATCGACGCTTCGGCATCGGCGACAGCGGTCTGTAATTCATCCAGTTCCAGCTCAACTTCCTCGTCTGGCACAGGTAGAATGTCAACGTCCGACGAAGGGAGGATACCAACTGTCCGCCAGCAGTTAGTGATGGTGCTGGTCTTCACCTCCTTCCACGCCAAGCTTGTCCACTCAATAGCCATCTTCATATTTGGCCGAACCTTCGCCACATCAACTGTGTCATCGTCTTCCAGCTGCTGCACCAGCCAAGAGATATGGCGCCGACGGAAACCAGCTTTGAAGGCCTTGATGATGCCTGCATCAAGTGGCTGCACCACAGACGTCGTATTGGGTGGCAAGAAGACAACGACTATGTGTCCAAGCGTGAATCCACGGAGGTGGCCTTTGTTCCAGACTGCAGCATCATGGGGCATGGCGTGCGTTGTGGCGTTGTCCATTAACAGGTAGATTTTCGCCGATGCAGCTCGAGCTTTGGCAGCAACATGAAGGTTGAAGCTGCGAATTGACTGCACAAACACTTCGCTTGTCATCCATGCTGATTTGTTTGAGAAGTACTGGACGCCTGCATCAGATGGCTTCCACTGGCCGAAACATCTGGGCGTTTTAGCAGTGCCAATGACAACAGGTGAGTAGAAATCAGTGCCTGAATCAGAACACAACATCAAAACAAAAGAATAGGAGACTGAGAAACTATGCATTTGCTATGTATCCACTATGCATGCACATGTAGAGCAGATCCCAACTCACACAACCTCTGATTGAAATTGTCATCGACAAAATATTGCAGGAGTTCATAAATCATAATCACAGAGGATGATGGAGACTTTTCAACACAGTAACACACTCACCTGACGAGTTCACAAAGAGGCCGACAGTGACTCTGTCTTTAGCGAGCTTCTTTCCTTTCCGTCCCTTCGTGTTCGACGATGCCAGAGTTCTTGTAGGCAACTGCCGAAAGAACAGACCAGTTTCATCGAAATTATACAACATGTCCCGTTCGACACCAGCGAGAACGTCTGGGAGCTCTTTCCGAGCAATGTCAACACCAGCCTGGTTCACATCATCGCCCTCGCCGTGGCGGACCTGTTGGTTGACAGCATGACGTCTCTTCCAGTCCCACAACCATTTGGAGCTGAAATTGAAACCATCCGGAACGGTTACATTCTTACCGATCCGCTTGGCTGCTTCGATGAGAATCGAATCGGTCATCGGTGCTCGCTTGGCTTCCATGTGGAGGAACCAAGTGTAGAGCTCCTGCTCCAATGTGTCCACGTTGGACGCACGGAGTTTCTTCTTTGCGCCAGCACGATCGGAGAGCGCGGCCTTTTCCTGTTCCAACCACTTTGCCGAGTTCTTCAGGATACCGCTCAGCGTCCCCTGGGCAATCTCCTTGCCGAACTCTTTGAAGCACCAGGCTTGCAGCTGCTTCTGCGTCGGCCTCGGAACAAACTGACTACGACGCACAAGCTTCGCCTTTTCGTCCAATGTGAAGCTGGCGCGTTTCATACCACCAGATCGCATGGAGCCAGACTGTTGGCCGGCTTTCCGCTTACACGGCGCGCTGATAGCAGCTCCGGATGGACAGTCCGTATCACTATTGCTGTCCACTTCATCGAGTAGAGAGACTTCGTTCGATGCCATAGCTCTCAAGACACTCGAAGGCAATGAAGGAAAGGATGGAAGTGGTGATTCGACAAGCAAAATGAAGAAGGAAATCAGGACGAGAACAACTCGAAAGCGCAAGTTAGTTCGTCTTGATTTGAGACCCTTGGCCTTGTTCCGGGCCCTGCGTGGCTAGCACTGGCTGCACAGGTTTCCCTCGCGGACTCTAGGCTGTACGATTGGTCCGCGAAGTTGTGCACGGGTACAGCAAAGAGGTGCAAGATGCGAGACCGCAATCGATTCCGCAACACACACTGCACAGCGTCAGCGTTGCAACATCGATCTGCGAACTCGTTTCAAGCGCGTCTACGCTCGTACCGTACATGCAGCCCCTGGCCAAACACGATCGATGCACGCCTGTAAAAATCATTGAATGTGTACGCGTGCATGGCCTGCATCGGCACTGCAGCAAAAGAACGATTGTTTTCGATCTCCAAAGGTCGTCCCCTTGGCTTGTCGGGTGAAATTTGAGCTCCCGACAAAGGCCCAAGCGGTCATGGACAGCCTATGGTCTTCGACTCGATTTTTTTCAGAGTCAAATATCGTTATAGATCGGATAAAAGTCGATTTGTCAGTGAGTTCACCATCGTTATAGGGGTAATATCGTTATAGCGATATCGTTACAAAGGTAAGGTATTGTATACAAAAATCAACGGAGTGATTCCGTTAGCCAGAATTTTATCGTTATAAGGGTGATATCGTTATAAGGGTTATCGTTATAAGGGTAGGTCGACTGTATTGAGAAAACCAAAGTAGAAAACACAGAACGAGAGAGGGATACAGAGCAGTGAATCTTACAGAATCCTCCCAGGGTGGCGGATTGCGTGCATTTCGGCGGTTGCGACCCATGCGAATCAGACTGTGGATGGAAGGACCCGAGGCAGAACGGTCTCTCAAGAAGATGTCGTATTTGGGGTAGCGGACGGTGGTCACGCGTGGAGAGTTACCCAAGATCAAAAGCCTGTCCAGGACCTGAGCAATAGGCCGGAGAGGAAAACACAATACAACCAATTACTAAAACCAGAACAGTCCTCAAATGGTGACTGCAAACCGGTTAATACCATTCAAAGAAGCATGGCTTTATACTGTGCATGAACATATCAATTCAGCCTGCAATATCTAGCTTAGACAAAAGATATCATACTAAGTCCATATTTTTCGTGTTCCATTGCATCCACAATATCTGCAGTTCACTCCTCTCTGACATGTTCTCCCTTCGCCGTGACTGCGCTCACACAGATAGAGTAACCCGCGGCCAAGTCAATTATTCCCTTTCCTTACCCATTGTGCAAGGTCAAGCTGGATACAGATCTATTTCATTCCTTGGTGCTGACCGCTTTAATGCGCTTTCCGAATCCCTTCGCACAAATCATATCCCCAATTTATTTTGCCAGGAACTTAAAGGGGAAGTTAAGGCAAAAATTAAAATTTCACCAGTTGTAGTCTTCGGGGTGCTGAGTCGAATGGTCGTGGTCCGAGGAAGCTGAGACGCTCCCTTCCTACTTTAATCCCAATCGAACTCGCGCACTTCCACCGAAACTGGGTGACTGCGCCCTACTAGATGGGGATTTGTATGCAAAATGTCACTAAAAGCGCCATTTCGTTCTTATAAAAGCACGGATGACCGCGATTGGCCCATATGTTGTAGTCTTTTGGACGCTGAGTCGACTGGTTTTGGTCCGAAAAGGCTGCGATGCAGCGTTCCTCCTTTATTCCCAATCGAACATGGTTGAACAAGCGGTCACGTGCTCCTGCGTACGCCAGTCACCTGGTCACCGCGCCTGCAGGGTACAACTTACTAGCCTGTTTGACCTTTTTTGGGTGCAGTCCTGTCACTCGAGTTGAACCTTGGTGTGAAAGTTGTCGCCTGCAGGCGTGGTGACCAGGTGATTTGGGCACCCAGGAGCACGTGACCACTTGTTCAACCATGTTCGATTGGGAATAAAGGAGGAACGCCGCATCGCAGCCTTTTCGGACCAAAACCAGTCGACTCAGCGTCCAAAAGACTACAACATATGGGCCAATAGGCCTTATGCACATTGTACAGATGCACGAAATCCCGTATAATCTTGTAGAATCCCGTAGACCCGGTTGGGTGTTGAATGTGCAGGACCCTATTGTGTTTACTGCTATTTCCACTATGAAATGGGCCATGAAGGCATTTCATACGAAATCTTTTTCCGGCAGAGATCTAGCTAGTCGTTAGTTCAATCCCAAAGTGAAGAAGGCTTGAAAAGTGATCGTTTGCCATGAATTGTGAGGCTAAATGGGTCAAACGCGCATGTATAGCACACAATGAACACCCAACCGGGTATGTACACACCTACGGCCATAGTACAGAACTTCGTACATCTGTACAATGTGCATAAGGACTATCGCGGTCATCCGTGCTTTTATAAGAACGGAATGGCGCTTTTAGTGACATTTTGCATACAAATCCCCATCTAGTAGGGCGCAGTCACCCAGTTTCGGTGGAAGTGCGAGAGTTCGATTGGGATTCAAGTAGGAAGGGAGCGTCTCAGCTTTCTCGGACCGAGACCATTCGACTCAGCACCCCGAAGACTACAACTGGTGAAATTTTAATTTTTGCCTTAACTTCCCCTTTAACAATTTCATTCATCTTGGGCACCCTGTAAGAAGACCTTAGGGTCTGTTGGGAATGCCCAAGTAAAAATAAAATACAATACAAAAAATCTAACTAGGGGATGGAGAGTGGAATATTAAACAAGAGCCTGAAGGGGAATATATGGGAGCATGCATGGCAAAGCAGAAGGTTCCATCAACAGCTCACCTTCAAAAGGGCAAAGAGTAGCGGCCTTGCGCAGTCAGAATGTGCGCGTAGGAGACCATCCATGGGCCGGGCAATGCAGGCAGAACTTCCCACTAAGTGCACAACAGAGAGAGAGAGAGAGAGAGAGAGAGAGAGAGAGAGAGAGAGAGAGAGAGAGAGAGAGAGAGAGAGAGAGAGAGAGAGAGAGAGAGAGAGAGAGAGAGAGAGAGAGAGAGAACATATTGGGAGAGACCTTGCATCAATCTGGTACACATAGCTCGGTGTAACGTTTTCCATGATAAAGCAAGGGTACTGTAAACCGCCCAATATTCACGTCACTAAATTTTCGCGATTTCTTAGAACCAGCGAGTTTGCGATGGTAAAAGTTGCCCTGTGATGAGAAAAGGGACCAAATGGCTGTCAGCTGACAGTTGAGTAAAACGCGTTTGAAAGTGGGCACTTGAAAAATCGCTGATTTTCGACTGCATTCGCTTGGATTTGGAATAACTTTAGAAGGGTTTTGTGTAATTCAATGCGGTAAAAACGAGTGCAGAGCTGCTTTGCTGGCCTTTCTGTACGTATTTGGATCGTCACAATCGGCCCACGCATGCCAGAGAACGGTGTACGTGACATGCAGGCTACGCGTCCGCGAGCTGCCGTTGCAAAGAGAAAATCTTTGAACATCACTTCAGATGCTTCTTTCTCGTTCTGCTTAGAAATTTGTTTGCAAACATGTCGATCCCAACATTTACCGTTGATGCGAGTCTCAGGGAAGCTTTGACAGAGCTAGATAGAGAGTTTTTGGGCATCGAAGTGGAGATTGCCGAGTCAAGTGATGATTCTGACAGGGAGTTGTCGTTGGAGTTGTCAGAACTATCCTCTTCCTCTGATGAAGACGGCGATGATCGGGAAGACCACTTTTTGGACGAGTCACACGATGTAGATGCAGTTGCAGCATCATACCTCGGCGAAGAGTCAGCGCAGGCTGCAGAACCAGCGCAGGCTGCAGAACCAGCGCTTGCTGAGGCGGCAGCTGCGGAAGAAATAACTGTGAACTGCGGGTGCAGCAAAAAGTGCTTGGACAAGTTTGATGCAGAAGATGTTCGACTGCTGCAGCTCAACATCGCAGAAATGGAGAAAGGGGAGAAGGAGCTGGTGATTTTGGGCCTTCTTGAGTCATCCAAGTACTCTACTGACACCGCGACTCACGGGAAGAAGAGAAAGAAGCAATGGCATCGGTATACTTACCAAGGCGAAGAGGTTTGCGCCGGTGGATTTCGATTGCTGTACAACATCGGATCGAAGCAACTAAAAAATCTGAAAAAACACTTGGAGGAGAATGGGCTGGTGCCACGGACCCATGGCAATGTCGGCAGGAAGCCTAAACATGCTTTGTCGTATGATACTGTGTCTGCCGTTGTGCAATTTCTAAAAACTTACACTGAGCGCTTCGGCATACCACAGCCAGCACCGACTCGAGGGCGAGCTGGAGCACCGCCAACTTATCTGCCAGCGTCATCAACGGTTACATCCATCCACAAGTGCTATGTGACCTCATTAGAGGAATCAGGCATCAGGGCTGTGGGCTACCACACATTTCGGTCCGTTTGGCTTGACTGCTTGCCAAACATTCAGATCATGACGCCGCGCACTGACGTATGCTCGCGCTGTGAGAATTTCCGCCGACGGATTCAGGAAGCACGGACGGAACCCGAGAAGAGTGCAGCATGCGATGCATTCAAACAACACCTTGACGCAACGCAAGCAGAGCGTGACTACTACCGTCAAGCGACACTACAGGCCCGGGCAGAGCTTGATGCATGTACGACTATCCAGCAGCAGCTGAGCCAGCCATGTTCACGCGATCTGCACCACCCGCACTACACGTTCGACTTTGCCCAGAACGTGGCACTGCCGCAGTCGGCACGTCAGGAGGGGCCCCTGTACTTTAAGGCACCTCGTAAGGTGCAAATATTTGGTGTGAACAATGAAGCTGTGCCTCAGCAGGTCAACTACCTGATCGACGAGTCGGACACCATCGGGCAAGACGGCAAGTCGAGTCATGGTCCGAACGCGGTGGCCTCCATGCTGCACCATTTTTTTTCATTCTATGGACTACATGAGAAAGGCTGCCTCCTGCACTGTGATAATTGCGCAGGCCAGAACAAGAATCGGACTATCGTAGCGTATTTCTGCTGGAGGGTGATTATGGGACTGCATGACCGTATTGAACTGTCCTTCATGTTGACTGGCCATACCCGGTGCCTTGTCGATGGCTGCTTTGGCCTGCTGAAGCAAAATTTCCGGCGTAGCGACTGCTACACCATGGGGCAGCTGGTGGCAGTGGTCAATGAAAGCGCATCTTGCAACAAGGCCCAGCTGATTCCTGGATCTGGTTTGGAATGGAGAGCCTGGGATACATTTCTGGCTCAACATTTCAAGCCAGTGAAAGGAATCCGCAAGGTTCAGCACATGGTATTCGACGCAGCTAAGCCCGGTATTGTCAGTGTCAAGGCATCCCTGGAAGACACCTACAGCGATGTGGAGGTGCTCACCACGTCTAAAGACGCCCTTGTTGCCGCAGGGATGCCCCCAGTCCTTCAAGCACCAGGACTATCCGAACAACGACAGCAATACCTCTATAATCAGATCCGCCCGCATGTGCCTGACCAATTCCAGGATGAGCTCTGCCCGAAGCCAGCTGTGCATGTGTCTGCTAGTGCCGCTACTAGTGCTTCTCCGGTGGAGGAGTAATGTAACAGACTCTGCTACCTCACGGCTACTTCAAAACTTTTTTAATGCCAAATTGCTGCTGGTTGTATATTTTCTTGCTGTATTTTTAATGTCTCAGGACGTGGACTTGCTCCATCTTTGTGTGTTTGATGGTGGTGGCATGCCAGTATTACCTTGTACAGTTTTTCCTCTTGGCCCAGTCAAATGTCAGTGTCAATTGCCAGTAACTACAGGCTGTGTGCAGGCTCAAACATTCCCATACATTTCGTGTCGATAAGTCCTCAAAGTTTTGTATGATCCTGTTCTTCGTATGGCTGCAAAATATCTGAAAAGACACTTAGAAGATTGACCGTAGCTTTGTCAAAAATTGAGATAATTCAGCTCTGTTTTTTGCATCGTTTTCTGCATGAAACCAGCTTTCTTCTGATGTTTAGAGCTCGGTTTGAGTAAAAAAAGCCATTTGGTCCCTTTTCTCATCACAGGGCTCGCCCAATATTCACGTCACTAAATTTTCGCGATTTCTTAGAACCAGCGAGTTTGCGATGGTAAAAGTTCGCGAAACACTGGGGCCACTTACATCCACCCACTGTTGAAGTTAGATTTCACGATGGTTAATATTCGCGTTACTCTCTCCTCGCGAAAATAGCGAACATTAATGCGTCGCGAATATTAGGCAGTTTAGGGGTCGTCCGTATTTTTCGAAAAATTAAAAATCTGTACTCAGGCAAAAAGGGGGTGGGTGGTCAAGAGTGCTGGCGGAATTTAATTTTTTGATTTTTCGTATCTTTTTTTTTTTTTTTTTTGCTCCAGTGATTTTCATACATGTACACTATAGTCTGTTTCAAAAAGATTGACAATCAGGTTTGGGTCTTAAAAAGTATGAAGATAAGGGAGATTTGGACAACAAAGTACATAGAATGGCTTGTTAGGACACGGCAAATTGTTCTGTGAAGGTTTCGGAACAATTGGATCAGCCGTTAAGGAGTTAGAATTTCGGCCAGGTTTCCGGCCTGTTCCCATGGTTTACAATTTGCCCAGGAAGCCAGTATCGATTTTTTATCAAAACCCACGATTTATCCTTTCCTTTTTGGCCTTGTGGTTATGAATGCTGTCTGCTGACCATGAAGTTGTGAGTTCAAATCCCAACCTATCCTCAAGGTTAAATTTTTTTCGACATTGTTTTGGTGATCAAGCTGGTACAAGACAAAGAAGATGGCTGCACTAAACGACTTGTTGTTGTTGTTGGAGCTCGCGCTTCCTGCCGAACTGACTGACACTTGACTGGCTCACGCCATGTGAACACACCCACAACACTGCAATGGTGTGAGTGAATATGGAAGTCATCACGCTGTAGCTTTTTGAGATTTATTCAAGTATTTCAAGATCGCCAATTTATTTGAATTTAGCAGTCAACGCCGTCTTCTATCAGCGTTCACAAGCGTCTGCTTTTCTCAAAATGTCGTCGAAGTCACACGGATAGCTTTGCCAAGTCATGGCCTTGGGAATGAGTCCGTGTCGATGTCGTTTTCGTCACACGGTCAGTAAATTGAATCGCAGCTCAAAGAAACTATTTTGGTCACAAAACAAATTGGGACCCATGCCGCTCGTCAACATTTACAACACTTTCGTTTCGACATGTCCTCTCTGACTCCATTATCGATACGAGGAAGAACTCGTTTGTTGTAAACCAGACGACAGACTTACATGACTGTATCAACGTGAGTGAGTTGTCATTTTTCCTGCTTTCGCGCGGAATATTACTTCGAGTTCACAGTGAGTTTTTCCAGGCAGCGCTCGAGTGCTCATACGGTAAGACGCCAAATTCCGCGGGCGATCGCCAGGATTGCAAATCTTTTTGAAACGGACTGTAAGCTTGTTGCACTGAGCTGACTGTGTACTGTACTGTAGATGTAGTGTAGGATTGATTGTCGCAAACACCAGTATCTACTATGAATGATGACTTTTCATGTAATTGTAGGACGGTGCATGGCCGTGACGTCGGTGGACCTACTACTCACTGTACTTAGCTACTAGTACTTGACACAGGTGCAGTCAGAAAACATGGGGTCAGGAGTTCTTATTTTCGAGCTGGGCATCGGTAAAAATCCAAAAATTAATGGGAAAAACTGGGGGGAGGGTGGGTGGATCAGAGACAATTTTGCACGAGGACGGATTTTTTAATTTTTCGAAAATTACGGATGACCCCTTACAGTACATTATTATGAACTTGAACAGTCTGAGCCTCTGAGGTCAACTTGGTGTAGCGCACAAGTGCATTACATGACTTTATACGCTGGCATGGGTGAAACGAAACGAAACCTGGCCTGGAGGTTCAATTCCCAAAAAAAGTATCACTAACTCTGGGAGACCCCAGCCTAAAACGAATAGTTTCGGGCTATCTCCGGTGGATTCAACCCAGGAAATGCAAGTGAATATGCCGTGACATCACTGTACAAAAAGTCAGTTGAGCATTCATGTATTTCAAGTTTGCCGATGAAGAACAGTCTTGACAAGAATGCCACAACATACCCTACACACAAAACACCCCCCACCACAGACACACACACTCACACATAACATTACATAACACAATACACCCCCCCCCCCTACACACACATAACATTACATTATTATGTAACATAACACCGCCAAATACTTACACAATGTACCTCCATCAGTGTTGCCGCCTCGCTTGCGCTTTCGCAGGGCAGAGATGAAATCTGGCGCCAGAAGGATGCGGAGAAGACGATCAAATGGCTTCATGGCCAGAAAGTGCTCACGGCACTGCTGGTTTAGACACAGTGCCGCCAGGACGTCAGGCAGCATGGTGTAGATCTCTCGAATAGCAGGTAGCTATGACAATCAAACAAGAAAAGGCAATCAACAATGTATAGCTGTCAATTTCTTATCCCGTTTCACGCAGGCAGAAACACACGCTACACTACTCTGGTCAGTTGATCAATGCTATGAAAAATTTGAGCTTTCAAATACGAAAGAAGTTGACCTGATGTGCGACTTCAAGTGTGAAGGAATTAGTAATAATGCACTGCACCTGCAATGCACGACAGGCACAAAACCGAGTTGGCGGACGATATGGCAATACTGGTTGGACCAGGCAATAAACAGAGACAATGCTGCTAACCTCTTGGACGACGAGAGCATTAAGGATGACTCCCGCCAAACCACTGTCAACGACATCACTGATGGAGCCGGGAACAGCATTCATGAACTCCATCACAATCTCCATGGCTAAGCACAAGACAACATCCAAACACACACACACAGCATGATGTGCCAAGATTAACTAAACAAAACACAGTTAGTGATGCTGCAACCACATGCAGATGCACCACATACACCACACAAGCAGAGCGGAGCAGATAATACGAGGGAAAAACACGCGGTGAGCGGGCTAGATACTAAATAAATATCATTTAAAAAAACTACTCTTGGACTTGTCGCCAATTCAGTGAGTATAAAAGCCTGCTGGATGCTCTCTTAGTGTGAACGCTCCAGTTTTTCTGCTGTTTACATGTATTGGACACACTTATAACGGAACCCAAAGTCAGTATTTCATTATGTAGATCACTAACACAGTTCAGAAATGCACTAGGCCGGCAAACACACAGGCAGACAATTTCCACAAATGCTAGGAGGCGACTCCGGAATCCAGCCAGCTGCCTGTACCAGCAGGCCACAAGAATACTCACCGAGCTGAAACAGTGAAGAGCCGTAGAACTTTGGGTTACTTAGGATGTGTGACAGCGAGCTTGGTAGATGTGTGGACTCATCCATACCTGCAGTGAACCCACCACAACATAGACAAACTCTTTTCTACACTAGCCATTGTCTACAGACTACCACAAGACAAGACAATTTCCAAAAAAATCAGCAGGGTGGTAAAGTCTGCCGAATGTACACACAATGGGTATATGAACATGCACACAATAACAGACACCAAAGCAGTCACTTTCACAAGTCGGACCACTCAGATTTCTCATTCCTGATACGTTTATGGTTGTGTCGTACTTCTGACATGCTAAGTATGATTTAGCTAAGGTAGACAACGCTCTTCGTGCAGTCTCAACTTCAGCTCCTAACCTAAGCATATGCCCTGGCTCTCACTACTCCCTTGCACTCTGCCTACTGACGATGGACAAAGGTGGAAACACGTGAGATTTTGTTACCCGTTTCTGTTGCTGTGTAGGCCGGGCAAGAAATGGGGAGAGACTACAGTCCATTCATCGGAAACAGTCCCGCTGGCTTTTGAAAGTCGGATTTGGGCCGAATTGAGGATCAAAAACCCACTTTAAATCTCAAAAATCTGGGTTTTGGATCTGCTTTTCCATACATTTTGCCAAGGCATACCCGTCCTAATTTTGCAAAACCTGGCTGAATTTCTATTTCCCTGTTCTTGGGCTTTTGTGGCCTCAAATGTGGCAAGGAGTGATTGCACGGGTCACACAATGCAGAATGTAATGTTGTTTTCATGATATCTACAACTATGTGCGGGAGACACCAACAAGTTAGGGTGCCAGTTCCCAATGAATGGACTGTAGTCAGAGCAGAGTGCAAGTGTCTAAGCATTGTCTAAACTTGACAGGATCAACAGCTGTAGCACAAGACACTACTTACAACGTCTCAAGAAGGTCGGCATGCTTCGCAGAGCTTTCCTGATCAGGTTCAGTGTTGATTTGATCAAGGCAGAGCGTTGCGGAGCACAGCCATTCGGGTGGAAGTAGCGCTTGATAGAATATCGAGAAGACGAGAGCATAATGACTTGATCAGCAGTCATGCCCAACACCTCAGGCAGTCCAGAGCTCGCAAAGTACACGTCTTCATCCCAACTTGTCTTCGTTGTCACGCCGTCTGCGTCAGGTTCTACAACGGGAAGAGCTGGAAACTTCGCCTTTGTTTCATCTCCAGAGAAGCTGACTTTTGACTGGCTCATTTCAGAAAAGTCAGTTGGTGCTGAGCTCCGTGAGCCATGACAAGACCAGTATGAGTCGGCTGAAGTCAGAGGCTTTGGAGGAGACTTCATCAGGTCTTCTAGCATACGAGGCTCAGCCTTTCGGCAAATGTCTATCTCATCCTGCACAAAACATCACACAGAAGAAGCATACAGTTATAGTTTGAACAGACTGAAACACCATGTGTAGGACCTGCACCACAAGTGGAGTACAACCTGTCACTACCAACACCCTTGGCGCAGCGTAAATTTTCCTGATATGAAAGGATTCCACTTGACACTGGGAGGACCGTTCCACCCACAACACAGGTAGTACAGCAGGTGAGGCGCTGGCCGGACCAGTTTTTTTTGGGGTTCATGGCAGGCTCAGTGTGCAATTGATCATGTGGAAGTACTTGGAATAAGCTATCTTTGTGCACTCCTTGCTATAGTCTTCCCCACGTGGGATGCACGAGCTGATAGCCTAGACTCCGTGCTTCGATGTACGATTTTTCTTTCGAATGTACACCATGCACGAGCTATTGTGCTACCGTAAAGTACCGTTGATCCACCCCCGCACTAATTCCCGCCCCCTATCGAATGTCTGCCTGTGTAGTGACGTCGGCGTATACAACGGAAAACGATGTTGAACCGACGCACATGCTGCTGTACACAATACGTGCGAGTGCAGGATGAAAATGTGCACAATCCAGCATTCCAGGTTTGATCTGCTTTGTTGTACATCGTACTGCACTTGAACGACTTGATCTAATTCCCCCGCCGAAAAACCAAGTGGGAAGCAACACGGCGTGGGGGGGGGGGGGGGGGGATCCACAGTACTTTACAGTATATACAGTGCTATACACCTCGGATGAGCCTTTTTTTGCAACTTTTTATTTTTTCCACCTCTCGCATATGATTCTGGAAGTTGAACTGACGTGAGGAGTAGGAAAAAAATGGTGGCCTTAGAGAGTGAAAGTGACAAGTCGGCGCGAGTGTTGTGTTGTAAGGAATGGTGGAGCTCGTTTGTTACAGGTAGTAAATATAGGCCTTGGTTCTCCTTTCTGCATTTGACAGGATTCCGCCAGTTGCGGTGAATTTCAATGGGCTGTGAATTTGTGCATGACATACTTCTAGTCATGACAGGATTCTGCTTGGGGCAGGGTGCGGCAAACACAGGTATTACTGAATGTGAAAGGCCATGACACTAGATACATGGATACAAGACGATCAAAATATACCCAGGACATTCATTGAGAACACGAAATGCATTCACAGAGACAGCACTCAACGCAGTTGACTCTAAACGATTTACCTTGAGACGTTCCAGTAGTGTCACCACACCGTCCTCACCATTCAAGGTGTTAAAGTCTGCACCGCTCATTAGATCCACAATTCGAATCGCACGGGTTACAAACTGAAGTTAGACACATGTGTTGAACAACAGTCAGTAAGGATAAGTGAGCTGCTCACTTACATAACAATCCACGAGCATCAAAGCCCAGACATTATGCTTAGGCCGCAATTGACAATGCAAAAGAAGCACCGTGTTGCCAGCCCTGCATGCAACGGTATGTCACAATGCCAGCCTGTAGGCACCAGTTACAAAGGCAAGTCACAACTAGATTACACACAGCAATAAGGTTGCTCACTTCAATATTCAGTCAACTGTTAAAATATTTTCCAAAAGCTTATCAACCGATACTAATCAGCGCATGCATGGGAGAGAAGTAACAATCATCCATATACAGGAATGGAACGGCATGCACCGGTAACGAGATTTAGGGCTGATGCCCACTAATGACTTGTTCTATATAAGGCAGTATGACTCTGAGGAAGAGAGAAACGACGCCGGCTTGACGACAACAGACACAGCTCTAGTTCAGCAGCCACATCGTTTGTCACTTCAAGAAAAGAGTTTCAGTGAGTTGATGTGCTTGTTGTTCCTGCGCACATAGTATTGGTGTTCAGCTACGGGTGTACAGAATCTCGAGTGTACAGAGGTCAAATGTACCCACTGATGATGAGACTGGGCTGAAAAACTTTTCAGAAAGTATTTTCACGGTCTAGAGAACAGATTCCTCGGAGACAAGAATGCAGTAACACTGAGAAAAAGGACACACTTCTGGCTCTTCAACATCATCTTGAAAGTTTTTCACTAGTATACTTTCAAGCCTTATCGTCAGGTGAAATAATAGTGAAAAACTTTCAACATGTTGAAGAGCCTGAAGTGTGTCCTTTTACTCAATGTTATTACGGTTTAGAGAGTAAGGAATTAGCAACTTCGTTGCTGAGTGTGATCAAATTTACGTCCCCTAACCCCCCCCCCCCCCCCCCCTGTTTAAAACTTGTTTTCTGTCCTGTCCAACTCACAGTCGTTCCCACCCTTCACTAAATGATGACGCTTACCGTGAGTGAATTCTCAGTTGTTGCTGGCCATTGGAGCACTTTAACCATACACTCTCCCATTCCACTCGCCACTAGCGCATCAGACCCACCTGAAGAATGGAAAAGTAGCACAACCAATACAAACATACATAGCTCTTGACAGTGATCCCGGAGCAAAACAAACAGGCTCAACACTATAATTAATAGTATGCCCTTACTTAGGACTGCAACAAGGAAAGATGTGAGTCAATACATTTACTATAGAGAATCCTAGTTAGGATACAGTTGACCAGGGGTGTGGCATACATGTAGCTAGTCCCCCTTTAGGGGGGTGCACGGCCGCATATGTGCAGGATGGCTGGTGCATTCATGGTTATTACATGCATGCTGAACCTACAACTTTGTAGGTTGAAATTTTTAGGGGGGGGGGGGGGTGCACATGCCCCCCCCCCCCCCCCCCGTGCCCCATGCGGGCTACATGCCTGTTAACACTGCAACAGCACTGAAAAAGGTCAAGCTGACTTCCAGACTTGCCTGCTTGCGTGCTTGCCATGTGATACAACGTTGAAAAAAGGGCCGTTGAGAGCTGGTGGGGAAATGGGCTCTGTCCTGGATCTGACATCACAATCAGAAAACACAAAGCAAAGAAAGGACTATATTACCTGTATCAAGGAAAATGTCAACAATACGAAGAAACATTGTAACAGCAAGCAGGCCGTCTGAAAAAACCAACTGTCGATCAAAATAGAACATTTCCAACTCCGATTGAGTTTGTTTTATTGAAGTGATCATTATACGAAACATGCTATTCGTACCCATGTGTGTACACGCACAGACACACACACACACACACACACACTGCAGACACACAGACACAGACACATGGCACAAAGAACTCTATCAAAGTCAAAGTTGCACTGGGAATGGCCGTGAGACAAACCCAGTGTGAAAACAATTCGTAGAGGGAGACTCAATGACTGCAATTTAACATTATTCTTTGAGACACGTGCCAATGGTACAGAATTTATTGCTGCAGCCATAACGTACCTGTCAGCTGATCGACACACTTGCGCAGCATTGATGGGAAAACACCATGGTAAGACTTTGCACCTGTTACATCGATGCAGTTGAATGTTGTCAAGTTCAACGTCCTACACCCCGGCATAAAGGGAAGCAAGGTGGAGAAACAAATGAACAAATTCAATACACATACACACACACACACGCACACACACACACACACACACGTACACACATGCTCATCGTTGAAGCGATGATAGCAAATAAACTTGTGCTAGGATTACACCATCAGCAGATTGCTAGGCTGAAGAATTGACCGCTACTAATTTTAGCCTGGTCTGCACCACACAGCTGATTGAAGCTGACACATACACACACACACATGCACACACGCACGCACACACACACACACACACACACACCACGATGAATCCAATAAAAAGCATGAGACTTACTGAGGTATTGCCATGAAGGCAGTGAAGCAGCGAAGCACACTGGCTTTGATATCCTGCCGCCGCAGAGGAAAGACGAGAAGATATACAAAGCACGCAAGTGCAGAAGAACAATAAACATCTTCAAAATATTCGCTGTCGGAAATTAGAAGATGGTGAGAGCACAGACAATGTGTGTTATAGGCTGTCGAAGTGTGACGTCACAGCTTCTTGACAACGCGTAGTTACTTGGCCAAGTGGTGACAAACAAAAGTCGCGTCACCTTACTACCTGCACTTGTCGTGTTTCCAGTGCCAGCAGCATGCAGTGAACACAGCTACAGCATCACTTTGACTGAGGAGTGCGCGAGCCAGATTATTTATTTCAAATAAACTGCTACTTGTCGCCGAGCTTGTAGTTTTCGCTTTTAGTGAAGGAGAAGCTGTGGCTGATTTTTTGCTTGGCCACTGCTGTGCCTGTACTGTTGTTTGGCTTCATATATAGTCGCTGGCCAAGAAACAATGATGGGTGCCTCTGTTATTTCTATTGCAGCGGTTGCTGATTTCTTTTAGTTCTGAGACCAGCCAACTCTGGGCTCGTTTCCTTGTTAGGTTAGAGTAGCTACTGTGCCGAGTGAGTCCAGCCATGAAGAAAACTGCACAGTTTACCGCAGCCTTGTCCCACTGCCTTATATTGTGTGGTTTAGAGGAAGTCGTCTTGCGCCACAGTGTGAGATGCACTTGCAAGTCTGTCCAGTATCGTACCGCAGTCCCAGGCCAAGGGGAGAAAGGGTCACTGCAGCTAAGAACAGCACATTCCGCACAATGGGGGGGGGGGGGGGGGGGGGTTTACAGCGGACTTTACTTCCTCTGTAAACTAAATTTTACCTCATTGTGAGTGCTAGTTGTACAGAAACACAACAATTACATTTCACAGAGAAAGAATATCTATGTCAAACCTGATCTTGCGTTGCCATGAAATGAAAACTAGATTTGGCAAGGTATTACAAAAATAAGACAAACAATTCAGGAGCCGTGTGACACACGCCTTACCGGCAAGTCAGTGTGCCCGTGTAGCTTGAGCAGTGCAACCAAGTCACTTGCAATGGTACCGTACACAAACGTCTGAGGCGCTTGGAATGCACCGCTGTACACTGGGCATGGCAAAAGAGAGAAAGTGAGAGGAAAAACAGCTCAAAAAACCACTATACAGGCACACGTGTCACTCGCCTGAAGCATCTCAGGCTTGGCTCACAAGATACACTGTACTCTTCTTCCAAGTATGATGACAGATGTCACTAAGACCCGGTGCACAACGATGAAGTACGTACAAGGTGCGTACAAACCTATAGGATAAAATCATTAAATGGGTGTTTTTTTTAATCTGCAAAGCACGAAACTACTCTTGAAGTATCCATGTCATTCAGAAAATGTACACAGATGACACCACAATGACATTGTCTACACGGTCAATTGTTGTTAGCTCTATGGTACACTTTGCTGGCCAGTGTAGCTCAATTAGCAAGAAGCTTCTGAGACCAGGAAATTACTCCCTTCGTTAAAAGAATTTCGGGTTCACCCAGGTCTTGTCGTACATGGATGCGTGTTTTGTGTTAATAGGATTGCATTGTAGTAAGCTACACGTCAGCTGCATTTACTCAGCCTATGTACAATACCAAAACATGTTGACACAGAGAAGAAACACAGCTGCTTAAAAGCAGCCACATTAAATTCATAACTCATGGCAGCTTACACAGGGTTGATATTGCCTGCAGACGAACACAGATGAACTTCGTGCGCCACACGTAGTCACGGAACTTCTTGGCCATGCGCAGCAAACTCAGCAAGCGGAACTGAAACAACACAAGAGCAACACCTGGGGTTACAACTAAAACAGTGAACAAGCTAGCCAGCCAGTACAAGTACTCGAATTTCAGAAATTTTAGGTGCTCAATATTTTCGGTATGAGGGCAAAAGGCCAGGTTAGGTGAACAGAAATTGTAGGTACAGAGAAGCAGTTCCCTATTGTATTAGGCGTGATAGTGTTTGTTCGGTGTATTGAAATTTTAGGTAAGAAACAGACACACCGAAAGTACAGAAAATAAAAGTACCCCAAAAATTTGTGAAATGACAGTAGCATGGTATTCAACTCCTTCAGTCTACTGTTTGACCAAATACAAATTCGGAAAATGCTCTTTTTACCGTTGCATTGAATGGTTATTCTGCCATAAATTGCATTTCAAAATAAAATATTCAATCAAACACAAAAAATACCAGTTAGAAATGACTATTGTTCAGCCCAATGTTTCCCATGTGTGGAACATTCATGAAGTAGGTTTGCTCGGTCCAGAAAGGACAAGTGAAAATGCTCAGCAAAGCCATTCCGGCTGTTCGTCACAAACTGCACATAATTCCAGGCTTAGAGTAAACAAATTCAGGGTACCGTACTTTCCGGAGTATAGTGCGCACCTTTGTATAACGCGCACCCCCAATCTTCATTGGGGATGCACACTTCAATCTTCATTGAAGTACATGCATTTCATATTCGGAGCATAGTGCGCACCTGCGATTTAGGGCCTAAAATAGCACATCTAAAGTGCGCAATATACTCCGGAAAATACGGTATACCCATCGGCGGAAACGAGAGAAAACAGCAGATGTACTTAAATTCGTAAAGACCCGGTGAGTACAGGTAAGTATACGCACCTGCCGTTCAACCGGTGTGTGGAACACATTAACAAGAATGCGCAGCATCTCATCTGGACTTTCCTGGTACTGCAGGGCACAGCAACGCAAAGCAAAGGAGCATGTAATTCGACTAAATAGAGGACAGTGTGCACTGTTAGCAGTGAGGCAATTCAAAACTCAAACTTCATGGTAAAGATAACATGCATCCACAGCACTGGGACAAGTGAAAATTCCGCTACAGATAAGAGGCACAGTGTTGCTGGGTAAATGAGCGCGTTCCCTCAAGCAAAGGAAAGCTTCCCCTGACAATCACGGATGAGAAGTACAACCAGGATAGCACTGGCTACAGCAATCGTGCAGGCTCAGCCACAGCGCAACTACTCACCTGGTGGACATCCTCCAGGCTGATGACAGTCTTGTTCATGTCATTCTATCAACACACACACACACGTTTAAAAAATAGTCCCAGTATGAGAAGATATACGCACACGCACGCATGCATAAACACACACCACTGACAACACAGCAACACCATAACAAGAATTGCTGGACATCGCAAAAGACTTCCCCTGGATTTCCATAAGGTGATGATGGGTTGAATCAACAGACTTGCAAAACCGAAAACACTTCAAACAGTGTAGTCATGTAGTGCAATCCAGTCATAAAGTGAAGCTTATAAAACACCGACTCACCACATCACTCCCTTCACTGGAATGATACTCAAAGTGGATTGTGGAGCATACTGCTGGTGTGTCCTGTAAGTACACACACACACACACACACACACACACACACACACACACACACACACACACACACACACACACACACACACACACACACACACACACACACACACACACACACACACACACACACACACACCATGAACGCCCGTCACAGGGGAAGCACGCATATCTGCAAATGCAGAGGTCACGATGTCCGACACAGGAGACCTGATCCAATCATCAGGCACTGCCACTGGTCCTTCCACAGACATTGTTGCCCTTACACAGATGTTGGCCACCCAGTTGAGGTCCTTGGAAGACAAGGAACACTAAATAACGGCGATGTTCCAGCAAACATTTCAAACGCTGGCGCAACAAACCCAACGCAGAACTACCACCCCATCATCTGCTTTCACAACAAGCAGCAATATTCGGTCCACCAGCCAGCCCAATGCGGTGCGGCGGTTCTTGTACCAGTGAGGCAAGCAACAATCACAGCAGAAACAGGCTGGCACCAAAAGATCTCTGCATCCGTATGAATAAATCCATAATAAAAGAATGCATAAGGCCATGGTAAAAATTATCTTTGATTCTCAAGTACGCGCGCACCGACGATTTTTTATTATTTCTATGCATGTATATGCGCACATGAAAGCGGTCAATGCGAAAAGGCATGAAGCAGGGAGTAGTAAAATACCGGTAATTTTCTCCTCCCTGGCCTGAATAATATAAAATAATTATATGAACCTGTGACGTACAGATGTGTGACCCTATCTTTGGAAATAAAAAAATTGTGGGAAATAATAAAAAAATCGCTCGCTCGCACCGATTTTCACAGGCTCATGACCTGAGAATCAACTTTATTTTTACCATGGCCTAAACAAGGAAATTCACCAGTTGGGCTACGAATATATCCCAACACATGTGAAAGAATCAAAGGAAACATGCCCATGATGACGTTGTCATCCTCATTACAGAGAGAATAGCCCTCACCTCGGACGCACAGCAAGCTACCAGCGATACATCAGGCCAGCAATGAATCCACCCCTACACATATACACACACAGGTTCAACACAAGCAGTTGTTAAGAAAACCGCAAGAGTACAAAGATATTCATGAGGTTGAGATAATGAACATTAAGAATGCACCGAGAAGATACGGTTACAGGAAGTTTTCTTCAGTCCATTGAAAAAGGACCAGTATGATATATTATTGTATGTACATTGATTGTAGCTAAATTCAACCAGAACACACAAACCTAGTCTAAACTTGTTTTCTTATGATCCACATTTTGAAGGAAGATCATCATTGGAAGAGCATTCCACGTTGGATTACCAAAACATTTTTTGTCAAGTTCAACCTTGACCTATCCAGGGTCAAGAGCAACAGGATCAACCTTTTTCCCCGAATTGACTGTACAAGAGCCAAATACTGTAATTTCACAAATTTTCAGTGTACTTTTATTTTCGGTACTTTCGGTGCATCTGTTTCATACCTAAAATTTCAATACACTGAACATATACTAACACGCATAATCCAATAGGGAACTGCTTCTCTGTACCGGAAATTTCTGTTCACCTAACCTGGCCTTTTGCCCTCATACCGAAAATATTGAGCACCGAAAATTTCTGAAATTAGAGTACCGCAAGAAGGCAACAAGACAAAAAAAAACTAACCTCCGCGTAAGTTGCAAGCCTTTCATAGATTTCATTTTTTGTCTCCTTTGGCAAGCCTGACAAGTATGTGGAGCGCTTACTACAGACAAGAGAAAACAGCAGAAAGCAGGATGACACAATCTAGCTAACATACAAGACGGGAAAATTAGCTTTAGCATGGAATCCAAGTAGCATTGATATCATCAGTACACTGCAGCTCAGGAGCATTGCCCAGAAGTCAGAAGAGATGCTCAGGTTGAAATGACGGGCATCTGCACAGCTACTATCATAAGCAGATTGATATGGGTAAGACATGTACGACTGGCATCTGCACAGCTACTATCATAAGCAGATTGATATGGGTAAGACATGTACCTGAAGATGTAAAGGAGATGAATGACGGCAAGGACAATCTCAACGTCTGTTGAGGCTAGCAGCTTGGTCAAATGCTGCACAAGATCACAAGCAAGACGACAGAGAAACGGCAGAGACCATCATAAATGACTATTCGTCTCACCAACCCAGCATCACCGTTAGCAGATACAATATCACCCGAGGCACACTGAACGCCAAACCATACTTTCCAAGCCTGCACATAGGAGTTTACTACAACAGGCATGCAGCACAAACCAAGGAGGATTGCAAGTCTCCAAGAATTGTTACCAACAAAAAACAAACACTCACCTCAATGGAGTTGTAAAGATGCCGGGCGTATGAATGCTCAATGAGAATGGCTGTGAAGTTCAGGATAGCAATCACTCGTTCTTTCACCTGTGTCGACAACACACACACACACACACACACGCATATATGATTTCAGGTCATCTGTTTCTAGCAGAAGCAGACTGGCAGAGCATGAGTTCACGCACCCTTTTCCCGCAAATGAACCGAAAAGACAAAGACTTAGTCGTCTCTCCCAATATCTTTCCAACCCACAAATCAATTTTACTGCGCTTGAAAGTACATGGTACTTGCTAAACAACTTGGGCACCAGAATGTTGTCGCTAAACTCGATTTGTCGTTATATCCAGGGTCGTTATGTCCGATCTCCACTGTAATAGCAACCACATTCCACTCCTAGTAAGCAATACAAGTATCTAACAACAGCTAATAAAGGGAAGGAACAATCGGCTCCATCATGAACACATACACCAGCCAATCGAGTTGCACGGGGAGCAATACACTCAGATCATTGACATGTATGTCATGGACTCAGAAAATATTCAGCTTCTGACCAGCATCAGCATCAGCACCACAAAGTACTCCAATTCTGACCAAGATCCGGCCAGAATGACTATATTCACACAACTTTAATCCAGAAGAACACTCCTTCAGACTTCGAACATACTTTCACAAGGCCAGTGTCCCCCGATAAGTTTGGAACATAGCAGCGACATATTCACACATACCCACCCAGCCGTCTCTATTCGCATCTTACTTTGTTTCCTTCTAACACAATCACCAGAACACTCACAAAGCTATCACTAGTACTTGTCACCAACATAATATGCTAGCTTCGTACCCTGCTACGCTGGGCTACATTGCACCATACTGGTATTGCTACTTGTGTGAATTGTTGCCACCTGACGTGTAGTGAAGAATCATCAATTCATTCACTCACACTAATGAATCGTATCGAATCACTTTTTTTATAGCTGAATCAAACGTTTCTAGCAAAGAGTGTTCCTTCTCTCACCACCATCCATGCGCAAACAGATGATGGTGGTGAGAGTAGGTGCACTCTTTGCCAGAATGTTGCAGCTTAGAGAGTGCTGTGTGGGCAGGTGTGCATTTACTGCCATTGTGCCAGGTGTGTGTTTAACCACCATTTCTCTACTATACATGTATATCATGCTGCATTGGAGTATTCACATCATTTTACAGCAGTAAAGTTGCAAAGAAACATGCTTGTGGGGAAGAGCTTTTCTTTCCTGAGCTGTAGTCTGAAGAGCAAGGCGTCTACAGCAGCTTGGGGTGGGAAGTGGGGAGACTTCACAAGGACAATCAGTACTGGGTGCACATGCTGGACGCCCACTCAATGAGATGCACAGCTGGACGCCCACTCAATGAGATGCACATGCTAGACGCCCACTCAATGAGATGCAAGGCAGGACACCCACCCAATGAGATACACAGTCCTACAGCTGAGGCCCAATGTAATGGAACATATCCGAAGTGCAAGGTAAGGCTGCACAGTGCACAGTGTTTGTAGACGCTGTGTCCAAGTCAACATTGTATGTTTTAGGATGGAGTTAGAAAGATTGTCTTGCCTATCAGGACCCAATTTTCAGATCGTCCTTGGATCGTCTTTTACGAGAGTTTGTCTCTTCCAAGTTGACTTAGTTCATCATAACTGGATCAGGATGGATATGAACGATGCTGCTTGTACTAAGGACCTGAGAAATAGCTAATCTTACCCGCGGGTTGATCTTAGCTTGGGTTCGTCATATCCGAGTGTTACTGTAGATCAAGGTTCTTTTTCAAACCACCACCACCACCAGCCCAACCCCCCCCCCCCCCCCCACACACACACACATATTTTCACGAGTATTATTTTCTTACCGCTGCATCCTCCAGTGGTCGACACAGGGGTATAAGATCACTATCTGGGCCACTCTCACATGCTTTAGCAAGGATGTGATCAAATCGATCCAAGACCTCAGTCCAGTGGAAGAGCTCACTCTGCAGCAAACATACATATTTTTCAAAGACTGTAATTGGAAAGTGAAGCCAAGTCACACTCAATAACGAAATCCTAGACAACACACACAATAATACCCTGCTGCAAATTGCAAAAGACAATGAGTATTATACGAACTGGAGAGTTGCCCAAGAATTTAGTCGATTTGAAAACTTTGGAGCAAATACTAGCAGAACATACTGCGATGACCATCTGCACCAAAAAATTTAAAGTGAGGATTTTTAGAGTAGGGGAAAAATTACACGCTAAAAACAGTATATTCATTTTATACTATAATTTTGTATGCTATCTAGAACTAACCTTTCCAAATGGCCATGACGATAAGTCCACATAAGTGCGCAGTACCGTCACAACTTTTTCCTCTTCACAGGACAGCAAGTTTTTGATGAACGGCCTGCATCCCGGCGGCTAGCATTCAAGAGCGCAAAGGAACGATATGGAAATTATTAGCCCAAAACAAATCTGGGACACCAAAAAAAAACTGCGGATACACCACATGTGCCAAAGTAACCAAACAATAGGCAGGAGAAAGTATAATCCAATACAACCAGACAAGCCATGAAAAGTCAAGCATCGAGACTTACCACATCTGAGCATGCCTTTTCTAGCTTCCTTACATCAATCTTCATTCTCAGTCAAAGCTGAAAATCGTCAGCTTCCCAATCTCATGGCGTAAAAGTGGAACACAGAGTATGGGAAAACTATGTGGGAAGACTCAGGTGGCAAATGCCTGAACAAACTTGAGCAGCGAAAGCTCTCTCAAACTCTTGTCCTTTACGTCGCCTTCCAAAACGTCTCAATCTTCTTTCTACTGAAATCATTCCACAACTCGACTATCGTCTTCTTGAGATCTCGTATGTCTATGTGTACGAGAAAGCCATGATGTGATTTGCGTTGGAGTCATCGAAACCAAGCACTCGGATCAAAACGTCATCGCTGAAGCAATCCTGATTTTAATATGACGTCGACATACAGATTTTTGTTGGTGAGGTCAATAAGTGACTGCGTGTACGTAATACGTATACCATGGTCACGGCTGTTATGCATGCATAATCCAGCGACATTATGTACGGTACGACATTTTCCCGTCGCCCCAGTGATCCATGATGCTGTCGTATGCGACCTTGCTGCCTTTTTCAAATCTCTGGAAATATTCGGCAAGGTTTCGCCTATGTTTCTGCCGATTCCAGCCGTTTTCTACGCTGGATTCGCGAAGTCTAAGCGAATTCACCTTCCTGCCTTCAAGCTGCGCAAGCAGATATTTTGATCGTCAAAATGCGCAATGGGAAAGTGAAGTTACGATCTTTTTCGTTTCGTTCTTCCTCGTCGTGCCGGCCATTGGCGTTTATCAGAATTGGCTCACATTCGAGGCTTCCTCCTAAGGGGTGCAGAATTTTTGGCAGCCTTCACGCCAATTTTCATTGAAAGGTTTGTCCTTTTCCTACGTCGTAGTTATATTTTCATTGCCGCCCAGATTATCGTTTTCGTGCCCAAGTCGATTTGCGTGGCGTACTTGGACGTCAATTGCAAGTGTTTGCTGATATATGCAGGACGAGTGGAGGTGTGTTCTCCTGCCTCAATGTCTAACGAAGACCCCGGTTTCGTCCGCCATAGGAGGGATCCGTGCATGCTTCGTTCTGGATGTCAGCAAGTACGAATCAGACAAGCATCCAATGAACATTTTTTTGAAATTCATGCTTTCGAAATGTATGTAGAAACAGGACATTGTGTAGAGATTTTAAATGTCAGAGATGCAAGATTCCCCATCTGTCTGAGGCCTTACGTGTACACACATAGGCATGGGTTTTTGTATTACTAGTGGTACTGCAGATTTAGGCCACGCACAATGTAGTCTTTCGACGATCCTGCTGAAAAGCACACACTTGCATGCGTAAAGACCATACTGAAATACTTCAAGTAATTGAACAACAACAAACGACAACCATGATGCAGCTTATATATCTTGCACTACATCAGCACTAAGCACAGCATGGCACTCAGGACAGGACCGCAGCCGCTGGTGATGGCCGTACCCGGTTTTACCACTCTCGGCGTTCATGATAATTACATGTAACATGTTCAATATGCAAATGATTATGTAGAACACTAATAGGCTATCCTCGCACACTCCTCACTAGAGTCCCTCCTAAACTGCTTTCTTCTTTAGTGAGGACTACTGTACAAGCTGCATTATGCAGAGTATCTGTTGCTACCGGAGTGTGTAGGCGGAACAACCAGGTTATTATTCTGATGCGAATAAGGTTACACAGCATCACGCATCTTCATGACCGTGCCATTCCTATGGAGCTGACTCAAGGCTTGATGGCAATGCAGTTCATCTGCTGAATTGACAGATGTCCATGAATTCATTTAAAAATAACAAGTCGATCAAGTGAGAATTCAAGTCGGCAGAATAGCGCAAGTTCCCACGTAGGGAGCAACACACAATTCCCCAAGTATTGCCGAAGTCGCATCAACCTCTTCTTCACATTAATTACAATACGGCGAATTAAATCAAAGCTGTAAGAAGCTAAATAATTCTGTGACTTGAAACAAGCATTGATAGAAGAATAACACCTATAGCAGGTCCATGTGCTTTAAAAGTTGGAGCGCAAATAGAGGATATCTTCCAGTCTCCAACTGGAAGCGTTGCGGGCAACCAACTCCGCCATGCTATGACACTTGATGATGTATTGTGGTACTTTGCTTATCACTGCAAGCCCACTGGTTGACTTGATCATCATCCATTGCTTCTTTCATGACGAAGATCAGCAGTGCAACTGTGGCAATAAATATCACCGCCTCCAATGCCGCACTTATTGGAGGAGCACATTCTACTGGAAATGAAACACTTCAAAGTTCAGTTAGTGCTGATCTGGAATAGTATGGAGAGTAGGGTGGTGAAGGGTTACACGCAAATTCAACATCCTTGCCGATGAGCACTGTGGAGCATGTGCAATGCAGAACTACTGTCCAATAGTATACAGAATCTGATTTCCAGCAATCCTAAAATCCTCACATTGATCCCAAGGTGAAGAGCACACGCATGAAGAGACGTACATGTAGCTGCTATGTCATCAACTTTGCGTTGAGAGAGTAGCAGACGATCGAATTCTATCCTTCTCCTTCTCCAAGATGAATTGCAATCAGTCTAACGATTTATTTGTGCTCTTTTCTTATGCACGGAAATCTGGCTGTAAGCTGTCCTCAGGGGAGAACATGTTTTAGGATAAGAGCAGTGGGGTTCCATCTGTTCACGTCATGATGGTAGTGAGTCAAGCAAACGTGCCCACTTCTTGTTCCGAAGTTTCAAACACAACTAATTGCATGATGCACCGGCTACATTACTAGAATTTATTACACTGCATCGTCTTGAAAACAATTCCTGTATTGACTGTATTGACTCCAGGACATACTAACTTCAGTACTTTGCCGAAGGGAGGCTTCCAGGTCTTGGTAGACTTATTCTCCTCCAGCATGGCCTCATAAGACCTCTCCAAGGCACGAATCCATCGCCCCCAAAACTTTCTTCGATAAATTTGAAAAATGTGCAGAAAGACTGCACGCGTCGGCACGCTGTGCGTACGCGAGCTGTTGCGATGCGGGTTGCTACGGTACGCCGCCATATTGATAAATGTCGCACTCGGAACAGCCGTGTGGTATACGGTGTGCGGGTTAAGCGGGATTCACAGAAGCTTTTTTGCGATGCGACACGCGATGCGACGCGATCTGCGATGGATGCGTGCGATGCGAACTCGCGAAATACCATTCACAGAAGAAGTCAGCGATGCGACAAAGTTTTGCTGATTTGAGTACGTCACCATGATATTCGCGCGGTTTGACACAACTTGTAAAAATTTCAAGGCAACTCTTGCACCTTTGTACAACTTTGCTGTAGAAAAGGTCAAAATCGTACACCAAATCGCTTGTCGCATCGCATCGCATCGCAAAAGTTGAGCCAAGCTCAACTAACTTCTGCGATGGCCTGCGATGGCCCTGTTGCGGCAGTTGCGTGGGGTCCGCGATGGTTGCGATTTGGGGATTTCCCGGTTTCGCGGCTGTCGCATCGCGTGTCGCATCGCAAAAAAGCTTCTGTGAATCCCGCTTTATGCATAATGCCCAAGGTCACAGTGTCAGTGATGTGAATGCATGTGCCATGTATGGGGCCACGATACAAATCTATTTCGAATCATTGAATTCCTGGCATGGATATGCTCCCTTGTTTTTTATTCCTCTTGATCTTGTGTGTTTGTTGAGCAAGAACATTCACTCATGTGAGGTACAAACCCTAGGCCCTGTTGTCAAGTTGGTTGCATTGCGTCCATGAAAGTCTGCAAGTAATTCATATGTCTGAAGGGAACTTTTCACTCATGGACTGAGCGTGAACATGAATCGACCAAACAATGCCCGACGACGGCAATTTCCAGCGCGAGGTATGCTATATGAATTTATTGCACTGTGTCAACTGTTGCACTATCCTTCTCCAGAGTGAATCAAGGACAATTTGCACTGTTGCACAAATAGTTATGTTGCCCCCATCAGACCATGTGGGGAAAAATTGCGAAGAGTAGTGTTTCTTCTTCTCTGGACTCGGCGTGGGGCAGAGAAATCATTCAAATTAGTCTGGACTAGGGAGCAAGAACAACACAACCTGCAGCTCCAAAATCGAATCAGACCCAACTTTCTTTGTCGGAGAGCTTGAACTGAAAAGTGCATTGGCAAGATAATAATTGTAGTTGTCAAGTAGTCGTTCTAAATTGACGAATGAACGACAACTCCCTCAAACCAATGAATTGCAATGAATGAATCCACAATTTTTTTCTCCCGAATATTGTAGTTCGGAACAATGTGGTTACCAAGTGTGACGCCACATCCCTTGGCGAAACCATAAATACCGGTTTCAGTTTTCAGCTTGCTGTCGCCTTGTGGTAAAATCTCATCTTTATATCGTGGAAGCAGTATCCATTATTATTAATATAAGCAGTATCCGTGGAAAGCGGAACGAAAGACCTTTTCAACTGCGGGTTGTTTATATTAAATGATCCGTCGCTGTGTGACAGAGTTACTCTTGTCTGACATGTGAAAGCAAGAAAAGACTCCCTGATGTGTACAGACTGCTGTATAACAGCGCACTCAAGCACTACAGTCCATTTCAAAACTATAGATGCGTACCTAGGCAAAAACCGTTATGCCAGCATCTATACCACATAAAATCTGTGATCACTTTGTGCATAATTTTTTCCAAATTGGGCGTCTGTTATCCAATCGTTTAGATACTATAGGAGAGTAATAGTGGAGCGGACCTGAGCAATATTCCGAAAACTATTCTCAAAACGTTCCAGCCAAATTTGAAATATTTCAAAAACACTGCTCGTCTATAGTTTTGAAATGGACTGTACAAGTGCTGTAAAACAGCTAATTAATTATTTAGCGCAGGTGATGTTTTAGCGATTTTAGTGAAAGGAGTGTTTCGCTCAAGTTTTCCTGCGCCATTCGAAAGTTTGCGTGTACAATACAGTACTAGTCGTCTTCTTTTTTTACTCTGAAACTTAGATCGCTAAAGTGTTTCATCGCAAATCGGTCCTGATCCAGAAAACGCTAAAATTCGCCATTCTACAGTTGGCCCCTGCTTTCGGGTCTTAGGATAGTTTGACATTATAGCTTGTGCCAACTCTCGCGAAAAAGAACATTGTGTTGGGCCTGATATCCGTGTAACTCAACCAGAAATGCTCAGCTGCAGTCATTTGTGATTAAATGATGATTCTGTGCTTGCTGTTTCTGCTTCTATTGGTCTTAGCTGGACTTCCGCCTACAGAAATCTTCGCACTAGGTATGTGGAGAGCAGTGGGGAATGATGTAGACTATGGCTGACACTTGACATGTCATTTTTCTCATCAGGTTCAGGGTTGCTGGAGATTATTTTTCTCTGATTTCATACAGAATAGTCAAGTCATGTTATGTTCTAGGTGCATGGGGCTCCGACAAATGTTTTCATGTATGTATTAAGCTTGTCGTTTCGAAATGTGGGGAATAATTTTACAAAGCTAAAATTGTGACCCACTCCTACAGCATGTGTCACCATACCTGTTAGTAGCACAATCAATTCATACTGCTGCTACTTGTACACGTGCTCATGTATTTGGAATGGTCTGTGTTTACGAGGCATTGCAGTGTTGCTCATGCGTTTTGGTGTCTTGTTTTTGGTAGCCACCTGATTAAAGCGATTCCTTCCTTTTCTTGCTGTGTTGTATCTGACTGTTAGGTTCTAAATCAGAGGAGAGCAGTGTTGCTCCACCACCCCCATCAGCTGCAATCCAGCGTAAGTTTTCACCAGCCAGTGTGGTCTCTCGTACTCTTCTCTCCGTGCATAGTGCTGAATGTTGGTGATGGGGGTGGGGGTGAATGAGACAGGTTATCCCCGGGGTGAATCTTTTGGTGATGCTGTAGTTGTGGCTGATACGCCGCTGTCAACAAGATAACCTACATTGATTGGAGTACAAGTACAGTGAAACCTCGTTAAAGGGGAAGTTAAGGCAAAAATTAAATTTCACCAGTTGTAGTCTTCGGGGTGCTGAGTCGGTCCGAGAAAGCTGAGACGCTCCCTTCCTACTTGAATCCCAATCGAACTCGCGCACTTCCACCGAAACTGGGTGACTGCGCCCTACTAGATGGGGGTTTGTATGCAAAATGTCACTAAAAGCGCCATGTCGTTCTTATATAAGCACGGATGACCGCGATTGGCCCATATGTTGTAGTCTTTTGGACGCTGAGTCGACTGGTTTTGGTCCGAAAAGGCTGCGATGCAGCGTTCCTCCTTTATTCCCAATCGAACATGGTTGAAGAAGCGGTCACGTGCTCCTGGGTGCCCAAATCACCTGGCTACCACGCCAGCAGGCGACAACTTTCACACCAAGGTTCAACTCGAGTTCAACTCGAGTGACAGGACTGCACCCAAAAAAGGTCAAACAGGCTAGTAAGTTGTACCCTGCAGGCACGGTGACCAGGTGACTGGCGTACGCAGGAGCACGTGACCGCTTCTTCAACCATGTTCGATTGGGAATAAAGGAGGAACGCTGCATCGCAGCCTTTTCGGACCAAAACCAGTCGACTCAGCGTCCAAAAGACTACAACATATGGGCCAATCGCGGTCATTCGTGCTTTTATAAGAACGAAATGGCGCTTTTAGTGATATTTTGCATACAAATCCCTATCTAGTAGGGCGCAGTCACCCCGTTTCGGTGGAAGTGCGCGAGTTCGATTGGGATTCAAGTAGGAAGGGAGCGTCTCAGCTTTCTCGGACCAAGACCATTCGACTCAGCACCCCGAAGACTACAACTGGTGAAATTTTGATTTTTGCCTTAACTTCCCCTTTAAGAAGAACACTGATAAGACAAACTTTCGCTTAAGAAGAACTAGAATTCCAAGCGCTATTGGATTCATCACTGTGCATTCACTGGGTAAGACATATCGATAAGAAGAACTCCCGTTATTGCGAACAAATACCGCCGGTCCCTTGGTGTTCGTCCTAAAGAGGTTCGACTGTACATGTATGAATGGGCGATTGACTGCATGCTGTTAGTATTATCATCATCTAACTACTTTACCTTGACTTCACACAAGAGTACAGGGCAGATATCTAGCTCATAGCATATTAGTAGCTGCACAATTACCGTACCTGCACAGGGCCTGTGAATTTTCTCTGAGAGTCTCTTTCAACCAGCGTGTTTCTCCTTGTGACCACATTTTTTTTGTGCACGGCATACTCTTGTTGTAGAATTTACGTTGCAGAGCTAGCTTCAATGTGAACTTCGACCACCGTGGGTCTATCCAAGATACATCTATTGTATTCGCTTTGAGACGTCTCACGGTAGCCTTGCGGCCCACACAACTAACTACCACTCAGGGTGCTCCAGAAAAAGACATTAGTACCAGCCGCTATGAAAATTCAGGCTTTGTACTCCTAAGCTCCTACCAGTGTCTCCCAAATGTTTCTCAAAAGTGTGCTACAAGTCGGTCTTTATTTTACTTGTCCTTGTTTGTGCAGGTGAAGATGGACCACCAGCCAAGCGCCGCATTGCGCCTCCATCGGCTGGCATGATACCGATTGCGAGTAAGTTGATGTAGTGCCCATTGGCGGCCAATTGATGCTGCACTACACTTGAAAAAATCTACCTTGTCTGTTTGCAGGCTCTTTGTGTGTCTTCAGCTCATGCATTCATTTAGCCTTACCTACGTAATAATAAAATTTTAAAAACGTGGAGAACAGTTTAGCTATAGCAATAAAAAGGATCAGCTGCACACTCATTCTATACACACATCAAAGCAAAGTTTTGTTTAGTGTTAGCAGTCCTTGTATAATAGAGTACTACAGTGTTGCTCAATGAGATCCAATCAAGCGATCCAATGCCACACCGGGTGCCGTGCAGCCCTAGACTTGCTAACTGTGGGATGTCAAGTTGAGCAGCACTGTAGTATCTGAACCTTTCCGGGCAGCGAGGCTTGTGGAGGTGTTAAGGAACGGAAATGTTCGGACAATGTGTCTTTACTCCCAATTTGCCTGCTTTTTGTGTACCCAAGGTTCTACTACGCCATCGAGTTCGAATGAAAGCATCCTATTCTCTGTACCGCAACGGCAGGTCACAGCTCCTGGGCATTTGCAAACGGCGTCCAATTTGCCTGTCATTGAAGGTAGGTAGTGTACTGCGATCCTGAGTTCATTGGAATTAATTTAAAATGTGCTTTCTTGTTGCAGCAACGTCTGAATACGCGTCGTCTATGTTGTTGAAAGTATTTGCCGGAAAGCATATAGTTCCAGAGCTGATGGTGCTGCCTCTTTTGGTCACATCTGAGATCGACGCTTCATAGTTTCTGTTGAGCTTCCGAATAATTAGACGCGAACACTGGAGCGCTATCTCAAACCTGCACTTTGTGTCTCTGATTCTCTTCTTGCTGATTGATCAGTTCCTCCAGCTGAGTTTGCCGAGAAAATCCAAGAAGTACTGGCTTGTAATGACATTCCTAAAGTGGAAGGTATAATTTGTGGCACTCTGAAACAGCTAAAGGAGAACCGTACCAGTAAACCGCACAGCGGAGTTCTGTTGTGCCTCATGAACTTGGCGAAAAGCCATCAGAAGCTGTTCACCACAACACGAATGATCCAGGTTAGTGCATTAAGGGAAGAACTTGCTCTGTGTGCATGCCGGTTGTTTCAGTATTCTTGGTATAACTGTCATGCATTGTATCCTGTATGCTGTATATACTGCCGAGCACAACTGTATATGATTGAAAGTTGTGCATGTCGTCCACAAGGGATAATTTACTGTTTTTAAGTCGGGGTACCGCAAAGTCCGTAAATAAGTACATATTTACTTTCGAATTTAGTGGCCACACCCGTACTAACTTTCGGGCGGGTACTGACTTTCGGGCACGACTTAACTTTCGGACCTGACTTGTGGGTAGCGGAGAAGTCATCTTCATGTAGATGTAGATGTACATGCTACGTGCTGCATGTGCGCGTACCGGTACTTATTTCGGGCAGTATGTTTATCGGGCTTGACTTGACTTCAACAGAGTCAAAAGAATGAAGGGGGTATTTATTTCGGGCATGTACTTATTTGAATAAACGCTGCGGAGACAACAATTTTAATAAAGCAATAAAAAGAACCAACTCTGCCGTAACCATCATGCATAAAACAATTGACTTCGTTGATGCATGGTGGTTACGGCAGAGTTAGTTCTTTTTATTGCTTTATGTACTTATTTATGGACTTTTACGGTATTGTATGTATACACGCTTGAATGTATAATATTATGACTTAGCTTGCATTCACTGGTGTACTTGTTTCCATGTGCAGTGTACATGCATCGTGTCTTCATGTGTCCAACACATCCACAATGTTATTTTTGTCTACCTTCTTTGTTGCTTCTTGGCCAGGCTTTGGCAGAGGTATTGCGCCATGATCCCTCCGCTGTCCGTGGTGTGAAAGCCAACCCAAGTCCAGCTGCCACCGTCTGCTCAATTCTCATGTTTTCTTTCGAAGATGACCGGAACTGGCCCGATTCATTGGTTCATGTAAGTAGCCAGCTGCTGTGTATTTTGAGGTGACCACACCACACTCACTGCTCCTGTCTTGAATCCACTCATTTCTCCCTGGTCTCTTTTCATCTCCATTCACGTGTGTATGTCCTGTGTTGAGTATGATGTGCTGCTTTTGTGCACTTTGACCACAGGCATTCATCGAGGACTCTCTCCACGAACGAACATGGGTAGACCGTGACTGCTGCCGCAAATTCGTTGAGAATCTTGTGACTGCATTTGGAACGGTTATGCCCAGTCAGCAGCAGCTGAACGATTTAGGGTTTGGTTCATCTCGGCCACAGCTAACACCTGCGCACAGTACAACCGATATTTCTGGTCAGTGCCGGGGTCAATGTGTATGCGTGTATATGGGTGCTTTTGCATGCATAGGTGTGTGTGTGTGTGTGTGTGTGTGTGTGTGTGTGTGTGCGTGTGTGTGTGTGTGTTTGACTAATTGTATGCGCGTTCATTCGTGCATGCGTGCATGGCTGTGGCTTTTCTTGTGGCTGCGATAATCAGAATACCAAACTCTGTGAGCATGATATTGATTTTCACATGTACTGTGTGCACAAGCATACCCATGTGCATGCGTTGGTTGTGCACAGAATCATGTCGTGACTAGAAACCAGGTTTGAATAACAGCCCGGTCTGAACATAAGCATATGAGGCTATGAGCACTGCTTTTGTATTCGATTGTACAGTACATGTATTTGTGACTCTCTTTGCAGAGGGAAATACAGAGACGGGAAGCTCTCGACCAGCAACTCCATCTGCTGGTGAAGGCTCAGGGACAGACACAAACTCCATCAAGGTAGTGTCAAGGTTAGTTGCAGGGAGTCGTATTAACCCGGGAGAGGACATGCCACTGATTTCCACTAATCCTGTTCAACTAAGGTATACTAGTAAACCCGTGTAATTTCCCCCTGCTGAGCACTTCTGAAGGCATATGAACCCATGGTGGCTACTCATGCTGCCCTCTGTTGCCCCGGCATGCGTTCAACCAGATACAACAGCAACTCGTAACAGTATGAGACCAAGAACTTTCTCCTCTGAGATAAAACTGCAAGAACAAAAACTGTAAACTGCTTCCTACAGTTCAAAACTAACAACTAAAAAACTTCAAAGGCATGGAAGTATACATTCTAGAATGACGAAAGCGAGAGCGCAATCGCAGCCTGCGAGTATCCACAGGACTGTGCACAAATGCAAAGACGAGTGAATATATTACGACTAGATAGCATGGAGACAGCACATGCATCAAACGATACGCTACTTGAATCTCAGACAATGCAAAGGTTGAGACTGGCCTGCGGTAACAATAGTCAATACATCAGGCGCCAGCAGCATGCACTAGAATAAAAGGAATGAAACCTGAGTACAATGAAAGGTCATGCAAGATTCACCACAAGCTGGGAATATTCCAGAACATATCCCCCTTCACTCACGAGCACAGGGTCAGCAAACAAACTGTGACGAGTGAGTACTACTACGGTACTGTATGATGAAAGAAAAACTTCATAGGTTGAGAGAGAGAGAGAGAGTACTGTCACAGGGCTGCCTGTAGCACTTCAGATACACAAGGCACAAACTACTCGGTGTCCAGAATAGGTACTAGATGGTGGATAGACCGTCGGTAGATCTTGTCGCCGATCTTAATATCCACTACTCGGACGAGCTTGTCTGCACCAGGATGCACTGCTGTGACTCTACCCATGGGCCATGTTCCACGGGGAGTGTTTGATGTAAGACACAGCATGATGTCACCTACGGCTACATTGCGACCTTGACGTTGCCACTTACGACGGACATTCAACAAGGGAACATACTCATCTCGCCACCTGTTCCACACGTCTGCTACAAGCCGCTGAACATACAACCAACGTTTGCGTGGGTCTCTGCTGGGGTGCTCGTCTGCTTTCACTTCCAGAGCCATTGGTGGGTCGAGTCGTCCGACGAGGAAATGTGCTGGTGTTAGAGGCTGCAAATCAGCTGCATCGGCACTTACAACTGTCAGCGGGCGCGAGTTCATCATGCCCTCAACCTGGCACATGGCAGTCACTAACTCTTCATCTGTGACGTCCGCTTTCCCAAGTACTGCTGTGAGTCCGCGCTTAGCCGTCTTGATGAGGGATTCGAATACGCCGCCGAAATGTGGTGCTCTAGGTGGGTTGAAGCGCCATCGCACGCCATCACTGACCAGTCGCTTCTCGATCTTCTCCTTGTCCATGGCCCGGACGGCCTCACGGAGTTCTCGCTCCGCGGCAGTGAAGTTGGTCCCGTTGTCGCTGACCATTTCAAGCGGGACACCACGGCGCTTTGTGAATCTCTCAAATGCTAACAGGAATGACTCAGTGGAGAGGCCATAGGATACCTCTAGGTGACAGGCACGAGTCTCAAGGCAAGTGAACAGGCACAGGTACCGCTTAGCCTGCGTCTTACCTCGGCCCTGCTTGGTCAGGAAGGGACCCGCGTAATCAACTCCTGTACGGCTGAACGGTTTCAACGAGCCTGCAACTCGGAAGTCTGGAATCTGGCCCATCATCTGGGACGCTGGCTCCGCACGGTTCTTACGGCAAGTGACGCAGTTGCTTCGAACGGCCTTGACTGTTGATGTTCCGTGAACAATCCAGTAGCGTTGTCGCAGATTGGCCAGAAGATGCTGTGGCCCAACTGCATGGAAGCACCGATGATCTTCCTGTTCGATTATCAGCTGGGTTACTCGGTGCTTTGCTGGTAGGATGACTGGGTGGCGTACGCCACTTGGCATGTTCTTTGTAGCTTGCAATCGACCTCCTACCGTCATCAGGGGTGACTCTGTTGCACTATCGAACTGGGGACAGAGAGGTGCCAGAGGGTCCGATTTCAACATCGGTTGCCTAGACTGTAGACGATGGTATGCTGTACCATGGCAATCCTTCTGGGCAGTTGCAATCCAGTGCCGCTCTGCTACTGATACTTCGTCAGTGCTGAGAACTGGAACACTGATGGAGCGGGTGCCGCCAAGCTGTACTGGCACTCTCACTGGCGTGCTGGACTGGCTGTCCGATGCGGCATCCCCCTTCGTGGACTTGCTGTCACTGACTGCCTGCCGACAGTTTGCCACAAATCGCTTGCACCATGCTGTCACGCGTACCAGTCGCGACCATGTGCTAAAGCGACCCAGGATCTCGGAGGGTGGAGGGACGACTGCAACTAGCGCCGTCTTGAGCTGACCAGGCAGCGAGGATGTGCTGACTTCCTTCATCTGAGGCCACTCATCTGGCTGCTGGCGAAGAAACTGTGGACCAGACCACCACACTGCGTCACGGCACAGTAATGCAGCAGACAAACCACGAGTACCTTTGTCTGCAGGGTTGTTCTTTCCGGGAACATGTCGCCACTGGTGTGCTCTCGTTGAGGTCTGGAGCTCAGAGATTCGGTTGCCAATGTCCACTTTGTAGCGCCGGCTGTGGCTTTGGACCCAGCCCAAGACGTTCATCGAGTCCGTCCAAAATGTGTGAGCTGACACTGGGATACCGATGGATTCAGCGACGAGATGACTAACGCGAACGCCAAGCACAGCTGCTCTCAGTTCAAGCTGCGGGATCGTCTGTCGCCTCACTGGTGCCGGCTTCGCTTTCGACATCGCTAGCGTTATTCGGGTGGTACCGTCTGGGTAGCTGGCTCTGACATACACAGCGGCTGCTATCGCCCGATCTGAGGCCTCGGAGAAGCAGTGCACGGAAAGACTGGCGTCTTCGGATGGCTGTTGTGGATCCTTGAAACAGCGGCTGATCTCCAGGTTACTCAGGTCTGGGAGGCCTTGGAACCAACCCTGCCACTTGACGACTTGTTCCTTTGGCAGCAGGTCGTCCCATCCCTGTCCCAGCAACCAGGCATCCTGCAGGAGTACCTTAGCCGTGATGACGTATGGCGAGATCAGGCCACGCGGATCGAATATGGAGGCCAGGCCGCGCAACACAGAGCGTCGGGTGAATGCCGTGATGTCCTTCATTTGATGCTGGAAGGTGAAGGCATCCTTCTCGGCGTTCCAACTGACGCCGAGAGTCTTGACAGTTGGGAGGCTGGTGTCACTGTCCACATCTCGGACGACATCAGGTGACCTATCTTCCTCTGGTATGGTGTTCATCACTTCAGCTTTGTTCGACAGCCATTTTCGCATGTGAAAACCGCCCTTGGCAAGTAGCTGCTGCGTTTGCTCTCTGGCCTGGATGGCACGCTGTGTGGATGGTAGTGATGACAGCATGTCGTCAACGTAGAGGTCTTTGCTTAGGCACTGCACGACGTCAGAGTCGTACTCATCACCGTGGTGCTCGATGACCTCTTTCACCGCTCGTCCTGCCAGATACGGTGACGCCTTAGCGCCGAAGAGCACACGGGTGAACTGATACACCTGCACTTGGCCATTGTCATCATACCACAGAAAGCGATGATAGCGCTGGTCACGTTCCGCCAGTTTGACTTGGAGGAACATCTCCGACACATCACCAACAAGCGCAACTGGTTCCAGTGAGAATCGGATCAACACACTGGTCATGTCGTTTTGAAGTGCAGGACCTGTAAACATCTCATCGTTGATGGAGTGTCCATCCCAGCGGGCTGCACCGTCAAATACTATTCTCACTTTTGACGTGGATTTATCTGAGCGTACTACCGGGAAATGGGGTAGGTACCACTGGTCGTTGCCGTCTTTGGCTATCTCATCCGGGTCCACGCGTCTCACGTAACCCTTGGCAATGTGTTTCTGCATAACGTCAGAGTACTGCTGCTTCACGGCTGGCCGTGACTGTAGCGAGCGTTGTAGACTGCGGAGCCGCTGCTCAGCCTGAGCTCTGTTGGACCTGACACGTGGCTTACCGCTGTCATTGACCCATGGGATTCGGACAGTTACCCGGTTGCCGTTGCAGCTGATTGATTGGCTCGTGAGCTCCTCGGCTCTTCTGTCATCGGGTGAAGGCGTCTCCTCTAGTGGGTTATCTGTGCCCGCCAACTCATCTCGCCAGAACTTCTCTACTAGCTCGGTCAGCCCATCAGTTAGCACTGTGTCAGTAGCTGGTGTAGTAGCTGTGATTGCACGAGTGGTGTCGACTCCTGTACCAATGCACACCCACCCGAGAGGAGTTCGTCGAGCAATGGGCGCTCTTGCTGTTTCTGCTCGCCGTTCTTCTAGAGTAGCATGAAGCTCGATGGCATTCAGGCCGATAAGCGCGTCGATCTGACTGCCCTTGATGGATGGGAAGTCAATATCACTGAGATGCGGCCAGCTGCTCTTGTGCTGATTCCAGTTCACTGCCGGTAATGGCACGGTGACGGTGGGCAGAACCCAAGCTTCAAGCTTGTTCATGGTCTTGTCGCCCAGAGCCGCCACTTGGATCTGTACATGCTCACGTCTTGCTGCGGTCTGCTTGCCGCCTACTCCGGAAGTGACGAGCTGCCGCTTGGGTCCACGCACATTGAGGGCTGTTGCCACGGACTGCTGGACATAACTCGTGGACGATGCTGGGTCCAGGAGTGCATTACCTTGGAGGCTCACACCATTGTGTCGGAATACAACAGGCACAACCATGAATGACTCGCCACTGTCAATCTCTGGCTGATGACTTGCGCAATGTGTTGTAGCAATCTTGGCAGGACCGCCACTGCTGGCCGAAGCTGCGTTGGCCTTGATTGCGGCATTTGATGGGTCTGCAGCGGAATCCGAGCGTCAGATGTTGTAGTGTAGCATGTCATGATGCGTGCGGCTGCACTTTGAACAGGGTTGCCTGGTACAAGTCTTTGCGCGATGATTGAGACCGAAGCATAGGGCGCAGACATCTGGCTTGGACTTGATGACTTTCCATCGGTCCCTGACCTCCATCTTAATGAAATCGGGGCAGCGGTGGAGCTGATGCGCCTTGCCACACGAGGGGCAGCTTCTGTCGGCACCTGCATCTTTGCTAGTTGCCACAAATGTTCGTTCAGACTTTGTAGCACTCTGCTTCGACCATGATCTTGCTGGTGCTGGTGCTGAGGCAGTGACTTCTGTCGACCGGAGTCGTTCGTCGGCACGGCGTAGTGTGTTGACGCGTCTGAGGAGCCACTGTGTTAGCTGGTAAATATCACAGTCAGCATCGTCATACTTCTCCATGTACCTAAGCAACAGCGATTTCGGCAACTTCTGCGTAACCGATTGGTACAACTCACGGCCTGGTGTTACTGCACACATCTCCATATTCATGAGCATCGTCCGGAGTCTGAGGACAAACTTGGCAAAGTTGTCGTCTGACTCTTTTAGCTTCGGCCACTGCAAAATCTCCTTCTCTTGGCGCTCAACAGTGCGATTGTCGCCGCCATACCATGCATCTAGCTCCCTAAGGATGGTGTGGTAGGCTCCTGGACCGTCAAGCACGCCATCAACAAGGTCGCTGGCCGTGCCATGCATGAGACACTCACGCAGTTGTGCAAGTTTGTACGCTTCAGTCGTTAGTGGATCTTCGTCAACAACGCGGCGAAAGTTCTGCTTCCACCGGTCGTAGTCACTAGTCTTGCCAGAGAACTTTGGTAGCTCCAGTGGCTTCACGTGAAAGCTGAAACTAGCAGGGTGTAGTGTCTGCAGTTGAGGTGGATAGGGCATGAAGGACTCTGCTTGCGGGTTTAGCACCTGCTTGGAGTGTTCTTGCACTGCCACTGGTGTTGGTGGCTGCTGTTTGGCCACTGCTGTATGCTTCTGTGGTGTATGCCATGGTGGTGTTGCATTCAGCATTGATACTGCCTTCTTGTTACTGCCAGGCAGTCTTGATTGTACTGCTGCACTGCTTATTGCTGGCTGTACAGGCACTGCATTACTAGCTGCCTGTATGGACACTGTAGTACGTCCTACAGGCGCACCACTGGCCATTGACTTCTTGGCTGGCACTACTGACAGCACTGTACTGGTCACAGACTTTTGAGCGGGCGCGCGCATGAATGCTTGCGCCACTGGCCCCAGGGCAGGCACGCCAAACGCATTGACACTACATGTACTTGACTGAGCTGGGCTGTCTTCCGCCACACCTAATACAGCCTCAGGTTGTGTGGGCGCATTCACAGTACGAAGCGTACCTTGCAAACTCCTTGGCTTGCCGTGGTCGCGTTGTCCGTTCACTCCACCGACATCACTCATCGTTCTGAAGTGCTCACGCGGTGGTAATACGAATTTTCGACCAGGTCCGACCAACTTGTCGTGCTCAGCAAGACTCTTGGCAGTCAATATTGCCCTGCCACTGGATGCAGCGTTTCCAGTCTCTGATTTGCGAGACGACACTTTGCTCCCTGACCCGGATCATAGTGCAGCTGCAGATTCAGCCTCGGCTCTTCGAACCTCCAGTTCCTTCTGCACCAAACTTGTCTCACGAGCCAACTTGCGTGTCTCGGCTTCCTCCTCCAGCTCAGCGATTTGCCTTGCAGCCTCAAGTTCTACACGAAGCATCTCTGCACGAAGTGACGCCTGCGACGCAGCAGTTCCTGAAACTTTCGAGGGCGCATGTCCTGCAGAGCTCACGCTGTCCGGAACGTCACTCCAGTTATCAAACCCGTATCTGCTCGGCGGTCTCCCTTTGGTAGACCGCGAGCTCCGTCTACACTCAGCGCCTGGGACTTGCTCGTCGTCGCGCAGGACTTCTTGGATCTGGCTCTGAGATCCGGCTCGAATAGGACCACTATGGCTACTCATGCTGCCCTCTGTTGCCCCGGCATGCGTTCAACCAGATACAACAGCAACTCGTAACAGTATGAGACCAAGAACTTTCTCCTCTGAGATAAAACTGCAAGAACAAAAACTGTAAACTGCTTCCTACAGTTCAAAACTAACAACTAAAAAACTTCAAAGGCATGGAAGTATACATTCTAGAATGACGAAAGCGAGAGCGCAATCGCAGCCTGCGAGTATCCACAGGACTGTGCACAAATGCAAAGACGAGTGAATATATTACGACTAGATAGCATGGAGACAGCACATGCATCAAACGATACGCTACTTGGATCTCAGACAATGCAAAGGTTGAGACTGGCCTGCGGTAACAATAGTCAATACATCAGGCGCCAGCAGCATGCACTAGAATAAAAGGAATGAAACCTGAGTACAATGAAAGGTCATGCAAGATTCACCACAAGCTGGGAATATTCCAGAACACATGGCTTAGCAAACCACGAGAGAACCGCCTTTGTGTCGCCTATTCAATACTGTTTCTATTAGTACGTTTGGCTGGTGGTAGGGTAGCATTCCATGGGGCAAACAGACCTATTAAACTGAACAAAACAGATGACTGTGAGATCATGGATATGATTAAAATTTGGTAATTTTTGAAGAGGTTTTTCCTCACAGTAGCAGTTGTGAGGGACCTGTTGCATTGCATTTCATACTTTGTATCGACTTCACTGATGCTGTCCAGTGCATTGTGCTGTGTGTCTTTGATCTACATCTGATGCTGCTCTACAGGTATCACAGCCCAAACTCGTTGGCTTCGTTTCGGCAGACTGTGATGCATCATGTCGGTAGGTGCCCAGTATGAGGGCTTACTTTGCATTCTCTTCGGTTCAGTAGTGCACTTGTCCAGGCAGGTGAATACCCCACGTGTCCCAAGCTCTCACTTTCCAGCTTATATGGCGGCTTTGCCTCCACATGAGAATAAATGTGAGCCAGGGTGGACACCAATTACTTTTGACTTTATTGGCAACCTTGGACGTCAAAAAAGAAAAGGAGAAAGGAGTGCACCTAAATGTGTTAGCTCGCTTGTTCCTGTTTAGACTACAGTTAGTACAAGCTGGGTTGTTTTAAAGGGTTTTCCAAACTGTTGTCTGAAAGTACTCCTGTTCTTCTTTGGCAAAAATTGGGCAGGTCTGAGGGTGGTGTTTAGTATATTCTGTGTGTGTGTGTGTGTGCGTGTGTGTGTGCGTGCGCACGCACCCGCGTTTGCATTTTAGGTGAAATCCTGGCACGACGTCCCAACCAGCCTATTGACAATGTCTCGCGCAACTCGCTGCGCTTCTTGACTTCTGTGGCTGGCTTGGCATCTGTCAGACAGCAGGTTGTACCCCGATTGGAACAGTGGATGCAGAACACCAAGGTATGACGAGTTCACCATCAACAGTGTACATGTATAGCACTGGAAACTGTGAGCATGTGCATGGATGTGAAGTACTGTAGTTAGTATACCGTAAAGTCGCGGATAAAAGCCGGGTTTGCATACAAGCACATCGCGGATAGAAGCCTGAAAATCAAACGGGTCAAATGCATATAAGTCTGTCGCGCGTTGAAGCCTGGCTTCTATGCAAGCGCGGATCGGGTAGGTCAAGAGTGCATGCGCTATGTACACTGCATAGTAAAACTGCCGCCATACCGGTAGTCAGTGGTTGATCTACGCGTGGCAAAAATATCAGTGGTGCATATAAGCATGGTTTGCATACAAGCCTGGTTTGCATTAAAGCCTGATGCAGAAAGCGGCTTATATGCTTATACGCCCGGCTTTTATCCGCGACTTTACGGTATGTACTGGTAACACAGGGTGTCATCGACTAACAATGCGACCAACCAATGCTGGCCTCTGAATGCAGGTAGTGTCTGAAACTAGGGTGCATCTGACCCTCTGCAGATTCAATACATTCGGTGCCAAGGGAATGTAACTGCTGACACCTGATCAGGTTTTTTCTGTACTATCAGGATGGCGCTGCGTGAAAATCAATCCTAATGCACGATCATGGCAAGAAAAACACTGATCGTAAATGCCCTGGTCTGTGCAGCAAACTGTGCCTACTGTATTCAAGTTTGAAGTATAGAGCACTAGCTGCTTTGCAACGTACACGGATTGTGCTTGCTATTCGAATTGGGAGGTCGTAGAAGTATTATACTTCAAGTGGTGATGTTCATGAACTGAGGTGTTGTGACTTCGGCGGTACTTGTAGAAGAAGGCGGCTGCTCCAAACGTTGGATTTTGGATGTTCATGGTTGTATAAATTGCCTCCACAGCGAACCCTATGGTGGCCATCTGTTTTCATTTACCTGCTTCTGTCGTCATGTTTATGGTGGTGTACTGCAAGTTTGTTTGTGTGACACCATATTGTGTTATCTGAGCTTCAACTTATCTCTTTCTCTTTTTGGCTGTGTGTGTGTGCGCACGCATGCGTGTGTGTGCGTTGTGTGTGCGTGGTGTGTGTGTGTGTGTGTGTGTGTGTGTGCGTGTGTGCATGTGCGTGTGTGTGTGTGTGTGTGTGCATGTGTGTGTTTGCTTGTATGCATGTGTGTATGGGTACGTGTTTCATGTGCGGATGGGTAGTTTCAACGCCATGCCCATGAACTGCTGCTCACCGTTTGCATGAACACTGGTGGCTCTGGCCATGAGGAGAATGACATCATCAACAAACTTGTCCAAATTAGGCTGAAACACAAGCAGTATTCGGAGAAATACGTGACCTCTATGAAGTAAGGCCGTGAAACTGTGTTGTGTCCTATACTGTACTAGTAGATGTTGCAGCCTATATGTTGATGCATACAATACATTCAGCCACAGTGAAGTCTCTCTCTCTCTCTCTCTCTCTCTCTCTCTCTCTCTCTCTCTCCAACCGTTTCCTTCTCTTCTTGACTTTCTTGTTCTCAGCTTTGCTCAGTCTGTCTTTCTTCTTGCCCGTCATGTTTAACACTGCAGGGAGCTGCTTACAACCAAGCATCCTGAAAACCCTCCGACTCTGATCAATTGCATTATCTTCAATGAACTGGCGTCTCAGCGTAATCCCAACAACATGGCCATGCTCAACATAACCTTCCAGCACGATCCCGTCAATGCACCCAAAGCACTGGCGTTCACTTTTCAGAACTTGCTACTTCGGTAAGGGGCCATCGTGAGTGAACCGCATGCGTACCGCGTCCACGCACCAGTTGTGAACGCAGCTTTAGGATCATCTGCTACCAACTTCACTCCATGAACGGTGAAAGCATGCTGCTGTATAGCCTATGCTGTTCTGGAGAGTTTAAAAAAAAAACTTTTTTGTAGTTGATCATACATGATTGTATTTGTAATATTTCAATTTGTCTTGTTGAATTTCTTATCCATTGTGCTCCTGTGTTTATTTTCACTGTACTTCGCAGCGATGACTATTGTCGTGCATTGCGATCTTTGCTCCGTGAGATAGTAAAGCAGATGCGGGGCGAGATTGATCTTGGTGCGTTTGCCATGGGTCTTCATATTCAGCGACAAGAGATTATTGACCACCCCGAGCTTCACATCAGGGTATGCTTATGCTTAGATTCTGTGTCATCTCTCTCTCTCTCTCTCTCTCTCTCTCTCTCTCTCTCTCTCTCTCTCTCTCTCTCTCTCTCTCTCTTCCCTCTCTCTCTCTCTCTCTCTCTCTCTCTCTCTCTCTCTCTCTCTCTCTCTCTCTCTCTCTCTCTCTCTCTCTCTCTCTCTCTCTCTCTCTCTCTCTCTCTCTCTCTCTCTCTCTCTCTCTCTCTCTCTCTCTCTCTCTCAATTGAGTGTTTCACCATTTGAAGGTTTCATTCACCAATCGTGGTCTTTGAGAATTTGAAACCTCCTCTGAAAGCATGGATTATTGCACACTCTACACAGTCGGCGGCAAAGTGGTGAATGAAACCTTCAAATAGTGCTCATAGAGACCTAGTAGCTGCTGTAACCATGCAGTTATTTTGACTAGGTTTCACCTGCAACCACGTAGTTGTTTGCCTAGGTCTCACATGCATGCGATATTATCGTTTTGCCTGTCGTCTTGCCTGTCGTCTTGCCTGTTGTGTTGATGTGTGTGTGTGTGTGTGTGTGTGTGTGTGTGTGTGTGTGTGTGTGTGTGTGTGTGTGTGTGTATTTGCTGCAGGAGCGCATTGTTCACTCACTGGTTGACCTGACATGTCTAGCATGTCTACTAGCTGTGCAACCATGTCTCAGAGATAATAGTAAGTCTTACTGTCTTCTGCCCAAACTTTCCCCGTAGGAAACCACTGCCCGTGTAGAATGGCCTCAGGACAATGTTCTGCTTTTGGCCTTCACAGCTTGCTCTCACTGCACCCACAGCCTATTGTAATGATGGGGTGTGGTCTTTGAACCTTTCAGGACTACCACTAAACCCACGTATTGCTACGAGGGCGTGCTGAGGAGGGCGTGCTGAGGTGTGCAGCAGCCAGAGTATGCATTTGAAAAAAATTATTTCACCCGCCAGTGGTGAACTTTCTTCATCTCCGTCTCTTCGGAAAGCTACAGATTTTCTCTATCCAAACATCGCCCCTAGATTCCCCACAGGAGCAACAGAGTTGCATTCATACCTTTTGAGAGCTGCTCTATTGTCCCTGAGCGTGATACTGCACCCATCTCCACTCCACTCCACTCTTATGCACTCTTGGCAATACTAAGTACTAATTCGTCTCGATATTTCATATCGATGAGTATGTAATTACATATTTGCCGGCTCCTACATGTACATGGATTTTCAAATCTGTATTCTCATGATGGCCGGTGGCCAATGGTTGTTCATGCTGTTGTTTGCCTGATGTACTGTTCCAGGTGCTCCTGTTGTGCAGAAGTGTCAACACATGATCTCACGTGCCATCCGCGATGCAATGCACTGGGTGCACAAGGTTATGCCTCATCTCACTAAGCTGACTGCTGATGACTTGAAGAAACGGTGAGCCTCGAACGCAACTACGGTGTACTATATTTGCTTGGCATGCTGTAACAACCTATGGCAAGCCACCACTGCCGCAAGAAACCATCTTGCTTTAGAGACTGGGTGTTTTCTTGCACCAAACCAGGTTTCATGCTCAACACAATCTCCGGGACCATATTTGGCCAGACCAGCTGTCCCACTGGGCCTGTTTTCTGTGTACCCTAGTACAGCACTGATTCACTGCCGGCACATACGCCTGGTTTTAGTATTGAATTGTTGTCTCTTGTGCCATTGCTCAGTCACCAATATTGTGCTTGTAGATGTTGAAAGCTAGTGTGTCCTTTGTCATTTTTTGCTTATTTCTAGCCGATGACTCCACGGATGTAGTTTTTTTATGCTGTATCGTGTGCTGGAATTGGCTCTGTTGTTAGGTTCACATTCTTGCATTCACAGTTTTTTACCTGATTCATGTGGCACAGCATAGATATTGTAATTATGGTGGCAACCCAGAGGTCTGTCATTGTCTCCTTCCTGTTGCTGCAGGATTCGCAAGCTGCTGTTTATGGAGAATCCAGAATTGTACACGGTTGAAGGTTGGCCGTCGGAGGTGGAAAGAAAGTAAGATGATGGGGCCATCGGCTGCTTGCTGTCTTGGTTTTCAGATGTTGCACTGTATCGAGTGGTTTCACATCTATCAGAAGACCATACAGGGCAACCGTGTTGGTTCCAACTTCACTCAACCCTTGCATCTATGGGTCACATGATGTCGGCCATGTTAGTTCCACTGTCCACGTGCTATGGTCACTTTCTACACAAATGTAGTCACATGACCAAGATGTGAAGCTACTTGATTCACGGATGGCCTATCTACTAGTCTACTAGTGTAACTTGGTACGAAACTCACAGTGTTGGGGAAAGCAGGGCAAAGGAGCAAACTCCTGTGAAAACTGTCTAAGCAAGACGCTCCAGGGATCCTCGCAAGATGTGCTTTCCACGCTCGGCTGGTGCTGCAGTCCAGGGTTGAGTGACTGGAGAAGATGGTGTTTGTTTTGGTATTGGCTTTTGTGATCCTCTGACACAGATGGTCACCTTATTTGAGTGGTTGTCTTGGCAAAAATTACTGTAGCAATTTTATTGTCTGCATTTATTTGAACAGAAAACTACACCCTCACACAACCTGTACAGCTTTGTTATGACCCTATTGACCTATCTTGTACTGTATAATTGAACATGTCAAGTACAACACCTGATGGCAGTGTATCTGTGTGTGTGCGTGCGTGCGTGCGTGTGTTCACTCTTGTGTGCACTCTTGTGTGCATATATGTGCATGTATGTATGTATGTGTGTATGTATGTGTGTATGTATGTGTGTGTGTATGTGTGTATGTGGGCCGTTTCTCTAGTGGCATGCTGCACTTCATCACCAATGCTCCACTGCGAGAGGAAACCCTTATCACTCTTCTCGTGATCGGCCTGTCCGACCTGCCTTTCTCACCACAAGATGCATTAGAGTATGGCGATCGTCTGGTACAACGTGCTGCTAATGTACACACTACTGGTAAGTGGACTGTATGCCATGATATCCATGATGGCCATGTGCAATTTGAGATTCCTTTCTTACTTTCCCTTTATCCTTCTCTTCACTGTGCTTGTACCGTGCAATCTTGGCCAGTCAAGTAGAGCAGTAGTGCATTGGACCCTTTCTTCTCAAATCGTGGCGAACTCAGATCTTGCACAATGGCAGGGTATGATCCTGTTCGTTTGACTTTGGTTATTCCCTGTCTTCAATCACCTTTATAATTGGCACAGGGTGAAGTCCTTGCTTGTACGTGTACTGTTTGTCAAGGGAAGAACAGTTATGCCTTTGTTTGTTTTGTGTGTTGTGCCTCGTTGTCGCACTATCTGACTGTATTATTATCTTGTTACCTTGGTGGACTGTTAGTCATAACTAGTAGCTTATAGGTCCTTTTCTCTTTACAAGAACAGATATCTTGCCACTTTGCAGGTTTATGGCGCTGGGCAACCCGCCTGCGTACAGATCAATACTTGGCCAACTCGTATTCAATTCTTTCTGGCCATGCTTTGCTATGTTCTTGTCACCATTCAGCCCATCCCACTTTACATGGTATCGACAATGCGGAGACGATATTCAGGATTGTCATGAAGTGTGCATTGTACCGCGCTCCCGCCAACATTATTTTGCCGGAAGGGTACGTACCTGTTTGCAATGGGTCCATTATCCTCCCCCCCCCCCCTCCCCCTCCTGATTATTTGGAATATGTTTGCACCTGTGTAAAAGCTTTTATTCTTTTGTGGCAATGTTCTACCCCCACCCCACTCACACACTCAGTTATATACATGTAGGGTGTTGCTGTTGATACCATCAGTGCAGTTTTTCCAGTGTTTTCATCCATTAGTTTCAGCCAGTTCAAAGGGGATAGTGTTATCATCACCCGCTATTGTTCATTTGCTGATGCACATTAGACTTGACCTTCTTCTGAATAATGTGTTTAACTTCTGTGTCTCTGTTTGTTTTTCTCAATCAGCTGTGTTCCTCCTCGTCTTGCAATCTCCCAACTGTACTGGAAAGGATGCGTCTTGCTCCTCACCCTGGCAGTTTACAATCCCAAAACTGTTGGTAAGTGTCTGCGGCTGTATGTTCAGCTTTTGGCTATGCTAGCTTTAGTGGGAACTGACTATTAAATACTCACTGGTTACTGAGTATTCACGCCCCCCCCCCCCCCCCCCCCCCGTTTCGTACAACGTACAATGAAGGCCAGTGTGCACGCAGTCTGGATATCTGCCATGCTGAGTTGATTTCTCACATGAGCTGTGTGGCTTTTAGTCAGTCAGCTGGTTCATATGGAGCAACCTCATGCCAACCGCACAGTACTCCAGAAGCAGAGCACATTTTTGAGTTTCCTTGCCCCGTTTGCATAGCAGATATAGTATTGTGTTGTGCCAGTGTCTAGCATGTCTCTTGTCTGGATCCACTGCAGGTATTTACGCATGGAAAGGTTACCCAGTACTACATTGCCTGATGGAAATGGTTATGACCAAGTAAGTGCTATACTGCATCTTGTATAAGCACAGTGCTGCTCAATGAAGTCCAGTCGCGTCACACGTTTACAAGAACGCGCCGGGCGTTGTGCAGCCCTCGACCTGCAAGCACTGGGCTGCGGAATGGTGCAAGGCTCGAACTTGAGTGACACGACTGGATTTCATCGAGCAGCACTGTATGTCATGTAGAGTGTCTCTTGTCCTTATCTCATGTTTGTACACACCTCTCTCAACCGGTGTCCTTTGTAATACTGACAACTTGTGACAAGTGTCTGCAATCGAATCATGATTCACGAAGGACTACTCTTTACAGTATGCAGTATTCTGGATACAGTCCCGTGGCCCGAGGGGTGCGGATAATCGGCACTCTACTGTAGCTTATGTGCATGGTGTTCTCGTGTTTTTCGCTAGCTGGATGAGGGTGGATGTGTGTGATTTTTGAAAATGACCATCTTACTCATCCTACGACACGTTTGTTTGTACTAAATGCCCCGACTGGTTTTGTTTTGTTTTGTTTTTGTTTTTCTCTGTCATTGCAGCACCTTTGTGTATCCTCCAAGCATTGGTCCAGGACAGACCAGAGAAGAAATCATTGCTAGAGACCACCAAGTAAGCACTGGCATCTACAGTCTTACTGAATTGGATGCATTTTGTGTGTGTGTGGGGGGGGGGGGGGTTCCATCATCCTGGACAGTGCTTCATATCTGTAAATGCCTGTTCCGCCTTTGACGTGACACAGACGGTATGGGATGTAATGGAGCGTATCAGGAAATACGCACATGAATACGGTAGTACAAGCTATGTTACAAAATCCTGGCAAGAAGTGCTCAATGCCACGAGGGCAGAGCCAAAACCTAATTCAGCCTAGTTCTGCTGCTAACTTGTGTAAGTACGGTCATCAGACAGCAACTGAAACCGTGAAACTCAGTGTTACAGCAGAAACGCTTTTGATTCCTCTCAAGTGTGTGTACTAGGCTCTGCACCTTGCCTTGGTGTATTGAGCACTGTCACGAGCAACCACAACTGCCTCCGAGTATGTGTACTGTAGTATGTTTTCTCGATTTCAACCCCCTCCTAATTAGCCCCCCCCCCCCCCCCCCCTCCTGTTCAACCCGGGTGAAGCGCATCATGTAAACGCTCCAGTCAATCTGTGTTCATGGCAGGTTTAGACTTCATGTAAACACTCCAGTCAATCTGCGTTCATGGCAGGTTTAGACTTGACCCGGGTTGAACTCCACCTGGGTTGAAAACTCTCGTGCAAAACTACAATAGTTTGAACAGCTCCTGTGGTGTAACGATATACCGTTTTGTGTATTTTTTTTGTACCTTTCTGCACAGAAACGGCAGCTTGAAATTGAAGAGATCCTGGCATACGAGAACCATCTATCACAGGCGTGCAACAGGCCGGTAGGAATTCTGCTATTGTTCACAAGTAGTCCGCTATACATGTACTTCAAAGTACCCAATGCTGTAGACAGCAAACTGTTTCGGCCATAAATGCCTCATCAGAACAGTTACGAGCTTTAACCCTTTGGAGCCCCAAATAATCCTGATAATTGTATGCATCTGCAATTGCGACATATTCTTTACCTTATTTTGGGCATAACTTTGGTGTTCGTTTTGGATTTCCATAATCTTGGGCTTCCTGGAAAGCTCTCCGCGAGCAGAGTAAGTAGAGCTCAAATTCAACACCACAGCAGTCACATATCCAACGCCACGGCGACTCGAACAGTCCACAGAGCTGGATATACGAACAAATTTCCTCGACGCCAGCCATTTCACTCTCATTCATCGCAGAACGCTCAATTTTTTTGCACTGAGTTTTCTTTTATGCTGGCCTCGTGCAGGAAGCCTGCCTGGGAAAAAGTTTGACTTTTGCCGTGACCGAAATGTCAAGCGTGATATCTCTGCAACGCGACATTGTAGCTCTTCGGCGATTGTTGCATTAGAAAGCTGAGCTTCGGCTTCTTCCCAGATATTTCGATCGTGGAAATCCGTCAAGTTTCGAGTGAGTTACGAACGTTTTAGTCCATCGACGGTATACCGTCGATATTTGACTGTGCAGGCTCCAAAGGGTTAAGCAAGACGAGCTGCCAGCCATGGTGCAAAGGAGGCACCACGGACTTAAAGATAGCTCGTCGCTCTAGCGCCAGAGTACTCTAACTACGAAAAGTAGCGGGCAATGCGTAATGCAGCAGCACTCAAAATTCGCTCAAAAAAGGGGGTGCGGCTTATACTCCAATGATCAAAATAGTTCTGAATCCAAGTTCTTGTTCAACCTCCTCAAAGCCCATATTTGCATGCTGATGACCATGCATTCTTTCAGAAGTCTGCAGTCCGTGTACATGGTGTATGTATGTTCGATGTGTATGGCTTTCATGCCCCTGGTTTTTTTTGTGATGTGTTTGGTTGTCTTGTCACTGGCTTCACTGTAGCCGGTCACCGAAGTCAAAAGTTTGCTCGTGAACACAGTCATCCACTGCGACGAGTCTGGTGGGCCTGCAAGGCGTCCTCAGAAGGATATCATTGAGCGGCTCCGAGCGTCCTCAAAGCGCCTGAAGTTGGGCGACCGACTGTGCAGGAGCCGCGATCCTGATTTTCTATTGGATGTCATTAATGCACAGGTAAGCTATTCTTATGGATATCATTAATGCACAGGTAAGCTATTCTTATGGATATCATTGATGCACGGGTAAGCTATTCTTATGGATATCATTAATGCACGGGTAAGCTATTCTTATGTGTCTACCTGCATTGCCACTCTGTTGGCCGCCTTTGGGCATAAACAAGTTCCGTAAAGTACCGCGAGAGTGCCCCCACTATCTCGTCCTTTTGTGGCCGTCTTGTGGCGGTGGTGTCCTGTCTGTAGGTCATACCACACGGACCTTAACATAACCAGAATTGTTCAACTTGACGATCCCCCGGCCCACAGCGGAATTTGTTCATGACGTCAGTTTTCCGGGGCCATTTGGTTCGTTCATATTAGGCAGGCATAGTGGGATGCTCTAAGAACTTGATTGAGAAACAGAGGGTATCAGGTTCAAGTCCTGCGATGCAGCGAATGGGATTTTCGGTCTTTGACCACTTTGGTGGTGGGTCTGATCTACTCACCTCCCACCGCTTTAGGAGCTGCTTCTGCGCCTTGATCTTTGAAGGTGGTGGCGTCCCAGCGGATGCGGAAAATTCGGTCTCCAGCTGAGTCTCACGCGAACCGCAAATCCTTCCATCTTTCTTTGGTTCGCTCATTCATAGCCAGACATCAATATACAACCACTATTTTGTACATTTCAGCTGCGGTAGTCGAAGGAGAACATTAACGACAAGCGGTAGATCCATGCACCCTGAACCTGATGAACTGACACCGTATCAACGAGACTAACGCTGAAAGGCATACACACTTGGCCATACTTCTGCCACAAAATGATGCGATAAAAAAATCCTGCTTTGGGTGCCATCGCACCTCAATGTATGAGTTGCACACTGTGGTTGGCATTTTCAAACTTTTACAGGAGAAGTGCTGTTTTCTCTGTTCTAAGTTGTTCTCTAGCATGCATAGACCCTGGAAATGATATTCGTATGGGGAGGGGGGGGGGGGGGGGGGGATACTTATCCATTCCGTTGTACTTATGGGGCCTCGAAGTTCAGAAAATTGGGTTTTCGTACTTTCAACTGGCCCAGTTACCATTTACATTGCTAGGAATTACGATTGTTCTTTTGTGGGTTTGATTTTTTTTGGTTTTTTTTGTTATGTTCTTCTCAGGGCGCCTCTCAATCCATGTCGTGGTTATCTGAACTAGTTGCCAATAGTGAAGGTTCTGGCTCCGTTGACCTGTTACCTACTCCATGCCTTTGTGAATTCCTGATGGCGCACTCTGAAGCTGAGTTAGATGCGAATGCCTGGGCACCAGTCGCGCTCAAGGACCATATGCAGCATGTCTTGAAAGTGGTAAGGACTATGCACCTGTGAGGCTGTGTGTATGTGTGTGTGTGTGTGTGTGTGTGTGTGTATGTGTGTGTGTGTGTGTGGGTGCGTGTGTGCGTGTGTGTGTGTGCGTGTGTGTGCGTGTGTGTGTGTGTGTGCGTGCGTGCGTGTGTGTGTGTGTGTGTGTGTGTGTGTGTGTGTGTGTGTGCATTTGTGTGTGTGCATTTGTGTGTGTGTGTGGTACTATGTGCATGTCTGCATCTGTGTGTGTCTGTGTGCATGGGTGCGCACACACGCACGCACACTCGTGCATGCATAACTTGTGATTGTGTGTGTGTGTGTGTGTGTGTGTGTGTGTGTGTGTGTGTGTGTGTGTGTGTGTGTCTGTCTGTGTCTGTGTCTGTGTGCACCTGATGTCTACTTGCACATGCCCTAGCAGTTTGGGCAGTCATGCTTCTTCGAGGTACTCTTCCTCTTTTGTTGTAGTGGTGTGCTATGCTTCTGTTCTTCTCTCTGTTCAGTCCTTTCATCCTTTTTTCCATTTCTTTGTCTATTCTTGCATACTTTGTGCAGAAACGTGATGAACTGGAGGCACGCATCAGAGGCTTGCTCTGTGGTGAGGACTGTACGCTGAAAGGAACTGTCGAAGTACTAGATTACTTCTTCAAAAAGCTCTCCTCTGATGGCGCCAGGTCCCGGCGTTTGAGCTTGAAGGTTAGTATGCATCAGTAGTATTGTCTTGTGCAGCTACGAGACACCCGTACCTGTGCAGGAAGCACTCATTTCTTGTATGAGATTGTTTAACGCTCCGTGCACAACCAGCACTGCTGATGTAGTACCCACTATCTCTGCCGCACAGCCTCACTGGCATTCTGCCTTGCCATTGTACTGACCCGCTGATCTGTTGTTGCTGCTCTGTGTACCGTTGAGTGCCTACTACGAAACAAGTACAATTATTGTCGTCCGTCTGTCTGTGTGCGTTTCAGTGCTTATCGTCTGTTCTAACAAACACTGGTTCACAGCGTATGCTGAGTGCCACAACTCCCATGGACGTTGTAGAGACGCCAGTGCCCAAGGACGACGACGCGTTTGATGTCGAGCTGCTCCTGGAGGAGAGCTTGGCCAGTACCAAGCGTTCTCCAGGTTAGTGTTGTACAGTGTATGTACATGTGTGTTGGGGGGGGGGGGGGGGGGGGCCTTTGACTTATCTGCCCCCCCCCCCCCCTCCCCCTCCCTCATAATTTGAAATAATGAAGTTTAGTGGCATGAATGTACTGCGGCAGTCTACAGTCTACAGTGTTCAGAAGTACACTGTACCTGGTGGCAGTGTAAGTGAAATCATTATGTATTGCAATATGTTCCAGAGATCAAGATGTTTAAAAATAGGATGCCAGTTTTTTTTTCCTTTTCCATTGTTATTTGTTAATATTGGCTCACTATTGTAAAACCTGACACTTCACTCTTTTTCTTGCAAGGCGCTGCTATCGGCATCTCATCCCTACCCGTTGAGGATATCGTGCTGTCTGCCTCGCTGAAGGATGAGTTTGGCTGGCTGCTAGTTGATTTGCCTCGCCTGAAGCACTTCAAGTCCGCTGTCCTTCCTTGCACTATTTCATCTTTGAGAGCCGTGAGTTGTCCACAGGGTGTAGCTATGTTACACTTCGCTTCCCTATGAATACACATTCAATACAGCATATAGCATGCCTGTACTAGGTGTGGATTGAGTGTCATTGTTTAGTTCCAGCAGTTGGTGCTTGTAGCGCACGATTTTGTGCTTGGTGTTTGAAGCTGTAACAACACGTTGTGCCTCTTCTATTATGACTATACAGTTACTATGGATGCATGAAACACTGATGATGCACGGTATCACTGAATCGTATCGGGTGTATGAGGATGGACATTGGTCCTGACTCCTCTTCTTGCTCTTCACTGCTTTGCTTCGCTTCAGGCATGTATGTCGGAGTCCGACCCATCTGTTATCCGCGCCTTCATCTGCTTTTTAGCCGAGCACACACCCAAAAGTGATGTAGCATCTGTGGCCAAGGTATTTTTCTTTCTTACTTGAACAAGTGCTTTCTATTGTGGGAGAGTGCACAGCAATACTAGTACTACGACCTGACTACAAGTGCTGCGTATCAACAAATGCTTTGACCTATCTGTCCAAACTTTCTTCTGGATCTTACTTGCCTCTCCTGTCAGATGACATCACCAGTTTCGGATAGTGTGCAGGTGCAAGTGTTGTTTTGTTTTATTGTGTTTGTAGGACTTTGCAGACATGGTCGTGAAGCGTCCCAATGTGTTTAAACATGTCCACGTTTTGTTTTGTTTTTATTGTGTTTGTAGGATTTTGCAGACATGGTCGTGAAGCGTCCCAATATGTTTAAAAATGTACACATTTTGTTTTGTTTTATTGTGTTTGTAGGATTTTGCAGACATGGTCGTGAAGCGTCCCAATGTATGTGACCAGGTCCTTGGCACGTCTAGCTGCAGCATGACCAGAACTTCATCAGGTCAGTTGCCGACGCCGGCACTGTTTTACGACAGTTGTCCTGCTCACTCGGCCCTCCTACTGTTCCGCACATGTCGGTGAATACTGCAGCAACTGTTGTGCACCAACGTCTGTCCCAATGTTGCAATAGGTTCTTGAATCTGCTGCATTCTTCTATGTAGAGGGTGCTTTTGGAATGTAGAGTACCTTTACCATGCGATGTACTGTATAACCACAATGAACGAACATTGAAATCTAACGATTTAACGAATTGAAATAATTTGTTGCCTGCAAAGCATATACGTATTCTTTAGATTCTTTAGTGTGTACAGTCATTTGCTGCGTTCGACAGCCAGAATTTGTCAACATGTTATGTTGTTATAAACCAACAAAAATCCAGAGACTGTTAACTTTGAAAAGTTCGAATGGTGTTAAAATATGTGATCTTACAGTACTTGATGGGTGTCCATAGCAGGGATATTCTACTTCATCTGTGTTGCTGTCTTCGCTCAATGACCTCACTGTGCATGCTGTCTCTCCAGTGTTACTTTATTGTTTTTTCTTTTTACACTGCTGGTAAGCACGTCCATGTAACTACTGTATATGTATGTATGCGTGCGTGTGTGTGTGTTTGTATGTGTGTGTGTGTGTGTACGTGCTTGTGTGTGTGTGTGTGTGTGTGCGTGCATCCGTGTGTGGGTGTGTGTGTGTGCGTGCATCCGTGTGTGTGTGTGTGTTTGTATGCGTGTGTGTGTACGTGCTTGTGTGTGTGTGTGTGTGTGTGTGTGTGTGTGTGTGCGTGCGTGCATCCGTGTGTGTGTGTGTGCGTGCATCCGTGTGTGTGTGTGTGTGTGTGTGTGTGTGTGTGTGTGTGTGTGTGTGTGTGTGTGTGTGTGTGTGTGTGGTGTGTGTACTATGCTGTCTGGTGCAGGTGATGAGGAGACATGTTCAGTCGTGCTGACTGCTCTGCTCAAGCTGTTCAGCCGTGCTATCCAGCTGGCAAGCCAGGAAAAGGAGGTGCTCGCGGCCTGGGTCAGTTCTTGTGGCATGACTTTTCCATACTCTTTGATTTACTTTCTATTGGCAAAGTCGTGGGCTATCTTGCTGTTGGAGCGTATGCGTTATATAAAGTTGGAAGTTGAATAGTGTTGTACGAATATCGCCAGGTAAGGACTTATATCCATAAGTCGCATAACCCATCCATCCATGTTGTAATTTGTTTGTTCATCTATATGTACTATATAAATAATTTGTATCTGCACGCTGAGCATGTTTGCATTGTGTTGAATTTCAACTTCGTTTTGCAGGCCCAAATGTGCTTGATAAAAATCGCCATTTCATTGAAATACGTTGTGTTCTGTATTTGGTTACAGGACAAGGATGCTACACAGCTCGTGCAATTTCCCACCGGTGAAATGGTGGCGTTGCACGTATTCATTGTCCATGCTGTCATCGGTCTGCTTTGTAAAATGCCTTCACTGGGTAGGTCTGCTTGAGTGTCGCGTGGATCAGTTGTGCCCTGTGCATGCATACGCACAGGTGTTGCTTCTGCTGTATACCAGACTGTCCAGTAAATTGTTCTGAAGAGAAGTGGTCTTTTCTATGCTATTTTGATGTTTTGAATTGTCCGTAAACTCCAACTACAAGCCACTTACACATTTGTAACTTTCCACTTCTCCAACTCCCAAATGGTCTCTCCACTGGAAATAAATGACTTTCATACATTCCAGCAATTCTTTAGGCCGGGCCCATCATGAGGGTGCAGCACATGGGCTGTTATAGATATTTTGAAATTGTCGTGATTGACATAGGACTTCCTCCTTGACGAGCTACTCTTGTAGTCGGGCTACTCTGCTGCTCTGCTGTACCTTGGTAGGATACTGCTGTGTGCATGTGTGCCCGCCGCGTTGTGCAGATAATCCGTTGTACGAGGCTGTGCTCGACCTGTGGTTCCCAGAGTCCGGTGCCCTGACTACCGCTTACCTGTTGGATAGCCACGACGAGGCTGTCATGTTCTCTGGCACGCTCCGGCCCAAGATAGTCCTCTCCAGTAACCAGCGCTTGCTAGATGCGGGTAGGTGGTGCTAGTTAATGCTCCTTTGTCTCTCTGTCTATTGTGCTGGAGTTAGTGTGTCATGTGCCTTTGACTACGTACTTGGTTCTTGGCGTTGGTATTGTGCACTTGGTTATACATGTTCTGATATGTGTCTCCATAGCCTTGGCAATGAGCAATGGAGAACGTCTTCTACTGTACTATTCTTGGGGAAAGTACCAATTTATATTTACACTTCTCTCTCCTCCACTTTAAGTAAAAAAATTACGAGTCTTCCTAGTGACTGAATGGTAATGTGTATGTACATGTATGTCTGTTCAGCCTGTTTTCTAGAGATGTAAACTTGCTTGTGTGGCTGTGTGGTCATGTACGCGTGTGTGCGTGTGTGTGTTTGTGTGTGTGTGTGTTTATGTGTGTGTGCGTGTGCGTGTACATGTGCGTGCATGTCCGTATGCTTGCGTGTTGTGTGCCAATGCTCAGTTCTGCATTCCTCCACTGTAACTCAGCTAGTTCACGACCTGTACTTGTTTGGTGTTCCTCTGGTCAATGCAAGGTCAGTCACAGTTACACTAACTATTATTATGATAATGATCATACACACCATGTCCTTACTATACAACATATTTGGCTGATCGTACATGCGACCTGGGCTTGATTCTGCTCTCAGCAGGTGCAAGAGCGCCGGGTTCTGTTAACGTAACAAGTGAGAGACAAAATGGGAAAAAAGAAAAGTCTGAACTGAGAGCTGCAGGTGCTGAGAATAGAAAAAGAAGGAAATGAATTGCAGCTGATCTTGTGTTCCCCTCAGCTAGGCTAGGTGTGTATAAATATGTTGGGGAACTTCTTCTTCGTGCTCGTCTCTACATTGCTGCTGGAGAGATGGTGGTGTTCCAAACATGTTGATGGTGTGCAAAACAATATCCACTTCACCTTCAACTCACCAACATCGCTGATGCTCTGCAAGGGGAACAGCACAGCATTTGCAAGGCTGTCCACACTTCCAATCTACTGTATGTCATATTGTTGTACGAGACTCCCGTGGATTATCAATTGTCTTCACTATATTCTATACAGTCACAGCAGTTTATCAAACAACTGTGTACGAATCGTGAACTGTGATGTTTCCAATTCCTCTCTTGCATTGTCTCTAGTAAAATCATCCAGGCCTTAGAGAAGGAGCTGGCCCGTGACCAACAGTCCCTGGACAGTCCCGAGGTTGACAAGGGTGAGTTCACTGTGTGTGTGTGTGTGTGTGTGTGTGCGTGCGTGCGTGCGTGCGTGCGTGCGTGTGCGGTGTGTGTGCGTGCATGCGTGTGTATGTGTGTGTGTGTGTGTGTGTGTGACACTGGGGGCAGGGGTAACTGCAGTTGGATCCCAGGACGGATACCCTGATGCCGTCAATCCTTTTTCTGCACCTTGTCCTCACCCACTTACTGAGGTGTGGTGAGCCCATAAGTGGGATCATTTTCAAGTCCACCCAGAGTTTTGGGGATTTCAGGGGGTGTCGGCCGTTGGGCGGTTCAATAGCCAATTGAGTCATCTTTCCAAGATTCCTTTTGAGTCTCTCTCCCCTCTCCCGGGGAGACCCACGTGACCAGTTTTGGCAGTGAGCAACAAGTACAAGTACAAGTACAAGTGTGTGTGTGTGTGTGTGTGTGTGTGTGTGTGTGTGTGTGTGTGTGTGTGTGTTGTAGCTTTCCGGCTCATGGAGCTCTTCGTTGGTATGGCAGCAGTGCTCATGCATAATAAACTAAATCACAATACCTGAGGAAACTGTCACCACTTCTTTCTAAGCATATTGCATATCCTATCGCAGATCATAAACCTCAGGTTTTGCTCTTCCTTTATCAATATCAACATTTACATTGGAAAAATAGGGTCCATACCGCACACAACACTCGCTAATATAAAATAATTGTGTTACGAAGCGCATTGTACTCAGACATGTCGGTGAAGTGATGAAGCTCCTGCAGGCATGTCAACCTTGTGCTTTGCTATGTAATTCACTCAACTGGTGCCGCGTGGAGAGGCCGGATGCATTAGTAGGTAACAGAGAGTGTGTCTGAGCTCACACGCGTGGGCACTCCCGACGGTAGTCGTTATGAGCTACTCATTGCACTGTGTGGATATAATCTAGTTGGTCATTGGATATGGTGTTAGGGTATCTGACGCCAATCCAGTTTCTCACCTGCCTACTGACTGCGTGACGTTTCTCTGCAGCTTACCTGTGCCGAGTGCTGCGTGTTCTGAAGCGGCGTGGTGTTCAAGGTGGCCAGGAGATTTTACAAATGCTGGATGGATACGAAGTGGCCAACACAGGTATGCGTCTGCTGGCAGTGTGGGCTTTTTTCTGAGCTTTCTGCTTCTGGGGCTGCCGCGAAGGTGACTGCTGCTGCTGCTGCTGTGCCGGCTGCTGCTTCTGTCAGTCAATGCTGGAAATTGTTCCTGCCGTAGGCATACTGACTTACACTCATTCCTCGCGTAGCTATGTAATCAGGGGCCAGGCACTGCTCATAAATTCCAAATATCCATAGCTTTGTATCATGTACACTTCACTTCTGATGGGGCGGGGATCAGATAATTTATTCTAGGGTATCGGACATCATTGTATCGGTACTCACTATATAATAATACCAAGAGTACATAACCCCCTGGGGGTTATGTACTCTTGATAATACTAATACATTGTACAGCAGGTGCCATGGCTAAATTCAGGACATTGCATTTTGCCCCCATCACCACTGCTCCTGTAGCTTGTGCGTGCGACTTGTGACAAGTGTTTTGTGCATCCGTGAACTAGCTTACCCAACCCTGTAGTTTCCTTGGTTGCTGCGGATAGGTCCTACAAGTATGTGTTTCATTTGCTTACATTGTAACTAACTGCTTCTTCTGTACATGTGCTTTGTAAGGTTCTTCTGCAAGGCATTGTGGGCTGAAGCCGGTGGTGGTCAAGGAAGAAGCAGAGGAGGAAAAGATGGATGTATCACCAGCAGCCCGGCTACCTCACATGTGAGTGCTAGTGCATACTGTAAACCCTGAAATGGTTGCGTCGGTTTTAGTTCGTGATTTGCGAGCACAGACAAACTTGCACTTGGAGATGTTTGTGATTGGAGTCAATTTCCTCAGTTTCTTTGCTACAATTCTACGTTTTGCGCCGGCTTACTTTTGCGATTTCACGCCTAATGCGAAAACTGCGCAGGATTCCGTGTCCCAAAGGTTTCCGAGTTCTGTGTTGGGTCACTTGTGCATGTGTTATGTGCTGGTGAGTTGTAACCTGCAATCCTACATGTACTAGTGGAGATGTGCTATGTGGACAAGGTAGAAGAGCCTGTCTGCTAACGGTGAAGCATGGTGATATTGATGTGTTCTGCTCTGATATGCTTCAAGACACGCACTATATCCCACCGTCAAGTACTATCTTGTCTCCTCTCCTTTTGGTTTTGTCTGCATGTATTGTGTGTGTGTGTGCATGCGTGCCTGTGCAGTGATATACCCAAGTCTATTGAAAAGTGGCATCACTTTGTAAGAAAGGTAAGATGGCCATTATTTAGCCTACAGCGTATGATGTGTATGGTGTGTATGGTGTGTGCTATCAATACACATGGTATCACATTACTCCACTCAAGATGTGTGCTATCTCTTTTCCTGATGCTAGTCCAGCATGGTCTACTTCGTGAAAACGACATGGGGAATTACTTTTCTACATCAGTGCTAGATGTATATGTGTGTGTGTGTGTGTGTGTGTGTGTGTGTGTGTGTGTGTGTGTGTGTGTGTAGCATTATAGTAATAATGCAGATTAATGGGTGCACGCGGCTGCTTCGTGCTACCACCCAAACTATGCTGCTATGAACGTGCGCTGTACGTGCTCACATGGTACTCTATGCATCGTGGCATTCTATGTGTCATACAACGTGACACTCAACGCGACATTCATTCATGCGCGACGCTCAACGTAGGCGGCATGCGTCGTAGGCACTCAACGTGTCATACTAAAGTTTGGCATTCATGCGTGTCGCTCGCCTCCGATGTGGAAGGCGTGTGGCGGCGTTATGATGACGCTTGCTCGTAACTTAACGTGGGTGGGTTTGGCGGTGTTATGATGGCGCTTGCTTGTAACTCAACGTGGGTGGCATGCATCGTTGCATGTCTTGCTAGAGTTTGCTCTGCTATATATTTTCGATTCGTTCTGTGCGACGATCATTCTTCCTTGCTCGTAGTGTTATATATTTCGATTCGTTCTGAGTGCGGATCACTCTTGTCAGATCATTGTGTTTCACCCACCCACCTCCCATTTCTCATCTCTCATTTACTTTGATAAAGTAAATAAAGGGGTGTTGGCCATGCTCATTTCCGGCTACTCAGGGCTCTCGGTCTTCGTCCCTTGGACGTGACTATCCTCTTGGCTCCGCCAAGATCCTGCTCTCTCTGTAGCCTCTCACTTCGCTGGCCAGCACCCTCCTAACCGCAAGCTGCTGTGTGTTGTAGTTAATGTGCGCGCGCGCATGTGTGTGTGTATGTGTGTATGTGTGTGTGTGTGTGTGTGTGTGTGTGTGTGTGTGTGTGTGTGTGTGTGTGTGTGTGTGTGTGTGTGTGTGTGTGTGTGTGTCTACCTGTGTGTGTCTGTGTGTCTGTGTGCCGGCTGTGGATTGTTAGCTGTTCATCGAGGTTGATCTCTCGCACGCGCGCCCGCTTGTGAACACAATGGCAAAGGTATGTGTATATGCATCTTTCCCTCAAACCAGTGAGCATGCAATGTTGTAGGTGTAACCGTTTGTGACCACACCAATGGCTGCATGATCTGTTGATGTCATTTACCCGCCAATGAAAGTACTTATTTGCCTGCCAATGAACGTACTTATTTACCTGCCAATGAAAGTACTTATTTACCTGCCAATGAAAGTACTTATTTACCTGCCAATGAAAGTACTTAGAATGAATAGGAACCTGTTAGTGTATTGCTTTCAACTACCACATGTCTATACACTATGCAGTTGTCCAATGCAATACTGCTGATCATTTGTAGTTTCCTAATCCAGTATTCAGTCGAAAGTGAAGTATTTGGTTGTGTCTCTGTCTATTTAGGTCTTGCAGGCGTCACTGAGTGCTGCTCAGCAGGCATGCACCAGGAAGAGTGGCGTGAAGCGAGAAATTGTCCACGGTGAAGTCATGGATGGTGGTGATATGGTGTGTGCCGCTTTCTCTCGAGTAAGTCGGGCGCTCGGTGGCGGTACATGGCGTGCGTTTGTGTATGGGGGGTCGTCTTGCGTGTGTGCTCTTGGTGCGTATGGTTTTTCTCTTTGACGGCGAATACTGTATGATGTCGGTATCACATGATCATGTCAATAACACTTGTTTGTACCATTCTCTGGTAACTGGACATGTATGTGACTGTGCCGTGTAGATCCTCAATTCCGACGAATCTGAAGTGTTTGCCACGGCTCTGTCCGAGCGTTCCAGTGCGTCATGCCGTATCCTACAGCTCCTCTCTGCAAGACAGGTATGTCCCAGGGCTCTGCTGCTCCCGTTGCTTCCGCCTTTTCTTAGCTTGACGTGCAGTTGGGGGGTTAGGTAGCAAGATGCTTAATACTCAATCAGTGAGACTCAGACACCAGGGCACTCCTATACAGAACTTAGCAGGGAGCAGACAACTGACGTGTCTGTGAGAATGACGGAAGCGCACAAGCCAGCAACATACATGGCCCGTGTTCTGTTTTCACAGAATACTGGTTGTGAACAGGGAGGAAGTCAGAGGTACGTCTTAACCTAGTTCTCCTTCTGCTATGCAGCAATACTCTTTTTTCCCAAGCAATACTGCATGGCAGGAAATTGTTGATACATTTGCTATCCATTCTGTTCTGCTTTGATTGCGTTCTGATTTTTCTGTGGCTTATGTTGTATGTGTGTTGTGTGCGTGCGTGCGTGTTTTCGTTTTGCTGTACCTAGGCTATTTTGACTCAGCAAGGCAAACCGTCATCACACTTTGTCCATCTACTGGAAGCACTGGTTGGTTTTGGACGGCATATGCAAGGTATAATTATACAGCTGTGCAAGAAAACCTCTTTTTTTGTAAAATTTACTCCTGAAAGCCTCCATTATGTGCCATGAAGTGATCTGACGAATGGGTATCTATATCTGTTTTGTTTGGATTTACAGGCGGTGCATTTGCTCACTCGTTGGCCTTGGCAGCTAAGAAGTATGGCAGGTCTCTACAGCCCATTGCTGACACAAAGGCTGGTGAGTGTAGTCTTTGGATATCGCCTTCAGATAGGCAGTTTGGAGCACGATTTTGGAGCACGATGTGCAAGGCATATGTATGTGCGTACAACTCAGCAGCACAGCAACTCTCTATACATCGTCAAAGCTCCTATTATGGTCGTTCAGCCATTAATAGCTGTCTCAATAGCCACATGACATCAGTCGCCTTGCAGCAGCACTCTATGTTAGTACGGTTGTAGTACGAATGTTAATCATTTGCCCACTACCTCAATAGCCACATGACATCCTTGTTCAACACCAGCCCACAGAAAAGATTGCACCTACACATGTAGTGGAAGATTGGTGATCACTAGTGTACTTGGCTGAAACATTAGTTCTACATCTCGGTTGATGATCTCTCTCTCTCTCTCCTCTCTCTCTCTCTCTCTCTCTCTCTCTCTCTCTCTCTCTCTCTCTCTCTCTCTCTCTCTCTCTCTCTCTCTCTCTCTCTCTCTCTCTCTCTCTCATGAATTGTGTTTTGTGTATCTGTGCTGCAGAGCTGGAAGCAGCTCTTGGTGAGCTCGTACCTAAGTGCTTTACTCGCATCAAGAAAGAGGTTGGTGTGCGGCCGCCTTCTTACACCTGTATATCTGAGCAGGTGCTCAGTGACTTTGTTGTGCAGCGTGCTGTAAAGGCCGTGCGTGCAGCCAAGGACGCTGGTACGGAAGTTGATGAGAAGTTGCTTCGTACAGGTAAGCACTGTTGGAATATTCTGAAACAAATATTGAGCGGCAGCTCTCATTGTCAGCTAGGCTTCATCTTCTGTCTCCTCTCTACCAGGTGATCTGGTATGTGTATTCTGCTAGGTAACAATCATGTGTATGCCATGCAGACACCAAGCCTTCATCTGACCTGCATTGTGTGACATGTCATTGTTGCTTCTTCACCTGCTAGCTCTGGAAGAACTCTGCCACTGTTGCTCCATGCACCTGGAGCGAGTTGTGGATGTGATCTTCTCACCGTCGCCAACGACCGGCAAGCTGCTACTTGTCTCTTGTCCTTGTCCTGCTACTGCCAGTAGTGGTATGCCAAGCAACCATGCTACTAGTACTATTCACAATGGCCGTAACGGTCATGGGACCATCACCACCGTCACCGCTGCTGCTGCTGCTGTGCCTGCTTCTTCCGCCATGTCCAACCTGGTACACCTAGCCTGCTCCATACTCAGCAACATTGATGCAGGCGTGGCGGTCGGTGAGAGAAGTCCTCGCCTCTCAGTCAATGTCAAGGTAAGTGCAGCATGTCCTGTACTGTCATTTCCACTATTTTCTCAATGCTTTTCGGCAAAGTGCCACACTTCTGTCTGGCACAACACACTGTGCTATAGTGCTGCTTTTTTCCCCTTGCACCTTTTCTTCCTCCACCAAAGCTCTTGGAGTGATGCAGACAGACATGGCGGATCTGATCCGATTTGGTATTTTTCCACAGCATACCTCTCATATTATATAGGCTGCTCCCAACGCTTTTTAAGGTCGTGCGTCTTCCTGCCAACTGACTGGCTCACACCTGCCAACTGGAGCACACAGAAAGCATGTCAAACCTCTCACCTGGCAAACCTGCAAGAAAGCATCGCTCCCTGCTCAATGCACAGTATCAAGGAAAAATCAGCCCTCGTCGGTTTCTTACAGGTTGCCGAGTGGAAGGTTTGACATGCTTCTTGTATGCTCCAGATTTTAGCTGCAAGTCAGGCACGTGCCAGTCAGTCAGTCAGCAGGAAGCACAAGCCCTTCTGTTGGGAATAGAGTGACAGGCAATTTCTTCAAATATCTCCACATCGGTCACAACGTCGCCATAGCTCACTCGCTCTCTGCATTTGTTTTGGCTTGGTTCTGCTGACAGGAGGACGGGGAATCCGAGCAGGGCAACTCCCCCACTTCACCGCAAGACATTCCGAAGAAATCCCCCGGTGGCTATGCTCGGCTAGGTGGTCTTCTTATTGACCGTCTGCAGCTTCTCGATCCAGAATTGACACAGGTCAGCTATTGTCTGTATACTGACATTATGTGCGTGTGTGTATGCACTGCAGTACTGTCGGTCGCCGAAGAACTGGGGGGATCAGCTTTGTAGCCTAGACCGTTCTTATTATACAGTCTATGCACAGTTGAGTCAACGTGTACACGTTGGTATGCTGTGCTTTGTGAAATTCTAGCCGGTTCTTTCTTCAGCGCTACGTTCTTTGGAACCCGGCAGTACTGTGTTCTGTATTGTGTGCAGTATTGTGTATATGTGTGCAGTATTGTGTATATGTGTGCAGTATTGTGTATGTGTGTGCATACTGTGTCACCCTATGTGAGTTACTGTGTGCAAGTACGTGACATGTACTCTGCCTACTTGTAGTCCGTCTATACAATGTAAGAATAGAATATTCATTGCTTCGAAGGGAGTACGATCGACCCGGCATCACATTGAATTGCAGTGCTTTTGGTCGTGCTTTCGAGAAGCGTAGTATGGCAAGAGCCAGCTCTTTGGTTACTTTCGATGTCTGTATAAATGTGTGTGTGTGCTGGTGTGTGTGCTGGTGTGTGTGCGTGTGTGTGTGTGTGTGTGTGCCTATATATGTGCCTGCGTGTTTGCACGCACGTGTGTGCATGTGTGTGTCTTTGGGTCTGTGTGCATGCGCATGCGCACGTTCGCTGTGTGAATGCGTATGTATACCGGTGTGTATGTGTATACATGACTAGATTGCTGCCGGTGCTCAGCGGCGACTGCTCTTCTCACGGTCATCAGGTCAGTCTCGCTCCCTTCTGGACTGTACTACTAGTTCACCAAGCGACACAGCAATGGATATGGATGATCGTGCTGCTGCTAGTGTGTTTGCTGCAGCTTCTAAAGGCGATGCTTCATGTCAGGAGGTGAGCTGTCACGCTTCTTATTTGACCATATTCCATGCCTGTCTAAGTGTTGATGTGTCCTTATTGGCATGGCCGCAATGGCCTCATGAGTTTGCCTGGTACGCTATTTCTGCGTAGGATCTCTCCACCGGTATGATGTCCCAGCTTGAATGTCTACTTTGTACTCTCTGTTAATTTTCCATGAGAATGAATTAGAAAACTGCACTGCAGCTGTATTTATGGTTGAATAATACGATATGGTGGTAAAGACACAAAGTGGCAAAGTGGTGGCAAAGACATCTCTGTTACATGTGTTGTTATGTTTTATACGAGATCAGTTTAGCTCCTTATGATCAGGAGTGGTCCTTGGTAGAGTTATATGTGGCACGCAAGGGATGTACTCCAAGTCCAGACAAGGAGACATATCTCATAGTCATATCCACTAGCTTGCTTGGGCTTTGCAACTGGCTACGACTTATACGGCTATCTGTCCTCTAGGGATGGTTTTTTTAATGAAGTACTCCCTTTTGCTAACCACTGGCATTACATTCTTTACTGCTGTCGTTGGATTGTTGTCGTGCAGTCTACAGAGTTACCGTCCAATTTCCGACAGTCACTGCTTGTCTCTCTACTGGCTCACCAGTCTTCATGGTCCAGTCTAGCTCAGAAGATGCACTGGCTCTTTGACGATCAGCACGTCAATAGGAAAGAGTAAGTGCTTAGAGTTGAATGCCCTGTCATTGCACTTCGGGGTGTCTTCCTGTTATTGCTTACCGGTACTTGGTGTGCGGAGCTAAGTCCGTCTTGTTTGCTCTGTGGCCGTGTGTTCTGGAATGCATTGTGTGGCTGTGGGTGTGGGTGTGTGCGTTCTTGTGTGCGTTCTTGTGTGT